CCACAAACAATAGATATTATTACCCAATAGTCTATATAAATTATTAATTATTAATTTTTGACTGTTTTTTGGCCTTTTGTCCAATTTCGGCTGTAGGAGTGAAACAGTCAAAACTGTTTTCCGGGTCAGAGCGAATTGTTACCCTACGCAAATTTGATGCGCAGAAATCCCCCCTCGAGAGCCCCGTTCAAGCGTTTCGGTGATCGCGACTCAGTGTTGAAGCAATGGCATCATTGCATGCAGCATTGATACTAATATTTATTTGGTAATAAAACAATTGATTCAATGCTATTTGGGGAACAATCATCGGAAGGGGATAGCCTAGCGGCCTCGGGCAAACAGTTCCCCAGGGCTTCCCCCTATCTCGGGATGAATGTTTTGACTGTTTCCCAAATAGCCATGAAACAATTGTATACAGTATATCAACGGATAATTTGAGACATAGTGTGAGGCATGTATTATTGTTCGCATTTGCATGTATATATTGTGCACTGAATTTTGTATGTATGCAAATTTTTTTGTTCTGCTGCATCAACATGACTTTGTGTCTGATCAGCTGCATGCAGACTCTTCGATAGGGACATGCTTGGCTAATTCATGTACATATCATGTCTGGCCCAGACTGTCCTCACATTGTACACATCAAGTCAATAACACTAGGCAGGAGGAGACCTGGTGTCTTCCCAAAGAAAATCGGACACTTTTCTGGATACCTGTCAAAACACAGTACAGAGACAGGAAATTGAGCACGGCAGATTTATAATACCGTAACGCCAACCTGTTAATCACCAAAGAATGATGAAGTGTCGTTACATTATAGAGGTTACCATTGACTGTATCTGTGCTGGGTGGTATGGAGATAAATATATATATATCTCTAAGTCTGTGTGGCTGGCGGTCTATCTGTACTTCTGTCCTTATTCTTCGGAGGATTGACTGAGGCCAGTACACTCTGTTGGTGTGACAATTAGATATACAACAGGCGACAAAATCTTGTGTGCAGAAGTTGATTAAAACAAGACATTAAACATAAATGAAAGTTGTCAATTAAAGATCCATCAGTTTGGAAATGTGTCATTTCGTAGCTTGACATATTAAAGGGACCAGTCGGTCTTGAAATGTTGCAACACGTTTAAAACCAATCTAATTAAAATTATATCTTCACATCGCTCCCGTTTACTGATATGTCGCGTTGAAGATCTAACAACATCCCGTAGAGGGTCATGTTCAGGCGACCTTTGCATTAACCAAAGAGAGCTTACACATTTCTGTAAGTGATGATGTAATGATTTCGGAACACACTTGCTATGGTAAAAGACCGAGAGGTGTCAAATGAGCATCGAAAATGGCGGCCCCCATGGCACCACGTCGTGTCTATCTACAAGACAACGTTTGTACAATTTGTGGATTTTGCTTTGAAATAAGAGAGACTTCCTCTTCTGGTGATGTTGTCGTTAAAAAGTTTAACAACCTGAAACTAAAATTAACCAATGACAGGCTTCGCAATATTCAAACTATCACTGGACCAGACGAAAAAGTGGATTTTGGGCTACGAGGTGTCTGCATTAAATGCTACACGTCCTGCTTTCTGATTGGTTGAAAGAAAGAGTTATGTCGTGTTTTGATTGGCTTGTTATAAATACGATAATGCATTCATGTTGACCTCTGACGTGACCCTCTATGGGATGTTGTTAGATCTTCAACGCGACATATCAGTATACGTGAGCGATGTGAAGATATAATTTTAATTAGATTGGTTTAAAACATACATTGTTTGTATAGAAAGTAAAACTTTGACATGAATAAATGTCTTTGTTTAAAGTGTTTAGTTTTCTCAATATTTGTATGACTTTAATTAATAAAAGTTTATCTGCTTGGTGATGGATAAACAAAACTAACATAACAGACATTTCATGAAGAGTGATTTCTCAAGTTAATTTTTTCAAAGCATTGAAAAGCATTGAAAATAGTATCAGCAATAATTTATCTGCCTGTAAAATAAGTCATTTAAGCTGTTATAAGTCAAGGTCATGACATAAAAATGTTGAATTGTACAATACATACTTGACTGAATTTACGGATGTAGAAGACTGAATTGTCGGATGTAGAAGACTGAATTGTCGGATGTAGAAGACTGAATTGTCGGATGTAGAAGACTGAATTGTCGGATGTAGAAGACTGAATTGTCGGATGTAGAAGACTGAATTGTCGGATGTAGAAGACTGAATTGTCGGATGTAGAAGACTGAATTGTCGGATGTAGAAGACTGAATTGTCGGATGTAGAAGACTGAATTGTCGGATGTAGAAGACTGAATTGTCGGATGTAGAAGACTGAATTGTCGGATGTAGAAGACTGAATTGTCGGATGTAGAAGACTGAATTGTCGGATGTAGAAGACTGAATTGTCGGATGTAGAAGACTGAATTGTCGGATGTAGAAGACTGAATTGTCGGATGTAGAAGACTGAATTGTCGGATGTAGAAGACTGAATTGTCGGATGTAGAAGACTGAATTGTCGGATGTAGAAGACTGAATTGTCGGATGTAGAAGACTGAATTGTCGGATGTAGAAGACTGAATTGTCGGATGTAGAAGACTGAATTGTCGGATGTAGAAGACTGAATTGTCGGATGTAGAAGACTGAATTGTCGGATGTAGAAGACTGAATTGTCGGATGTAGAAGACTGAATTGTCGGATGTAGAAGACTGAATTGTCGGATGTAGAAGACTGAATTGTCGGATGTAGAAGACTGAATTGTCGGATGTAGAAGACTGAATTGTCGGATGTAGAAGACTGAATTGTCGGATGTAGAAGACTGAATTGTCGGATGTAGAAGACTGAATTGTCGGATGTAGAAGACTGAATTGTCGGATGTAGAAGACTGAATTGTCGGATGTAGAAGACTGAATTGTCGGATGTAGAAGACTGAATTGTCGGATGTAGAAGACTGAATTGTCGGATGTAGAAGACTGAATTGTCGGATGTAGAAGACTGAATTGTCGGATGTAGAAGACTGAATTGTCGGATGTAGAAGACTGAATTGTCGGATGTAGAAGACTGAATTGTCGGATGTAGAAGACTGAATTGTCGGATGTAGAAGACTGAATTGTCGGATGTAGAAGACTGAATTGTCGGATGTAGAAGACTGAATTGTCGGATGTAGAAGACTGAATTGTCGGATGTAGAAGACTGAATTGTCGGATGTAGAAGACTGAATTGTCGGATGTAGAAGACTGAATTGTCGGATGTAGAAGACTGAATTGTCGGATGTAGAAGACTGAATTGTCGGATGTAGAAGACTGAATTGTCGGATGTAGAAGACTGAATTGTCGGATGTAGAAGACTGAATTGTCGGATGTAGAAGACTGAATTGTCGGATGTAGAAGACTGAATTGTCGGATGTAGAAGACTGAATTGTCGGATGTAGAAGACTGAATTGTCGGATGTAGAAGACTGAATTGTCGGATGTAGAAGACTGAATTGTCGGATGTAGAAGACTGAATTGTCGGATGTAGAAGACTGAATTGTCGGATGTAGAAGACTGAATTGTCGGATGTAGAAGACTGAATTGTCGGATGTAGAAGACTGAATTGTCGGATGTAGAAGACTGAATTGACGGATGTAGAAGACTGAATTGTCGGATGTAGAAGACTGAATTGACGGATGTAGAAGACTGAATTGTCGGATGTAGAAGACTGAATTGACGGATGTAGAAGACTGAATTGTCGGATGTAGAAGAATGGTGTAGAATATTTGTGTATACTTGCCTAAGGTGTGTTAGGGTAGTGACTACTTGATAGTAACCACATGTTTGGCTCGTACTACAGTCTCTTTGGCATGTGCCAAAATAATAATGTTGACCTCATTGGTATGTACTGAAAACATGCATGTCTAATAACTACAATACAGTAATAGGTCGTTCAGCAATATTTACATTTCCGTCGTACATTCCGTTGTACAGCCCGTTAACTAAGGTAAACCTTTCAACCAAAAATGTTGTCGTAAACCAATAACTGCGAGAACTCTTACATTTCATTGTCTTTTAATGGGAAACTGTTCGGGCATTTCCTTCATATTGTTGGAGTAATAGGGCCAATCATGGTGTGACAACAAATTTAAATTAAGACGGAAATACTGGAATAGTTTCAAATTGCGTTTGCCACCATGCAGAACTTGTATAACTATAGAAAACAATGAAAATATGGGAATTTCACCACCTGGTACAGTTGTTTGTTGAAAATGTATTGTGAACGGAAAGAAAACACCCAGAAAAAAAGAACAACAGTTTTGTTTTTGAATGCAAGTATAAGGATGGAAATTAATCTTTTAACATTTCATGATGGTATGCAACACATTTCCATTCGAACATATTCTCCAAGATGCATTGTGTCCAATCATGGAACGCTTGAATCAGACTGTGTTGTACATGCATTCCATCATAAATGTTAAAAAGATACATGTACACTTCAATTTAAAGAGGATGATAATTTTATAATTCCTTTTTGCAAAAAAATATCATGTCTAAAAATAGCACAGGCTGTTCATAGTGCCTGACAAGAGCATTAACTACTTGAATGGTTATTTTAATTTTTTCTGATCATGTTGGGTGTTTGTAGACATTTTAATTGTTGCTGTTTCATATTTGCTTGCACTTGAAGGTATTTTTGTTGTATGTTTTTTTAAGATGTTTGATGACATTTACTGATGTTTCACAGTTGTGGCATTACATTTGATGTAATATGGTGATATTTGTGGACATTGCTGGTATTTGTGGAGATTGCTGATAATTGTTGATATTTGCTGATACTTGCAGAGATTGCTGATATTTTTGTAAATTGCTAATATTTGTGGAGATTGCTGATATTTTTGTAAATTGCTAATATTTGTGGAGTTCTGATATTTGTTCTCTGTTGGTGTATGGTGTTTGCTGTTGAAGGGGAGATATTTGTTGGAGTTCTGATATTTGTTCTCAGTTGTTGTATGGTGTTTGCTGTTGTAGGGGAGACTGGGAAGTATTACTGTGGTATGTGGGGCCTGACCTGCAGATGTTGTAATGGACACTGTGGCCCGAACAATGGATGTAACTGTACACCCTGTCAACAACTGGATAGAGAAGAGGACGCACGACAACAGGAGGAGGCTCACCGACCCAAACCCTCCTCACCCATCATAGACTCCTGGACATGGGAACAACAACCAGGTAACGTTACCGACCCAAACCCCCCTCACCCATTATAGACTCCTGGCCATGGGGACAACAACCAGGTAGCATTACTGCCCCAAACCCTCCTCACCTATCATAGATTACTGGACATGGGGACACCAACCAGGTAACATTACTGTCCCAAACCCTCCTCACCCATCATAGATTCCCGGACATGGGGACAACAACCAGGTAACGTTACTGACCCAAACCCTCCCCACCCATCATAGATTCCCGGACATGGGGACAACAACCAGGTAACATTACTGACCCAAACCCTCCTCACCCATCATAGACTCCTGGCCATGGGGACAACAACCAGGTAACATTAACGACACAAACCCTCCTCACCTATCATAGATTACTGGACATGGGGACAACAACCAGGTAACATTACTGTCCCAAACCCTCCTCACCCATCATAGACTCCTGGACATGGACAACAACCAGGTAACATTACTGACCCAAACCCTCCTCACCCATCATAGATTCCCAGACATGGGGACAACAACCAGGTAACATTAACGACACAAACCCTCCTAACCTATCATAGACTCCCGGACATGGGGACAACAACCAGGTAAAATTACTGTCCCAAACCCTTCTCACCCATCATAGACTCCTGGACTTGGGGACAACAACCAGGTAACATTACCGATCCAAACCCTCCTTACCCATCATAGAGTCCTGGACATGGGGACAACCAGCTAACATTACTGACCCAATCCCTCCTCACCCATCATAATTAACGACACAAACCCTCCTAACCTATCATCGACTCACGGACATGGGGACAACAACCCGGTAACATCACCGACCCAAACCCTCCTCCCCCATCATAGTCTCCTGGACATGGACAACAACCAGGTACATTACCGATCCAAACCCTCCTTACCCATCATAGGCTCCTGGACATGGGGACAACCAGGTAACATTAACGACACAAACCCGCCTAACCTATCATAGATTCCCGAACATGGGGACAACAACCGGCTAACATTACTGACCCAATCCCTCCTCACCCATCATAGACACCTGGACATGCATGGGGACAACAACCATGTAACATTACTGACCCACACCCTCATCCCCCATCATAGATTCCCAGACATGGGGACAACAACCATGTAACATTACTGACCCACACCCTCATCCCCCATCATAGATTCCCAGACATGGGGACAACACCCAGGTAACATTACTGATCCAAACCCTCCTTACCCATCATAGGCTCCTGGACATGGACAACAACCAGGTATCATTACTGTCCCAAACCCCCCTCACCCATCATAGTCTCCTGGACATTTGGAATAGACTCCTGGACATGGGGACAACCAGCTAACATTACTGACCCAACCCCCCCTCACCCGTCATAGACTCCTGGACACGGGGACAACCAGGTAACAATACTGACCCAAACCCTCCACACCCATCATAGTCTCCTGGACATGGGGACAACGACCAGGTAACATTACTGCCCCAAACCCTCCTCACCCGTCATAGACGCCTGGACATTGGGACAACAACCAGGAAACATTACTGACCCAAACACTCCTCACCCATCATAGACTAGAAACCCCCCTCATCCATCATAGACTCCTGGACCCCTCCTCACCCATCATAGACGCCTGGACATTGGGACAACAACCAGGTAACATCACCGACCCAAACCCTCCTCACCCATCATAGATGCCTGGACATGGGGACAACAACCAGGTAACATTACTGACCTAAACCCTCCTTACCCATCATAGACTCCTGGACATTGGAACAACAACCAGGTAACATTACTGACCCAAACCCTCCTCACCCATCATAGATGCCTGGACATGGGGACAACAACCAGGTAACATTACTGACCCAAACCCTCCTAACCTATCATCGACTCACGGACATGGGGACAACAACCAGGTAAAATTACTGTCCCAAACCCTCCTCACGTATCATAGATTCCTGGACATGGGGACAACAACCAGGGATCATTACTGACCCAAACCCTCCTCACCCATCATAGCCTCCTGGACATAGGAACAACAACCAGGTAACATTACTGACCCAAACACTCCTCACCCATCATAGATTCCCGGGCATGGGGACAACAACCAGGTAACATTAACGACACAAACCCTCCTAACCTATCATCGACTCACGGACATGGGGACAACAACCAGGTAAAATTACTGTCCCAAACCCTCCTCACCTATCATAGATTCCTGGACATGGGGACAACAACCAGGTATCATTACTGACCCAAACCCTCCTCACCCATCATAGACTCCTGGACATAGGAACAACAACCAGGTAACATTACTGACCCAAACACTCCTCACCCATCATAGATTCCCGGGCATGGGGACAACAACCAGGTAACATTAACGACACAAACCCTCCTAACCTATCATAGATTGCCGGACATGGGGACAACAACCAGGTAAAATTACTGTCCCAAACCCTTCTCACCCATCATAGACTCCTGGACTTGGGGACAACAACCAGGTAACATTAGCGATCCGAACACTCCTTACCCATCATAGAGTCCTGGACATGGGGACAACAACCAGGTAACATTAACGACACAACCCCTCCTAACCTATCATAGATTCCCGGACATGGGGACAACAACCAGGTAACATTACTGACCCAAACCCCCCTAACCCAACATAGATTCCCGGACATGGGGACAACAACCAGGTAACATTAACGACACAAACCCTCCTAACCTATCATAGATTCCCGGACATGGGGACAACAACCAGGTAACATTACTGTCCCAAGCCCTTCTCACCCATCATAGACTCCTGGACATGGGGACAACAACCAGGTAACATTACTGACCCAAACCCTCCTCACCTATCATAGATTCCCGGACAAGGGGACAACAACCAGGTAACATTACTGACCCAAACCCTCCTCATCCATCATAGTCTCCTGGACATGGGGACAACAACCAGGTAACATTACTGACCCAAACCCCCCTCACCCATCATAGTCTCCTGGACATTTGGACAACAAGCAGATAACACTACTGACCTAAATCCCCCTCACCCATCATAGAGTCCTGGACTTGGGGACAACAACCAGGTAACATTACTGACCCAAACCCTCCTCACCCATCATCGACTCCTGGACATGGGGACAACAACCAGCTAACATTACTGACCCAAACCCTCCTCACCCATCATCGACTCCTGGACATGGGGACAACAACCAGCTAACATTACTGACCCAAACCCTCCTCACCCATCATAGAGTCCTGGACATGGGGACAACAACCAGGAAACATTACTGACCGAAACCCTCCTCCCCCATCATAGACTCCTGGACATGGGGACAACAGCCAGGTAACATTACTGACCCAAACCCCCCCCCTCACCCATCATAGACTCCTGGACATGAGGACAACAACCAGGGAACATTACTGACCCAAACCCTCCTCACCCATCATCGACTCCTGGACATGGGGACAACAACCAGGAAACATTACTGACCCAAACCCTCCTCACCCATCATCGACTCCTGGACATGGGGACAACAACCAGGAAACATTACTGACCCAAACCCTCCTCACCCATCATAGGCTCCTGGACATGAGGACAACAACCAGGTAACATTACTGACCCAAACCCCCCTCACCCATCATAGTCTCCTGGACATTTGGGCAACAAGCAGATAAGACTACTGACCTAAATCCCCCTCACCCATCATAGAGTCCTGGACTTGGGGACAACAACCAGGAAACATTACTGACCCAAACCCTCCTCACCCATCATAGAGTCCTGGACATGGGGACAACAACCAGGAAACATTACTGACCGAAACCCTCCTCACCCATCATAGACTCCTGGACATGGGGACAACAACCAGGTAACATTACTGACCCAAACCCTCCTCACCCATCATAGACTAGGGGACATGGGGACAACAGCCAGGTAACATTACTGACCCAAACCCTCCGCACCCATCATAGACTAGGGGACATGCGGACAACAGCCAGGTAACATTACTGACCCAACCCCTCCTCGCCCATCATAGACTAGGGGACATGCGGACAACAGCCAGGTAACATTACTGACCCAAACCCTCCTCACCCATCATAGACTCCTAGACATGGGGACAACAACCAGGTAAAATTACTGACCAAAACCCTCCTCACCCATCATAGACTCCTGGACATGGGGACAACAGCCAGGTACCATTACTGACCCAACCCCTCCCCCTCACCCATCATAGACTCCTGGACATGGGAACAACCAGGTAACATTACTGACCCAAACCCTCTAAGACTACTAGGACATGGGGACAACAACCAGGTAACATAACTGACCCAAACCCTCCTCACCCATCATAGAGTCCTGGACATGGGAACAACAACCAGGTAACGTTATCGACCCAAACCCCCCTCATCCATCATAGACTCCTGGACATGGGGACAACAACCCCTCCTCACCCATCATAGACTCCTAGACATGGGGACAACAACCAGGTAAAATTATTGACCAAAACCCTCCTCACCCATCATAGACTCCTGGAGGTAACATTACTGACCCAAACCCTCCTCACCTATCATAGATTCCCGGACAAGGGGACAACAACCAGGTAACATTACTGACCGAAACCCTCTAAGACTACTAGACATGTACTGCCAGGTAACATTACTGACCCAAACCCTCTAAGACTACTAGACATGTACTGCCAGGTAACATTACTGACCCAAACCCTCTAAGACTACTAGACATGTAGGACAACAACCAGGTAACATTACTGACCCAACCCCTCCCCCTCACCCATCATAGACTCCTGGACATGGTGACAACCAGGTAACATTACTGACCCAAACCCTCCCCCTCACCCATCCTAGACTCCTGGACATGGGGACAACAACCAAGTAACATTACTGACCTAAACCCTCCTCACCCATCATAGACTCCTGGACATGGTGACAACCAGGTAACATTACTGACCCAAACCCCCCCCCTCACCCATCATAGACTCCTGGACATGGGGACAACCAGGTAACATTACTGACCCAAACCCTCCCCCTCACCCATCATAGACTCCTGGACATGGGGACAACAACCAGGTAACATTACTGACCCAAACCCTCTAAGACTACTAGACATGTACTGGTAATAACACCTCCCAAAAACTGTCCTCACCCCTCTAAGACTACTACACATGTACTGGTAATAACACCTACCGAAAACCGTCCTCACCCCTCTAAGACTACTACACATGTTCTGGTAATAACACCTACCCAAAACCGTCCTCACCCCTCTAAGACAACTAGACATGTACTGGTAATAACACCTACCCAAAACCGTCCTCACCACTCTAAAACTCTTACACATGTAGTGGTTATAACACCTACACTAAACCGTCTCCATCCCTCATATAGACTCCTTGACATTGGGATTAACAACTTGGTAAGATGATCACCTACCCTTCCTAGTCCTCTTCTGGGTCAGATTGGACAAATGTACATATATGTAGAATATATATTGTTGGTCAGATTTGAGAATACCTGTTTACAAAATTTGATTGATTTTGATCTACAAAACCTTTTGTATGACATCTGGACCAAAATGTGTCTGTCAGAATGAAAACATTTTCAGATGACTTAGTTCAACTTATATCACATTTTGTACTGTGGAGGTCTGGTTTACACAGGTTTGTGTATTATACAGTGTGTGTTTTAAACAGGTTACACTTAATCTTTGTGTTAGATATGTCTGATTATGTTTAACAGACACAAACCAGCTGCGGGAATGCCTGACGTCCCAGCTGTACGAGCACCAGAAGCTTTGCACAGAGGCTGCCTGCAGCTCCATGTCTGTGACTCGCCTACAGCAGCGCCTCGCCGTCATGGAGCGCTACTTTGTTGCTCTCAGTCGCCAGACACCAGCGGAGGGTCGCACACCCACCAAGAAAAGCCAGGCAAACCAGACCAATCTCAGCAAACAGAAAAGGTATAGCTTCAGTCGATGCTTATAAAGTACCATATAGTTATGGGTCAACTGATGAACACCTCACAGCATAGATATACTGTACTGTACCTGTGTAGTCAGCAGTTGTACCTTGTGAATAAAGACTTTGATTATGTAGGATAGAGGAGAACTAGGATCTTTAGAATCAGGAGATTGAAGCCTGAAAAAGTGGTTTTAGAGTACCTCACCCCTCTAAAAATGTTTTGGAAAAATTAAATTCATCGATGAAAAAACCAGTCCGTTTTGATGAAAAACTTTTTCTGTCAGATAATAAATAGATTTGTATTTTTGGGAATTATGATTAAACTTTATGGCGACTAACTTGATTTCATTTTTCGTCCTTGGGAAGACTTGAACTGTGATGTGAGCAAGGCTGTTAACTGAGGAGCTGAGGGAATTTTAGCTATGCACATGACTGTATTATTTTTCTGGAAGCATTGCACATTTCCTCCTGCTGACCCAAAGAACCATGTCCTTACTAAACAAATCTTTTTGATTACAACTTATTTCATTATCACCATGTAGAAATAAGAGCATGTCTTTATTTCTTTGAAATTAAGTTAAAAATGCATTCATTGAATTATTTAGATATGCACTTGTACTATCATGATAGTAAACAATATTTGTGTATTTTAAACACTGGTATTTTTTAAATCACAGAAAAAAATGTACCTTAGAGCAAAAAATTGTACATGTAGTTGTGTGTTTTCAGTCTGTTTAGAGGAACTCCATCCTTGACCTTTTCCTCCTTTCTTCCCCAGTTCCGTAAAGCCCGCAGAGAAAGCCACTATGGGTTTAGCTCGTGTTGGATCACGGGCTGCCCTCGGTTTCGCTTTTGCATTCCTACGCCGTGCCTGGCGATCGGGTGAGGATGCCGACTTGTGTAGTGAGCTGCTGCAGGAGTCCCTAGAGGCACTTCAATCCCTCCCTGAGGCCACATTGTTTGATGAGGGGTCCGTGTCCTCGGTGTGGCTTGAGGTCGTAGAGAGGGCATCCAAGTTCCTACACTCTTTAGTGGCTGGGTAAGACATGGACATCCTGCAAGATTTCTCACCTTTGTCACGCTTTAACCTGAAACTAACCTCAACCTGATAGAAGTAGTTAAAAAAAAATAATAGTAGGAAGTGCTCTTAAAAATCAGGTAAAGAATCAATTTACTGAGAAAAATATTTTTTGTTACTGATAAGGGAAGTTATACTCAATCTAACAAATGCAGATTTACAAGATCCCCCTTAATCTTTTGTTAAAAATAAAGGTGGGAGCCAGCCATTCATTTTGATTGCAGTAATAATTATATTTGTCTAAAATACAGATATTTCGCTGATCTTTCTTGCATGTCCTGTTTATCCATATTCTTTCCTTCATTGACCTTCATTGACCTTCATTGACCTGTCAAGGTTATTAAAAGATTTTAGTCTGAGATTTTAACACTAGTTGTAATTATTAATTTGTGTGTGGAAAAATAAGAGGAGTTAGGTTTAGTAAGGTTTATGTACATTTTCTTTTTTGTACTGTTGCCATAAAGAATGTCTAAACTCCTATGAGTTTATGAAATTATTTCTGAATTCATCTTTCACAGTGACTTAAGTGGAAGTGCTAGCTCCAAGGCACCAAGCAAAATCCCGGTTCAGGACCAACAGACTGCATTGTCTCTTTTGTTGGAACTCTCCATTCAGAGAGGCTCATTAAGTCACATACTCAGCTCGGTACTTCTGCTGCTGAACCTGTGGAACAACAGTCGACACGAGTTTGACAACCGTGTGAGCAGCAGTCTCAATAGTGCCCCACTTATCCCTTTCCTGAAACGCTTCCAGAGCATCCAAATGGTCAAGTCCCGCCTGTATGATGTCTCGAAATGGGAGGAGGTGGGTGACTCTTCCTTTTTGGAATATTTTCATATTTGATAAATACTGTAAAACATTTTTTTATGCGTTTTTTAGTTTGTAAAAAATATTGTTTTGTCAAAGACCAAAGTCTCTCGGAGAGCATGTGACTATTGCATCAAAATGGTCTTCTTCCACATTGTGAATTGTAGTTAGTGTTTCTTCTTCAAAGACTTCCAGGGAGCATTTTGTAAATTGACATGATAAATTTATGCAGGATTTACTGCATTTAACTATGAGATGAACCTGTTATTTACCTGACAGGTGTAATTTACATGTAACCTGTTACTGGTAGCCATTTACCTGTAGTTTTCAGGTGTTTTTTCCTGTAATTTATCTTTAAATTACCTGTTATTTACTGTAACTTGTGTTGCAGTCGGAGGCGTATACTGTAAGTCCCACAGACTGTTTCCTACATTATTTGTCCTACCCGGACAACGTTAACACGCCGGTGGACCTAAAACAGTGTGCCGTCGTCATCATGTCCCAGCTCGACCGATTCTCTAGTCCCTACCTACCTCCATCACATTCACAAAAGGTTTGTACCTTCTGCTATTCCACTAGTCCTAAAAACCAGTCGGCTTTTTGAAATAAGTAAGAAGTCATATATATACATCAGTTTAATTGTGGGTTAAATTTCGTCTTTAAGATAGGCTATGATAGACGTTAAACATGTGAATTGGATAATTACAATGCTTTATATTCAATGGTCTCATATCTAAACTCTTAGTTATGTGAACCTTTTTGTGTACCAGAAGCATTGCTGATGTTCTAAATTTAAAACAACTATTTTAAGGAACTCACTGTATGTACATGAGATGCTTACATAACAAGTGATTATAAATTTCAAAAGAGATGATGTGAGATGTCTTTGAAAAGATACGAAATAATCATTGCCAGGTAACAGTGCACTAGTGGTTGCTTACATTGTAGTTTTGGCTAATATGCTGAAATTTTGGTACGAGTAGAAACAGATTAAATCAGCGAGACTACCAATTACCTGACTGTCTACATAGTTGCTTATCTACCTGCTCATGTTTAAAATGTCCAGATGTGTTGAAATAGATGGTATTCAACTGTTCTTCTTTAACAAGACAAATTGTCTGGGACTATTGACTCTTGTTACAATGATTGTCCATAATTCCATAACTTTACTATGAATCTGTTAAGATCCTCTATATATTTTATCTATATAAACTAGTCTCTTACCTCAATTTTGACAGTCACACAGAAACAACCTCACACAGGAAGTGTACAGCTGGGGCTGGCAGGCTTGGGCAGTAGGGGCCAGCAAACAGGGACCACACCTTCTCGAGTTCTTCATGGATGTGGGAGGAATTCTACAAATCACTTGTGCTGAACGATGTATACTGGTGTTGGCAAAGAACGGAAAACTATACACAATGTATTACAGTACAGACTCGCCGGTACGTCGGGATTCGTTCCGAACATTTACGTTGTCAGTGATATAATTCTGTATTAATTCTTATCACTGGACATTGCATGTGTACATCATGTAGTTCTATTTTGTTTTTTGGTATTTAAATTTTACAATGTCTTGGATTCTGTCTTTTAACTGTTTTTAACCCAAAGCTCTGCTCCAAATAAATAAAAGTTTGTTTAATTACGAAAATCGGTTAAAATTTGGTAAAACTCCATGTAATACACATCGTTTTAATCCATGCCATTCACTCCTAAAGTCACATTTGAACCTCACCAAATCAAAGACTGGGCAAGTCCAATTTAAATATGAAGGGGTGAATATGAATTAATACCAGGGTAAATGGAAATACTTGACAGTCATATGTGATTTTTTCACCGTTGTTGTTTTCCGAACACAGGGACTGCAGTTGGTGACTGGTTTCGGTGACCGAGAAGTAGTCAAGATATCGTCTCATCCTGACGGGAAACACTTCTTGGCCCTTTCTAGCGATGGCGAAGTATTCTCATGGGGAAATGGGGACGGAGGTCGACTAGGACACGGAGACAATATGTATGTACATTTAAACATTGCTCAAAACGAATCTGGAGAAACGTGATTTATCCTACAACATATGTCATTCCCTAGCTACTTAGAGGACTTATCATATATATTACAGACGTTTTCATGTAAATCCTGTTGAATTTTCACTTATCTCATCCAAAGTTAGATTCAAATTACCTGAATGAAATATTTTACACATAGTTCTGTTCTTTTTTTCATGGATTAATTCAGCAATTTAAACAAATTTATCATGAAAGCAGATGTTGGTATACAAAATATGTAAAATTTACATGTTAAGGGCGAATTTTAAAACACTAGCAAAAATTGATGGTTCTACTAAATATAGAAAGTTTGACGGAGCAAACAATTCTCATTATACAGTATGTATGGTATGCATAGTAAACCATGTACAAATGTCTGATAAGTTTGTCTTTATTATGGGAGGACAAAGAATGACCTTCCTGGTAAGTTGAATTGTGGCAAACATTTCCCAGCAAACAGAACCATTTAGTTTGGCAAGAATATCATGACTGAATATTTTGCTGGTTATTTTTTGTGTACAGATCTCTTGAGGAGCCAACTTTGATCTCGGCCCTGACGGGTAAACAGATTGTACAGATATCGTGTGGGAGTACGTACAGTGCCGCCCGTACAGTGAACGGCGAGCTGTACACGTGGGGCCGAGGTAATTACGGTAGACTGGGACACGGCAGTACAGATGACCAGTGTCTACCAGGTCTCATCAAGACACTAAAAGGCCACCGCATCCTAGACGTGGCCTGTGGCAGTGGGGACGCCCAGACCATCGCCGTCAGCGACACAGGTACGTTGTACAACATCTCTGGGAGAACACGTTTTTTACTCTTGGACAAGGGTAATGAAAAGTAAATCAAAAGAATATTGAATAATTGATGGAATGTAAACCTGTTCTCCGAATCTGTACACTGATGATGAGTAAAATCATGGCAGCCAAGTGAATCCAATTTTAAAACTAAAACTTTGTTCTTGGAATTTTAGATCCTACATTTCATCTTTTGAAATTTTATTCTGTCATACTTACTATAGAGATATATTTCAATGTTTCAATTGGAAAAATATGTAATTAACACATTTTAGAGATGATGAAAATCGAACTATTTCAAATTATGGATAAGAAAATGTTTCTAAGCCCCTAAATGTTTTCTCGGGGGGAGGCCTTCTTATCAACCTTAGCCAGAAGAGTAAAAAGAACATTGGCATAGAATCACGCAACTTTTCCTCAATGAGAAAGGTTTATCTTTCAGTTTAGAACATAACCATTTTAACCCTAGATGGCTATATGTTAAAAGTACAATAAACATCTGCGGAAACTTTGAGAATATCGATGCAAGTTCTTTTTGTCAAATGACAGATTTGAAGCCATTTTAGAATAATCTGTTTAGTGTTCATACCTTACCCCTTCATACTGCAAACTCTGTAATTTTTCCTCGGCTAAATTTTCACCATTATGCCCTTCAAAAAATATTTCTCCTTTGTTTTTCCTCCTGTTAGAGATACTACTAACTGTAAATATCTAACAAAAGAAGAAAACATTTTGGTTTACAATTTCATGTTGTAGGTGCTGTGTACTCTTGGGGTGATGGTGATTACGGAAAGCTTGGACGTGGAGGCAATGACGGGTGTAAGACACCAAAGGTCGTAGAGAGGCTCATCGGCCAGGATGTGTACCGTGTATTCTGTGGAGCTCAGTTCAGCCTCGCTCTCACTCGCTCAGGCGGGGTTTTCGCATGGTAAGACAGGATGAAACAATCTTAAATAAAGACAGGATGAAACAATGTTAAACATTAGTGTTTGCTGGATTGACAAGGCTTGACAGTTTGAATAATGATTTCGTTCATGAAAGGTAGAGAGTTAACTCATTCACCCCTGAAATTTCATACTGAACCATACCAACCTTTGAATTGGAATAGTTTAAATGTGTCTTCAGGGGTGAATGAGTTAAATAGATCCATGTGATCTGTATTTCAGGGGGAAGGGAGATAACCACAGATTGGGCCATGGGTCTGAGGATCATGTACGGCATCCCAAACAGATTGAAGCTCTTGCCGGTAAGAAGGTTGTGGATATAGCTATTGGCTCCATGCACAGTGTAGCCCTGACTGAAGATGGTGAGGTGTATGGATGGGGACGCAACGAACACGGACAGATCGGAGATCCCTCTAACAACACAATTCCAGAACCCTCTCTGCTCACGGGCGCTGATGGGAGGAACATCATCGGGGCTGCGTGTGGCCCTTCACAGGTAAAACATGGTCAACTCTGTAAGCTCTCCTGACACTGTTACAAATCTTTACTATGAGTTTAACCCCTTCACCACTAGTACTGTATACCATAATGGACTCGCCCATATAAATGTATGGTAGAGTCTATTAAAGTTACCTGGGGTTGAAATGGTTAAAGATTTGAAAATGTTTATTGCATAATGGTCACTTAGAAATTTTACCAGCTTCTATCTTTGACAAAAGGCTGTCAGAATTCAAAGTATAACAGTAGAGCAAGGAGCAGATGATATAGAGCACTTGTTTTTGTTGTGGATACTTACAACAATATTTTCATTATCTCAAATTTTTCTGACAGATTGATATTCAATGACTTTGCTTAATGCATAATGATCTATACAAATTCAGGAACTGTATAGCAATTAACTGTTGTTTGCCTTAACTCAGAATATTTTGCAGAATTCAAACTTCATGAAACACGCTATATACTAGGTAATTGTCGTAAACTACCTTGCTATCAAAAAAAAAGAAAAGATAGTTGGCATGTACATGTTTAGCAAAAATCAGTGACATAATGCCCAGGTTGTTACCCATTTGTGGTGGGTAACATAAAATGTTTTTACAAAGTCCTCGCATGTTCATCTTATGTTTTAGGATTAGAGAAACATGTGGTGGTTATAAAATCATGTTTACAATCCAGCATTATAGAAGGTCTGTTGGTGGTGGTGGTAGTATTTATATATTGTGTCTTATTTTTAACAGACATTCGCTTGGTCATCTGGCGGTCAGTGGACTGTAGGAAACCGAGTGCCCTTCATTGTGGATGTCTGTAAAGGCACATTTGACCAGCTGGATGAACTGCTGTCCCAAGTGTGTGAGGATATGGACGGTCGGTCAGACTGGCCGCCCCCTCAGGACAAAGAATGTATCGCAGTGGCTTCCCTTAATCTCCTCAACCTCCAGGTACTCTTTCCTATCTATTTAATACTTCTGACACCATTCCTGAGGTAAATAGTATCCATGCTGCCATTGTTCAGGTATATTCATAGAGCTTACAGATTTCATTTTGTCTTCGTCATCATTTTGTTACTATAGAGTAAGCATTTTGATAACCCAACCATCTTCATTCCCAGTAGATTGGCTGAATTGTAAAATTGATTGATTACTGGGACGATTTGGTATTAAAAAACGGCCAAATTGTGCCCTTAAACATTGTCTGAAAAGTGTTATATGCTGACTGATGGTGGGGAAATCTTATAAGCGGTGAATTTTCACTCTAGTGGTAGATATTTTTCTCAAATACCAAATAACCAATTGGTTGAAAGGGGTTTTTAGTCTTGTAAGGGAGATAGAAACATGTATGAAATGAAAACATTGCCTTGGGAAATTGATGAAAAAGGTCATAAATTTTGCCCAGGACGGATCTAAGTTTATAAATATAAGTGTAACTGTTTGTGGAATTATCTTTTTAGCTTCATGCTGCAATATCACAATCTGAAAATATGGAGATACTTGGCTTGGGATCTGGGAGCCCTCTGGTGACAAGTCTGAAACAGAGAGTTGTGTCCCTTGCCAGTAATGTAGGTGTGATGAACACAGTACAGTTGGCTGCCCAGAATGCTCTCCAGAGTGGCTGGTCCATCCTGTTACCCACTGCAGAGGAGAGAGCACGGGCCCTTTCATCACTCCTCTCAAATGGAGGTATGTAGCTAGCATCCCAGTCATAGGAAAGTCGGGTATAAAAACTTTGTTGAAGAGGAAATAACTTTTGCCTCCATGTTCTATCCTTGCCCACAAGATTATACTGTTTCTGATGTTGAGTTCATAATATGATATATGATTAAAATAGAAATTCTTTCTGGATTATTAAAGCTAATTAGGTTTAATATTCCTTAATGCTGTCCCCGTATCCTTTTGAAGCATAGAATTTCAAAAGAACCTCAGTCACTTTTTGTAAAAAAATAAATTCATTTGAACTATGCAAAAGGACCCCATTAACAACATGTGCACTGGCAACACTGTCAATGTGGAGAAATCCACCTGTGTTAAGGGTTTTATAATGTCTCGTGTTCTAAATATGAATGTGAGACATTTTGAACAGATAAAGCATCTTATCTGCTGTCTTCAGCTGCTAAAAGTATGTAGCCGCTTGTATTATAGCTGCTGGTCGTGATGTGGCAGTGATGAGTCCGGGACAGAGGTTTATGACCGATCTTCTGGTCAGTTCCCTGATGGCTGACGGAGGACTCCAATCTGCTCTCGATGCTGCAGTCAAGAAGGAAATGTTGGAAATAGAGGAGAAAAAGGTACTTTATAATGCACTAACATTAAATCCATATAAATAGCGAAATTCTTAGATTTTTGTATTAATTAGTATAGATTATACCTCATGAAGAATGGCTTGGTATGATAAAATATAAAAAACAATATTATCTTTGGGAACTAAAACAGACATTGATGCTGGTATTCATGCAGCAGGTTGATACACAAAAACAAGAGCTTCCTTGTGCATTCATTAAGATATTAAGAGATATTGGATGAGGTAATATAAGGTAATCAATGTTTGGATAATTTGTTTTGCAGCAGTTATACAAAATCATGTTCTATTTATATATGAGTGTCTTGAATATTCCTGGAACAATTCCTGGTGAAATTACCAAATATTCATCGAGTGGACATGCATGATCGCAGAAATAATAAGAAAAATCGTAAATTCATTGGAGTATTTTCATTTTAATATTGTGATGTGTATAAACTACAATACACTTTAGCTTCACTGGTATGCCTTTTGTTAGCTGCGGGAACCGTAGCTGATGGTCCGATAACAATAAAAAAAAAATCAATCAAAAGGATCGGGCCTAGAAGCTACGGTTCCCGCAGCTAGCCTTTTGTTAGATCACCATTAATGGTTTACCTTTCTTATTTAGGAAAAGGACAGAGAAAATGGAGATGTTGATTCAGAAAAGTCGGAAGAAACCAAATCAGAAGACTTGCAGACAGAAAGAGATACAGATGAATATGGAGCCACCATCCCTTTATTACAGCTAATACAACAGTTACTTAGGTATAACAGCCACCATCCCTTTATTACAGCTAATACAACTGTTACTCAGGTATAACAGCCACCATCCCTTTATTACAACTAATACAACAGTTACTCAGGTATAAGAGTCGTATATTGTGAATATAGTAATGTTTACATTTCAGGAATATTAGTTGCGGTGAAAGCTTAAGTGACAAGAGTTTTCTTGACATTCAGTTTGGTAAAAAATCATATTCAAGTACCTGGTACATTTTCTGAGATTTGCGTACCTTTGATATCTTTTCTCACAAAAATCTCTTTGGTATCACTAAAAGTGTTCCACTGCCAAAACATTGCATATTAAACCTCTTCCACGTTCAGGACAAAAAAACATGTTTATGGTGAAACATCTCTCATACATATATATTGCTGATCATGTGATGGAAGCAGATCCTGTTCCAGACTTTAATTTTGCAATTATATATCCAATGTGTGGAAAGTAAATCTACTTTCTTGACTCTCTGTTTTACTGTTTATGTTGATACAGAAACTCGTCAACCCACTCACTGTCCCAGCTACACAATCTTGACCGTGACAGTGGGCTTAAGATGGATGACACGGACTCAAAAGAGGCGTCTCCCTCACTCGACCTCCTACTTCAGGTTCAGCGCCTCCTGGTTGCTAGGATATTCCCTCAGGAAATGGACAAGCAGTTGTTCGCAATGGAGATCGGTATGATTATAAATATCACTTACTGTTTTGTTTATAAAATTCGCAATCTAAGATCTTTGTCAACAACGTACTCACCATAACGATCTTAGTTTGTTGCTATTTATTTGTCACATAAATCCAAAACTGTGCATATTGAGTTGTGCCTATGAGGTTGTGAGGTTGGCCCATTCCTGTTCCAATGACACGTGTTCATCACAGAATATTTCTGTGCCACCTGGACCATATTTTCCACGATTTACCCAGATCAAAAGCACAAGCCCTCTTGTGAGAGCCCAATCCCTTTGTTTAGTATGCATGTATATATATTTGTCACTGCTGTAGAAAAGATTGAAATCAAATAAACTGTGTACAGTATATGGCAAAGATTGAAGGAATCTACCTGTGAATTGCAGATGTGCAATACACTACTGTATAACACGAAATGTTCGTGGGTACTTTCCTTTGTGGTTTGAAGCCATTTAGATCGTTTTGTGGATATCCTATATTAACAAACAGTAGACACGTTTATCATTCAAATTTGTTGTATTTATTTTCGTGGTTCAATAGCAACCACGAAAACCACAAATGTTTATACACAACCAACATTTCATGTTATACAGTATATTCATGCATAATGTTATTGTTTTGTGTTTGTTTCAGAGCTGGAGGCCCAGGGTACAGGACAGCTGTTGAGGAAATATGTGTCGTTACTGTGCAATCATGTATCTGACGTGTTACAGGTTGCTGTCAGTTTGTCCCACACCAGCCCCAAACACTTCTCTGTGGTCTCCAAGGTCATACGCAAGGACGTCACAGGTAAGGGGGCAATAAAACCTACACAGACCAATGAAAGGGATAATAGACAAGACAGAATAGATATAGAAGAACCTAAGTATATTATCTGGGTTTATCAAATCCCGTCTGCAATATATATACACATAAACAACCGTGGTTCACTGCAGCCTCCCCGGATAAAGGGGGGCTACTACCAATTTAAGAGACCCTTATAGGGGACAATATACTGCTCTGTGATTGGTCAATTTGTCATCTACTAATTACCATACCTTCATTAACATATATAACCAAACTGCAGCCCATGCCATGATCATGACTGAATAGGGAAACGTCATGAGTTGGATATAAACTAAGCAAGTAAATGTTTTATGTAAAATATTGCTAAAATGAATTGATGTATGCCGATATGCGCACACGTGTGTGATCAGATAATTCAAAGAAAACGAACAACAAAATACACATTTTACATAGTAAATATCATTTTACAACAATGAAAAAAAAATCATAAGAAATATATTTAAAAAAAATAAATTCAGAGATCGATTTTCGGAGCATGAACATCAGGTTTTTTTCAGATTTTTTGGGTGCGCAAAATATTCGAGTAGAAGCTTTTTTCCCCGATTTTCAGCCTCAAAAAGTACCTGCGCAAATTACACAGGTGCGCAAATTACATGGGGTTTTACGGTATACAAAACACTTATATTATTATAACGACTAAAACAAAAGAGGAGCTGGCTACATCGTTGTATATAAACTATAATTTAATATATTAAATATCAAATTATCATTTAAAAGGCACACATCCTGTCCAGGAAAAAAAACCCCAAAACATCCTGTTGTAAAAATGATTTAAGTGAAACAAAGGGGTTTTGTAGTTTGAAATTTCAATGCTCAACCATCTTTCTTTTTCAGGTATTTTATTGCCAGAGATGGTGACCTGTATGATCCTGCTCCACTTGAAGAACCCATTAGTAATCTACCAATCACGATGCGTGTCTGTTCTGGAGGGCCTGCTTGACCTTCTCAACCAGTACAACAAGCTGGCGCCGGGTCTGGACCGCGACGACAAGGAAGACCTGGCCTGGCCAGGAGTCTGGAGTAAGTCTGTGTGTCACGGGAGTATTTTTGATCAGCTGATCTTCCGTTTTTGATAAGCTTATCTTCTGTTTGCTATTAGCTTGAATGTTGTTTTCAAATGCAACAATGACAGAGGTAATGCCTTACTGACATGTACAGATTAAATCAGGTCTTGAAAGGCATCACCAAGAATAATTGCCAAATGACAATACTAGAACATTAAGTCTATACATATATTTTTCAGGAAATTTACAACTCCTGGTTTAACCAATCAGTCAGAGCAAAGAGATTTGCTTTCGGTGATAATGACGTCATTTGTGTACATTGTAACATCATGTGTCATGTTGGCCATTACCAACTAGAATCTCGGGCCGTTTTTGTTTATTGGATCCAAACGGCTAAACAGGTTAGACCAGAGTTCGTTTATTAAATAAGGTCGGACCTCAAAATCTGATGCTGCTTTCGGGCGAGCCTTGACAAAGCCTTACAAGGCCTGCATAAACATAAGCAGGTCCACTGGTATTAATAAGCAAAATGTTACATTTAAAAACAGACAAACCATTTGTTCCGCATAAATGAACAGGCTCCTGCATTCTCTCCTTTATTAATATCAATAAATGATACAAATATATGACTGTGTTTCCCAGTGACATAGGAAATGACTGACATTTACTTACAATCCAATTTATTATATAATATCAAAGTTTTACTTTATGCACAAACAATGTGCATATTAACTGTGTCCCAACATTTCAAGACCAACCGATCCCTTTATCAAGCTATTACCGAGTGAGCGATTACCTGTACAATGATGTAACGAAATTGTATATTTCATATGTCACTTGACAAAGGACGTTTTGCCTATCAATATAGAGTGTAGACGGTGACACTGTATCAGATATTGAACGCTGCGACACTTTTGATACGTACAATGGTGGTGTATAAAGTAAAACTTTGATATTCCAAACTGACGAATGTTATGACAGAAGTATTCAATTATTACAATTACTATGTTTTATATGAAAAAATATACATCTGCTGTGTTTGTTATCTGTGTCAGCTGAATGATACAAACAGGTCATAACCCAAAAATGCGTGAAAAGGTATGGGGTCACCTGCCTGCCCACGTGGGTTTTCTTCGGGTACTCCGGTTTCCTCCCACAATAAAACCCCCACCCACTAACATCCGGGCCAACAAGAGTGGTTAATATAAGTTGAAATAACTTGTTTCATAATTGTTGTAAAATAGATTACTTGGAAGTACCATCTGATAGTGCCTCCTATTTGTTTAAAATACCAAAAAGAAAATAAATACATCCTAATTTCTACCAACTGTATATTGACAGGTTACACACTAGAGAGGTACCTGCAGAAACCAACAGAAGATGTACAGTTGATCCGTAAACCTGACCTGGAGAACCACAACAAAGATGGAGGCCTGTGGATCGTCATCCACGGCAAGGTGTATGACGTCCATGACTTCAAGTCACAGGCGCCCTGCGGCAGTGAAATACTTCGCAAATATGCAGGTCTGTACATAAAAGATGATAAGCTTTTCCCACACAATGTTCTCTATCTCAGGACATACAGACTTATTTTGTATGTTAGTAAAAAAAGCATGCTATTTTTAGGTTGTATATTATAATTATCATCAGCTGGTTGTAGCTTTTTACTTGATCAAAGTTTAAAACAAAATAATTTGTCTGTAAATCAGGATCAGAATTGTATATATTTTTTTTAAATATTCATTTTCTTACAGAATACGAGTTGATTTTGTTTACTAGCTTATTGAATGACAAGTGTTTAGGACTTTTGAGAGACCGTGTTAAGATATTGTTGTTGGAAACTACTTTAATGATACACATTATTTACAGCAGTTTTGTATTTTTATTTTTATCAGCTCGCGATGCCACTACAGCGTTTGAGGCGGTTCATCACCCAGACGATGCTCGGGAGATGATGCAGGGTTTCTACGTGGGACAGTATGTGGATGTGAGTACCGATACTTCTAGTCAGACAAGTTTGACGGAGAAATAGACAGAGTCTTGATGTTCTAGTCATCTTTCTTACGATCACTCCCGTAAAAGTTCATCAGACCTTTAGTGCTTCAATTCACACATACACGCGGAGCAGTCGCCAGGTACTGGCTGTTGGTCGGTGGTTTTTCTCCGGGAACTCCGGCTTTCTTCCACCACCAATACCTGGCACATCCTTAGATGACCATAGCTGTTAATAGACATAAAACACAAGAAAAAAAAGCAAGCAAACACACATATGTTTCGGGTATAAAGATCCTTGCAACAGCCAAGGTGAGATGAAGACGGGTCAAGCCCAAATAGTATTGTTTACTGTTGGACAAACTTTTCAAACCGCATGTATATATGAAAATGGCTACATATGACTTCCTAATCCCTTCATAAAGATTTTAGAAAAAAAGACACATTCAACCTGTATACTGCAGTTAATCTTTATAGTTCTGTGCACCAGATTGTGTTTGTATATATCTGATATATAGTTATTCACATTATTTTGTAATCATAGCCGGAGAAGGACACAGTGCAGACGTCAGACACAAGCTCTGCCTCTTCGCCCCTAATGGACATTGAACGGGCTCTGGGCATGCTCCTTGGCCTGCATGCAGCCTACATGGCCTGTAGCACACCACTGTCCCAGGAAGAACAGGAGTACAGCCATTGGCTACAGTCCCAGTTCTTCACAGGGGGACTTCAGGTCCTACAGCCAAAGAACCGCTTTGAGGAAGAAAAGGGCGAGAGCCGAACGCCTTCCTGTAACACAACGCCAGGTGAATCCACTTGTAAAAGTAAAAGCACATTTATTGTTTTTATATATCACCGTTAGGATAAAAGTTATTCCCATGCATTCCAACACCTATATTTTTTTTAATTTGGAAATATTTTCAATCACATCTTGCGATACAGAATTGCATGCGACTACTTTATGTTTGTAAATTTATGTTGTTATTATCACAATGTCCAGTAACAGTAAAGAGGGGAAATTTGTTTGATGCTAGGGAAACCGACTTTGTATGTGATAGGGGAGACAGTCTTGTATAACAAGGTATTTTTTTTGTCTTATCAACAAAAAATTTAATGTATCATGTCTCTGTAGATTTGTCTTGTTGTGCATGCAACACACAATAATAGTTAAGCAGTTTGTTCTTCATTTGCCTATTGATGTTTTCTTAATTGTTCTGGAATCACTGTGTACCTTAAATATTTACTCATTCACCCCTGAAGACATATTTGAACTCTTCCAATTCAAAGGTTGGAATAGTTCATTACGAGATTTCAGGAGTTAATTAAAAATATCTGTCCAGTATGACCATTCACACCTATTTTATAGGTACACCACCGACCTCCGAACCGCGACACTTCCCTGTCCAGGACAAAGAGAAGCTGTTTGACCGCCAGGCCTCCCAGGCAGATGTGTCACGGCCGTTCCTTCAGTCTTTGGCCGAGGGTCGCACACAGGATCACTTTACCAAATCCTTCCTGGGAATCATGGAGAAGTATTTCAAACAGCACATGTTGCATATAGACTTTCATCACGATCACCCCATCGAGGAAGTTGGCAGGTAGGATGTATAATGATTATACACTTTTCATGAATGCATCATTTGCCTACCGTTCAAATTTTCAAAGGGAAGAAACCGTACAGCAAAATTAAAAAAATAAACTTATAAATTACTAAAAGACTTTTATGACAAAATAATAGCATCAAATGACATAGTTTGAATCTAAACGAAATGAAGTATGTATGATTTAGCAAGTAGCTGGGTAAAAAGTGAATGTGTGAATCTCCGACATACCCTTTCATATGTGTCTATATATATGAGGTAGGGTTTTTAATAGGACTTTTAGACATCAAAAAAGTGGGCAGGTACATGTTAATAATGACTTATTATACTAAATCTAGGATGAGTTTTCATTTCAAAGGATGCTTGTGAAACTTATCTAGAAATTGATGTTTGCATCAAGCTTTTGGCAAGCTAAAATGAAAATGAAAAGAAGATAGATAGGCATCCATTTGAAAACTTTTCCGTAGACAGGTCTATTGGTATTTATCTTTGTCAGACTTGACTCTGATGGAATGAATTGCAATGTTGAACGGTTGCCGATCCATTGACACTCCACCTGTGATGCTGTGTTTTTCAGACTATTGATTGCCCTGTTGCTGCGTCACCATGACCTCGGCCATGTGGCCATTTCTCTTGTTGAGCACGGCCAGATGGAGCAGAGCAAGCAGCCTCTCCCCAAGTCCATTGTGGAACTGTTCAAAGTTGTTGCTCAGGCAAAGCGTCACCTCATCAAGGTAATCCTCAAATTGGATTTATAATTTATCACATAATGTACTGTGTTATCCAGTGAATATATACCCATGTCATATTTTTTTGTGTGTTAACCCATTTCATATGACCTATCAACCCTGCGGTTGGTTGTAAGATTAAATTGTTTCAATTGTGACGTCACACCTAGGACAAGTACATGACATCACAGACTTATGCACTGGAGTCAAAATGCAGCTTTTTACATTTCAAGATTTGCATGAAAATTGTCGTTTCACATGAATAAATGCCACAAATCTTGATTATGTGATAAAAAGGGTCTTCCACTCGTTTTTCGTTTCATATGAAATTTATGAAACTCGTCACTAATTTTTCATTTTAGCTTTCCAGTGGCTCACTAAATTGAAAAATTCTTAGGCTCATTTCATTAATCTCATATGAAATGGAAACTCATGTAAGATCCTATATATCTACCCTAGTTTTAATTTGCTGTAAGGCATGTCTTTGAACACAACCTATGAATATCTTATTTTGGATTCATTAAAATTAAAATTATTTCAAATTTTAAAAGATATAAGAATATAGTGGTTTTTAATCATCATAAACCAATGCAATAATACGAAAAACCGGAGGCAAATGTTAAAAATGTTCTAACTCCCTTTAATCCCTTTCACCCCTATGTAACTTTAGTAGACTCTACCATGCATTGATATGGAGGGGTCCATTATGGTCTACAGTGGTGAAAAGGGTTAAATTGAAATTGAGTACCCACAGTACATCTTGGTAATTAGTCTGTTCTGAAATTTCTCCTACCCTCACAGGTTCATCAAGACCAGGCAAGATCCTACAAGGAAGTCTGTGCACCAGTTCTAGAACGATGTCACTTCCTGTTCAATGAACTTCGACCTGCTGTAGGGAACGAAGTGAATGCCATCACCCGTTCTCAGCTTTTGAAGAGTGTGCCACGTTGGAGGGATGTTGTCAGCAAAGTCATGACAGAGAAAAAGAAGACCAAATGTAAGTATGACACAGCTGTTCTGACTGGAGGGTGTTGCTCTGACCACTAGATCTCGGGGCCCTCTGAAAAATTACACATTATTATTGGCGAGGTTTGATTTTACAAAATTTTGAAATTATTTACGGTGATGCCTATGGTAAACCTCCGGTCAGTTAGAATAGGCGGATAGTTCGACCACACTTTTTGAATAATGAAAATATTTTTTTTCTGTCTAGTGATAGTTCGAACCCTGCTTACACACGTTTTGGATTGTTCGAACGCACAATTTGAGTACTGAAATTACGTAATTATTGATCCAGGTTGGCTATCGACGATGCAATAATAGCCTCGCGAAACTCGCTTAAACTGGTCTATTTTCGCATCGTCAGTGTTTAACTACTGAATATTGCAAAATAATCTATTGTTTAAGCTTTTCTATGCAGTGAAATATTTTTTGTGCTGAAAGCATAATGTAAAATATTCCATTGATTTTAAAGGTAAAATTCAGGGTGAAAAACCAGGAGTCTTTTCTTCAGAATGAAGTATAGTCAACATAAAAGCCATGCTTTGGGCAGTTTTGAATTCTTATGAAAACGATTGTACTTTAAAAAAAAATTTGTGCTAATTCACAATGTTTCATTTTCTTTATGTTTTTCACGATAACACATTTGGCTCCGTTTAGGAATAATCATCACAATTCTGATGTTATTCAAATAATTTGTCGATACAACTTTTGAGTAAATGATTTGTGAAGTGCACAGTATCTACAAAACAGTTATGATGCTTAGAGCTTTAGAAATGGTAACATGATAAATTCTTGTAAAACTAAAAAAAGTTGTATTGAATGATATTGCAGCTAACTGAATGAAAAGTACAACTTAGATTTATTTCAGCTCAGATACAATATTGGGGTACATGTATTAATTATCAAAGAATTTTTTTAGGTGAAAATTTCAATACAACAAATTTAATGAGAAGTAAAACATATGTTATAAACAACATGGCAAAGCCATTAATTTGTATGCCAATAAATTGTATCATCGTACCTTCAATATTTTTTAACTGAAATTAACACGAATGCTTCCCCAGGTCTGTCTGAGGTTATAGAGGAAACAGAGACGGAGACCAAGGAGGCCAGTATTCTGGCAATGTCGCTGTCCCAGACAGAAGGTGCCACCGGCGGGGAGAACCCCACACCCGCACAAACCAATGACCCACCAAGGCCAGAGGAGAATACCGACGCGGGAGAGGTGAAGGTTTTCGCAAAGGGGACAGCCCCTCCTGTTGTTACAGAGACTCAAGCTTTAGACGCAACAGACAAAAAGGTTGGTGTTATTGTGCATTCCGCTAAATATCATGTCATGTGTCAAAAGAAAACATGATATTATGTGGAATATGACAAGTGTTTTCACTAAGAAAGTATTTTTTTATTAACAAATCTTTTTAAATGCTTTATAAATATGGATATACTGATGACCATAACAAAAATGCCCCAATGGTCTCATAGATTTAACCTGTGCAATTATTTGTTCAGCAATTGACTATAAAAACATGATATTACAGGTAAAAGAAGTTGTGTCTATTCACATGTTCAAAAACAAACTAAATAAGATGCAATACTTAGAGGGAAAAAATCCTCCGGGAACTACAGCTTTCCACCGCCACAAAAACCTGGCATGTCCTTAAATGACCATAGCTGTTAATAGGACGTAAAACACAAACAAACAAAACAAAACTATTTCAACAAACTTTTACAATTATGTTGAAGGTTGATTCGTGGAGTCACATAGTGGGTGCAGTGACAAGTTCCCAGAAGTTCAGCTGGCTACGACAGCGACTAACCGGCTGTAAGATGGAGATGCCACTTGTCAACAACATCATTGAGTTTGTCCTCTACGAACATCCCATTGACATTGAAAAGCTCCGCAGGTCTCTTCATTATCAGGTAGCTATACCAGCCCTTCTCCTTCTGTTGCTAAGCAAACACCTTTTATTTCCCACAAACAATATATATATAGAGATGTTCCTACTGTAAAATGTTACAATATTGATGTCACAGGTGATATAGCCAACCCTTCTCTTTCTGTTGCTAAGCAAACACCTTTTATTTCCCACCTACAATATATAGAGTGATGTTCCTAATGTAAAATGTTACAATATTGATGTCACGGGTAATAGAGCCAACGTCGTTGTCGTTTGTATAGTAGATAATTGGGTCCTTCGCCCTTCCCCTGGATACCCGAAGGTATGCAGGGGATTGGTGAATTAGGGTAAACTCAAATCAGGAGAATAAATCACAACAATCTTGGGGCGGGTTCTTCTACTTTTATTTGGTTGTTTGTCGAGCGGTTTTGCCCACAGTATCCACTTCTTCAGGACCTTTTCTTGATTGCGATGAATCAAGATTAAATATTTAGTCGACACTATTAGGAAATATTTGATATTTGTCAAAGGTTGTTAATGATTGTGACCTTCTTCTACAGGTGGAGCGTGCCCAGTTACGACTAAAGGGTATACAGAGCATGCTGGGATTGGTACACAAAGATCACCTGATCCCTTCCGTCAAGTACGCTGTGCTATGTGGATGGCAAGGGCTCCTCACTGTCGGCAAAATGGCCTGGTACATATCTGCATAATTATATAGACTCTTTAACTTATAAAATGGCCCGGTACATATCTATAAATATATAGACTCTCTAATTTATAAAATGGCCCGTTACATATCTATAAATATATAGACTCTCTAACTTATAAAATGGCCCGGTACATATCTACATATATATAGACTCTCTAACTTATAAAATGGCCCGGTACATATCTATAAATATATAGACTCTCTAGCTTATAAAATGGCCTGGTACATATCTATATATATATAGACTCTCTAGCGTATAAAATGGCCCGGTACATATCCACATATATAGACTCTCTAACTTATGAAATGGCCCGGTACATATCTATATATATATAGACTCTCTAGCGTATAAAATGGCCCGGTACATAACTACATATATAGACTCTTTAACTTATAAAATGACCCGGTACATATCTATAAATATAGAGACTCTCTAGCTTATAAAATGGCCTGGTACATATCTGCATAATTATATAGACTCTTTAACTTATCAAATGGCCCGGTACATATCCGTAAATATATAGACTCTCTAACTTATAAAATGGCCCGGTACATATCTATATATATATAGACTCTCTAGCTTATAAAATGGCCCGGTACATATCTACATATATAGACTCTCTAACTTATAAAATGGCCCGGTACATATCTACATATATAGACTATCTAACTTATAAAATGGCCCATTACATATCTATATATATATAGACTCTCTAACTTATAAAATGGCCCGGTACATATCTTCATATATAGACTCTCTAACTTATAAAATGACCTAGTATCTATATAAAAACTATCTTTACTACAAAATTGCCTGGTTTGTATCCGATGTTGGTCAGTGGAATCTTTTACCTACAAAGTTTTTTTCAGTCAAAGGGTATGGAAATAACAGTTATATCTGTTCTGAAGTCTTTTGGTAATAACTTGCCTTTCCTTTGCTGTAGTGAACCAGTCCCCCACTGCCTGTCCAATGTGAAGCTTATCCCACCGTGTGACCGGATCCTCCTGGAGCTCGCTTTCTCTCACCTGTACAGGTGGGCTATTAATGAGCTCCGTAACGGCATCATACAGTCCGACATGATGTTTAAGGCCCGGGGCATCAATCCATCTACCCCAAGTACTGACTCAGGAAAGGTAAGCATGCCTTAATACCATATATTTTACAGTAGTCAGAGAGAGCAATATTATTTATAGAAATATGATAGGTAGGTGGCCTGCCTCCCTCACAATTTTCTTGGCCATCTTTTTGGTTTATCTGGTTGAAACGGTCTTAACGACACTGGCTCTGGGCTAAACAAATAGGCAGAGCTCAGAATGCACAATTTCAGATTTTCTATTTAAAAAATAGCAATAACCAAACAAGCATGTGCTTCTGTTTCCATTGTAAAAAAATCATGATTTTCCCTAAAATACATTCTGTATGTGAATGAACCTTATTTAATGTAGAAATACTGCAAACCAGGGATTATCAGGCATTTATTGTCAGACAAGTATTATAACCGGACCCTTCGATCTACACATGCCAAATTTTTCAGAGGTCAACTTTGGTCTTGACCTGTGCCTGTTGATTCTTTTCAGGTTCAGCCAGTTGAAATGGTTGAACCAGATTAAGGAAAGCAGCTCTGGTGTATTTAAGTATCTTTATATTTACATTTCTGTTAACTTGCCTGAATGTTGTAGGAGAGACTTAGCCTTGGTGCGCTGCCTCACTCACGCTTCCTCCTGGCCACGATGGGTATCCTGGTGTCGGAGCACCATTCTAACAGTCTCAGCCTCCTCATGAACTCGGGTGTCTTGGGACTTACACAGACCCTGTTACGTCTGGCAGGTAAGGAATCCTTCCGGCTATTGTTAGTGGCATGTTACGTCTGGCAGGTAAGGAATCCTTCCGGCTATTGTTAGTGGCAAATTGAATAGAAAATTGTAGATAATTGAAATTGTTATAGAAAATTATTAATCTAGTTAAATTTTTGGGAACAACCATATTGCGTTGTCCAAAATTCTAAGTGCATGTTCTGTCAAACTAAACAGTATTGATCAAATGGAAAATGAAGTGATGACAAATATCTGTTTACAGGATGGAAAACAAATGTTCTTATAATGATTTAATAATAACGAAATGTGCCTTGCACTTTTATTATTTTGATTCTATTGTTCTATGACAAATTGCAAAAAAAAAAAAAAAACAGTCAAACTTAGGCAAAGATGCCCTGTAAATAGCATTGATAATGTTATCATAAAAGCATTATACAGGGGAGACAACCTTAGATAAAATTAGTGAAATGGTTGCAGGCCCAGATCCAGAGCGGATGATACAGGACAACTCCAGCTCTATATGTGCTGTCCTTGAGGAGCAGAAACACAAGAAACAGTCACAACCTGTTCCCATCTCTGGGCCAGAGTTGGCGGCAATGATGAAAATCGGGATGCGAGTTGTTCGTGGTGTGGACTGGAAATGGGGAGACCAGGTATGGAGAGTCATGAATTTATAAAGAAGAAAGTTGTAAACACTTACAGTACTGAGCACTTTTCATATCAGTAATAATACACAACTAATTAAGTTGTCATCTTAATGATGCTTACAAAATTTTTGTGAAGTGTTTTAAATTAAACATGCAGTAGATAACAAATGTAAAGAGAAAGCTTACATTAAAGGTCCTGTGTTTCTTTTGTTGGTGTCTGCTAGCTGACAGATTGAAAGAAGCCAGAAATTTGTGGGGGGAAAAATGGGGGAAAAATGGGGGAAAAAAGCCCAAGGAATTTGGAAAATTCTTCCTTCATTAGCAGCCTGTTTCTAATTGTAACTGTATCAATATGTTGCAATTGATCCGGGAGTTCAATGCTAGCTATTGAACAGAATGGACCCCCTCTTAGTAGGGAATGAGTGATGGGAGTGTTATTTATACATATACATGTATATACACCTGTTGTACAGGATGGACCTCCCCCCAGTATGGGGCGAGTGATTGGAGAGCTGGGAGAGGATGGCTGGATACGTGTCCAGTGGGACACTGGCAGTACCAATAGTTACAGAATGGGCAAGGAGGGCAAGTATGACCTCAAGCTGGCCGAACCCCCAGAGATGCCTGATAATGATGAAGATGAGGATGAAGAACTAGACATTGGTCAGTATGAGGGGAAATATGACATAAAGTTATTTACCTGAAACCAGCAAATGAATTGTGAAGCAAATTTGATCAGAATTACATTTTTCTGCTGTATTATTTTCTTTTGAGTGTATAAATTGAATTGTAAGACTATTATGACTTCTTAAATAATGATTGTGTTTATATTTGTAATCATAATCACAACAAAATTACATATTTTGAAATTATGGGTGAACAACTCTAAAGCTACTCATAATCTGAACAGCTTCAACCATTACATTTATTCTCTTCAATAAGGACATTACATGTCTTCTGACTTTGTAAAGACACCAGCGTCCTTGAAATTGTCGGTTCAAAATAATATTGCAATCTGAATTAAAAAGTTCTTGTTTCTTTATTTATTACAATTGCTTTGATGAAATGTTTGCCCTGCAGACTCCAACAAACCAGAAAGTAGACACCCCACTGCCTTGTTAAGGAGGTCCTCCCTTCACCTGCTGCGCTCACTGGCAATCTGCTGTGCTTTGCACTCCGAAACCACCCAGAAAGAGGCTGTCAATTCTTTGTGCGGACTGATGAGGAACATCGTGGACAGTGGTTGTAACTATGGACTCAGTAAGAACAAGTTATTGTATTTCACTTTGTTAATCTGATAATATTAATGGAGGCACGGTAGTCTAGTGGTAGGACGCCGGGCTCGTGACCGAAGGGTTGCGGGTTCGAGTCACGGCACGGCACTGTGGTGTATCTTTGAGCAAGATACTTTACTCCGCTTGTTCCAGTCTACTCAGCTGTAAATTAGTACATCGTTTGGGCAGCGCTAGAATTGTTCATTCACATTTATATAATTTAGGGAATATCATGAAATATAGTACAATGGAAACAGAAGCACGTTGTTTTTTGGTTATTGCTATATATTAATGACAGCAACGGCTGTATGCTCGCCAGGGGAGTTGAGAAAGATATTGGCTGGTTGCAAAGGCACTATAACCACAGATAATAATTTGTGAACTGCTTTGAGACAATCCCCTACAAACTATGTTATGATAAAGCAGTATATAAGAACTTGAATTATTATTATTTAATATACCTGACAAAATAGTATACAATGCAATGTTGGCAATACATATCATCACTAACCCATTAAAAGTAGAGGCATTAATTTATGTACACCTTTAATGTAAAGAAAATGCATTAAGATACCATTAAAAGTAATATATCGATATTGAAATAGCATATTATTCTTATGATAAAATAATGTTATATCAGTTTAATAGATCTACTAATTATATAACCAGTCTTGTACTACAGGAAACTTATCTGTCATGTATTATAACGCATGTATGAAGGTGGTTGAGATTCGTCGGCTGGATAGCCGAATTATTCGGTAATGATGCGGACGTAAAACCACTCAACCATACAAACAAGCAAACAAGGTGGTTAAGATATAAAACAAATGAAGAGGTTTTCTGATTGTTTGTAGACTCCAACTCTGTGTCAGCCCAGGTAGCCTGTGAGCAACACCACAGCTGGTGCACCCTGGGATTCATGCGAGCCATTGCCACGGGGACGTCAATATGTCACGCCTTCAGCACCCAGCGCTGGGTAGATCTACTGCTGAGGATGCTGGAAGAGGACAACACATTACAACTAGCAAAGAGTGTCACTAGACAAGTAAGCCTTGACTGACAGCATCCTCATTCAAAATTTTACTTCAATCTAATTAAAATTATATCTTCACATCGCTCCCGTTTACTGATATGTCGCGTTGAAGATCTAACAACATCCCGTAGAGGGTCATGTTCAGGCGACCTTTGCATTAACCAATCAGATGAGAGCTTACGCATTTCTGTAAGTGATGATGTAATGATTTTGGAACACACTTGCTATGATAAAAGAAAGAGAGGTGTCAAATGAGTAATCGAAAATGGCGGCGCCCATGACACCACGCCGTGGCTATCTACAAGACAACGTTTGTACAATTTGTGGATTTTGCTTTGAAATTAGAGAGACTTCCTCTTCTGGTGTTGTTGTCGTTAAAAAGTTTAACAACCTGAAACTAAAATTAACCAATGACAGGCTTCGCAATATTCAAACTATCACTGGACCAGACGAAAAAAGTGGATTTTGGGCTACGAGGTGTCTGCATTAAATGCTACAGGTCCTGCTTTCTGATTGGTTGAAAGAAAGAGTTATGTCCCGTTTTAATTGGCTTGTTATAAATACGATAATGCTTTCATGTTGACCTCTGACGTGACCCTCTATGGGATGTTGTTAGATCTTCAACGCGACATATCAGTAAACGGGAGCGATGTGAAGATATAATTTTAATTAGATTGAATTTTACTTCATCTGCAGACATTTGAGGGGGACAAAAGCTTTTCTTTTTTTGTGAACTTTCAGAAAAAAAATTGTCTGAGAAGGGAACCAATTATATTTTAATTTCATTACAATTATTCTCTTTTTTTTTGCCTTTTCATTTCCTCAGTACTCCCTTCCCACTTCCTTTGTAATTAATAATTAAGTGCCGTTATTTTTTCAAAAAATCTAAAATGTACAGGCAAGCTATACAACATTAAACAGTGGTACAGATTTCATAAAAATTATATCAAATATTGATTGACTTTCAACATTGCGACATATTTCACCTCCGGTCAAATTTCTGAATGTTGACTTTGCATTGATTTCAGATTCTTACTCTGAAGTTCTTGAGAGCAGTTCTGCCATCTTGGGACCCGTCAGTGAAGGAGTCGAGGGTGAAGGTCATTGTAAAACAGCTGTTTGAGATGTTGGGACGTATCCTGATGTCCTGTGTGGCTGACCCCACACTTCTGCCTCAGAGTGAGTGATCCGAGCCCTCCACAACATCAATTTATTTCCTAAACGCTTTCTGCATATTATTTCGATGAATTTAACGATGCATTTTTGTGTGGATTTTTAAAATGATATTTGACAGCATAGTCAAACCTGCTTCCAAGACGACCTGTGTTAATAAAAGTCTTTTTTAAAACTCTCCAATGTAGTGATTTTGATTGTTAACTGTTCATGGTTTTTGAGACCACTTACAATAGGAGATTATTTCATTGACTCACAAATGGTGGTCTCTTTATACAAATTTGACTGTTTATCAAACTGTTGATAGGTTGATTCTGTTTAATAAAACATTCACACAAGTTAGGTGTAAGATAATATTGAACTCATGCCTTATAGTAAAGTAAAGCTTGGTTTTCTCCTTACCATATGTATGATTTTACTTATTTAATTGGGAGAAAATACGATGTAAGTTGGTGTCAATAGATAAATGTGGCACCATGTTGTGAAGTAACCCATTAATGTGACAAATGTTAATCTATAATGTCCTATCATTTGAGCAGTGGACACTCCCAGGAAGGGTCATAAACAGCGGGCTCCAGTGTCTCTGACCGCATCCTACACCAGTACCATCGCAGAAGAGCTTGTCGCCCTGCTACGGAAGCTGCACACATGTGAATGCTGGAACAAGCACATCAACAACTACATCATCTCGCGCCTCTCAAGTATATCCACACTGATGGTGGACAGAGTGCAGCCCTCCAATGATGTACGCTAATCTAGAGAATCTCGAATTAGTTTCTATTTCATGTCATTCTTCCAACAATATACACCTCGCAAAATAAAGGGACTTACAAGTTATTGGCATATCCAGTACATCAGGTTAATTGATATAGAATATACATTTTTTAAGCCACTTGACATAACCGTCTTTAAATGTGACTGGAATACAACATTTTAGTTTCCATTTGTCGTAAAATAACAGATTTATTTGTTCTTATTGAGTGCAAAGTTTTTAGATATCATATTGTGTCTTGTACCATATTTACGCTGTGTCGACAGTCTAAACCTGAAGAAATTGTTGTAATGATATTGTGATATGTCTAATTCAGGGCTATTAAAATAGTCACCATTGTTTACCAGGTTTAAGCTGGTACTGTTAATTTTTACATGTTTTATTTCTTTCTGGAACTGGAAATAGAAGATGAAATTCATAGGAGGTCATAAACAAATCAAATGATATTAAACAAACCAAATTACATACAATATATAGAGATAAAGGATGTTTCCAGAAAGTATGATATTAACAAATATATTAACTAACTTTACACTAAGTAGCGTTGACTTTTCACCAGTATGTTGTGTTACAGGATCCATGCATAGTGATGTCACCAGACCCCCAGCGAGGTGTCATGGCCGCCCTCACTCTGATTGGTGGGATTGACAACAGGCCACACCTGGGAGGAAGGGTCTGTCATGATCTGTTTCATCAGGGCACCATTGCCCGTATCACACCTAAGGGAAAAATACATGTCCAGTTTGACGATGGTTTTCTCCGAGCCTGTAGACTTACGGAATTGTCTGCTGTAAGTGTACATGTCTAGTCAAGTAAATCTTATGTAATTTTGCAATTACCAGTTTCATTTGAATTAAAAGTCCAACACTTGGTATCAAGAATACCTGTTGATATACAAGAAAAAATACAAAATCACAAAATTCTAAATTTCATATTGAGGGACAAACTTTTTATGCTCCGTATTAATAAGAAATAATAATATTATTTTTTTACAATATCTGGTTTTATACATTGCCAGAGTTTATATTGTATAAGTGGAGATAACTGTAGTATTTTTACAAATATCTTTGCACAGTGTCAAAGTGTGGAGTTTTGTGTGGACAAGCTGCCAATGAATGACCGTGTTTGTAGCATGTGGTCAGGGTTGATCAGTCTGGCCAGCACCGTGTCCAAGCCCGACAAGGACCTGATCAAAGACCGCGCCCCACTGGCTGCCAGTATGGCTAGTGTGGAGTCCGAGCTCCTCTGTACGTATCAGTACTACACACCTGCTTATCATCCCTATGTGATGAGGTCATTCTCCCTGAATTAAGTGTTTCTTTTGTCCATAGTATTTGTTGGACCTTTTTCATCACTCTTCGCAACTTTCAAATATCTAGATATACAGTCACAATGAAATTCATTATCGGAGAATGAAGTTGCAAGAGTGATGCATACCGGTAACTAAGCACTATTGATAAGATGTAAGGTATATGCTGAGTAACACACTGTTATGCATGTGAGTTAAATTTTACCATTTGGGATATATATCGCGATGCCTTTTTTGTTTACCAAGTTCCTGGCTAAGTGATCCTATGACGTCATGTTGTAATATTTTGACCTCTTAAGATCATTGATCCTCAGATTCGAGTAATTAATGTTTTAGTCTTCACTTTCCTATCCTGTTACCTATTATCTATTTCTGTATTTTGTTGCAGCATCCGTGTCCTTTGACATATGTGACCTGCGACGCCAGCAGTTGCGTCTCTGCCTTATCAGGGCTTGTCGTGTGCTGTTCAGTCGTCAGGAAAAGCTACGCCTCATTATGAGTCAGAGCGTGAACCAAGAGGCGGTGCCTGCGCCTGATCCAGATCTGTCTGGCAGCGATGATGAGCTGGGTGATGGACCAGAGGCGCCCTCTACAATACTTCAGCAGCTGATGCTGAGTGCCACACAACCTTCACCGCTAAAGGCTGTGTTCACACGGGAGGAGCTAGAGGTAGGCTTAGTCATGTGGAAGGAGCTAGAGTTTGACTGTTCACACCACAGGAGATGGAGATAGACTGTATTTATACAGGAAGAACTAGAGATTGTTGGCTGTGTTTGTACTTGTAGGCTTTATTTACACAGTAACAGCTTTCTGCATATAGTATTTTCTCTGTAAATGGTCAAATCAACACCGGACAGACACAAATTTTATGGGTAGAGGATGAACATTTCACCGAGTGAAAGTTTTAGAAACCAGACATTCCGATACCTTGTTATAAATTCTTGTATTTAATACAAAGATCAAATCTTTTATTGAATAAGTGTGTGAAAAGATAATATCATCTTAGTTATAAATTTGCATATATATATATTCATAAATGTTGGACGTTCTTCTTTTAATAAGTTTTAATTTTTTTTTGGAATTTGACACTAGTTTGCAGGAAATCTGAATTAGGAACTGTTTATAAAGATCATCTGTTTTCTCCCTCTAGGCTGCCGCCCTGGCAGTATGTCAGTACCTAACTGCTGCTAGTTTGCTGGATCTAGACGAGACCGACTCATCGGACTCTGAAAGCGAGCATGAAGCGTCAGTGCCGTACAAGACTCAAACATCAGCCAATACAACCAGCAGCCGAACAACAAAGACCAAAAAATCCAAGGCCTCTTCCCAGCAGCCTCCTCCAACTGCAGTCGTTACACAGATAATGGAGATGGGCTTCCAGAGGAAGCATGTGGAAATGGCTATTAAATCTATGGGTAAGTTTAATAGCTTATAGAAAAGTTAAGATGTTTAAGAATGACCAACCAGTAATACTGTACGATCAACTCTGTAGGTATGTAGTGGTGAAAAAATTCTACCATCTATTGTATTTCCCAACCTTTAAGTATCTCATTCACATCCAAGCATAAAGGTTGTAATTCTCTTTGGGGGTGAAAACATTTTTTGTCTCGCTGCCACAAAGTGGTATATTCGTGGTAGCGAGGCTATAAGGTGTTGCTTTTCCATCGACGGCGTCAGCATTAAGTTTTTGTGTTTTAGTTAGTTTCACTGAAAGTATATAAGTGCTAGACCAACCAAACTTGGACCATAGATGCATCTTGGGTAGTACATCTCAACCCATGAATCAAATGTGGATGCAGCCTGCTTTTCATGGTCCATTGACTTTGTCAGCATCTCCATCAACATTAAGTTTTTGCATTTAAGTTAGTTTCTCTGATATGTGCATTGATGGTAAAAGCGGGGCATAGGTGAGACATATCAATCTGAATGGCTTGTGAAATATTGTTGCAAAAAAGTATTAACAAAATTGATATCTTGACTGGTAGTGCAGTGGACAAGCTCCCTGCTTTATGATCAAGTTGTCTGGGAGGGCAATCCCATTATCAAAGCCAAGATGTTTCTTGTATAAAAGGACATTGTTGTTAGTACCATATATTTCTTTGATGTATTTCTCTTTGCCAAAGTAAATGGGTAGGCAACTCAGAGCCTGGAAAAATGCTAGATAACTTGAAACAAATTGGTACCCTTATTTGGTTTTTGTTGACACAGAGCCCTTGGAAACTCTATCTTATTGATGATGGGATTAAATTTGTTATAGCTGGAGGATCACTGCTGGCCGAGGGAGACAACCCTCGCCCCGAGGCACTAGTCAACTGGCTGATAGAACACCCGGAGGTCAGCACACACGAGGAGTCGGACACAGAGAGCCTGTCCTCTGTAGACTCCTACTCCGAGTCCGACTCCACCTCGGAGGACTTTGACGATCTCGACATAGCCTACGATGCCAATTCTAGTCTCGTGGTGAGTCAGCAGGTATAGACTACCAGTGGATATAAACTGTTTCGGTTCGGAGTAGGTGTTATTTTGTTGGCTGCTTGTGGATTCAAACCAATAAAGTTATACATTTGTGTATGGCATCAAGTTTTAAGTAAAATAGCGAGATAAGCTTGTCGATTCCAGTTTAAAAAAAAAATGGGTTTTGAAAAGATTCTCCTTCTACTTATCAGTTCTGTTACAAAGAATATAGAAAAAGTTTCAAAGATATTTCATCTGCCATGAGTTTAATCATTGAGTAGAAATTTGAACCGAAGTTTGTTATTCTCGGACAGATTTCGAGCGAGCTAGGAGCGACTGGTACAGTACAGACGTACAAGAGGCGGTCAGATTTCCTAAGCAATGACGAGTATGCGATGTATGTGCAGGATAACATTCAGACAGGCATGACTGTCAGATGTTGTCGCACGTATGAAGAGGTACAGGAAGGCGACACAGGAAAGGTGGTCAAGGTTAGTACGGCTCTTGTATCTGGTGTAGGAGTTCTTCCTACTTAACCTGACCTTGATTTCTTAAAGAACTGTAATTAAGAATTCATTTACGCCAGTGCGCATTTAGTGATAATTCAAATTTTTATTTGGTAGTTTCTTAAATTTGACTTCTTAATGAGATTTGATTTTTTCCCGTAATTTATCAAATTATCATTTGAAATATCATTAATGAAACATTTTATCAATAAAGAAATGTTTTTTTGAGAAATTGTTCACATTTTATTTTTAAGGAATTCAGTAGAAATAATACAGTGTTACATTTAATGGTGACACTAAAAAGATGGTTTGTCTAGTTGAACTGAATCAAATTCCTATTTTATTAAAAAATAAAAAGGAAACCTGCATTTTAAATAAAAGAACAGCTAGATATTAAGTCTATATATGTTAAGAAATTAAAGGAATTGATTGACATCAGTATCATACTGACATAGAGTGACCGATTATCGAAACATAATGATGTACCTTCACAATTAATACATATTGTTGATTTATCTTGCCAGTTGGACAGAGATGGACTTCATGACCTGAACATTCAGGCTGATTGGCAAAGGAAGGAGGGAACATACTGGGTCAGATACATCCATGTGGAACTCCTTGGACATCTAGGTCTGAGTACTGGTAGGTTTAATTCATGGGTACCCCCCCCTTGGACAGCTAGGTATCGTATGAGCACTGGTAGGTCTAATTCATTTGTAACCCCTTGGACAGCTAGGTATGAGCACTGGTAGGTCTAAATCATTTGTATCCCCCTTGGACAGCTAGGTATGAGCACTGGTAGGTCTAAATCATCGGTATACCCTTGGACAGCTAGGTATGAGCACTGGTAGGTCTAAATCATTTGTATCCCCTTGGACAGCTAGGTATGAGCACTAGTAGGTCTAAATCATTTGTATCCCCTTGGACAGCTAGGTATGAGCACTGGTAGGTCTAAATCATCGGTATACCCTTGGACAGCTAGGTATGAGCACTGAGATATATCTGACGCATATGACATGTAGGCCTAAGTGGTGGTAAATCTGACACAATTTGAACTCATCAAACATAATTGGGAAATGAACAAAAGGCCTTGAAGGATAAAGTTCCAGAAAGTTTAAGATATTTTATACTAAAATATTTAATTTGATTATTTAAAGGTTCATCTCAACCCATTAAAGTTGGAGACAAGGTACGAGTCAAACCAAGTGTGACGATGCCCACCTACAAATGGGGTTCTGTGACACATCACAGTATTGGAACGGTAACAGGTAAGACAGGAAATTACAACATTGTTAACAGTCTTAGGAACCCTACTTCTAAAATAAAGTGCCTTGTAAATATTTAAATATTCTTCATAGCCCTGCTGCTTACTTGAAGGGGCATTAAATATTTACCTTTTCTGTTGATAAATTTGACTTATAACTTCCACTTCACTGACTTTAGTTATTTATATTTTGCCTTAAGCTCTATTGAATTTTGTGATTTGGTGTTACCTCCATATCCATTAAATTGAAAATTATTGCATTCTTAATTTTTATGAAACATTTTCTACTTGCCATTTGTACACATTTTACAATGATTTATTGAATTTTTCACACTATGTTTAATAATACTGGTCAGGTTTTTATATTGAATATGTTTTATGTTATATTGAGGAAACATATGTATACCAGATTTGAAGTACTAAATCACTTGTTATCATCACTGTAGCTATCAACCCTAATGGGAGAGACCTGACTGTAGACTTTCCCCAGCAAGCCCACTGGACAGGCATTATTGATGAGATGGAGATAGTTCCCAGTACACACCCTGGGGTCAGGTAAGGCTCCTTCCCAATACACACCCTGGGGTCAGGTAAGGCTCCTCACCCAGTACACACCTTGGGGTCAGGTAAGGCTCCTCACCCAGTACACACCTTGGGTTCGGGTAAGGCTCCTCATCCAGTACACACCTTGGGGTCAGGTAAGGCCCCTCACCCAGTCAGTACACACCATGGGGTCAGGTAAAGCTCTTCTCCCAGTCAGTACACACCCTGGGGTCAGGTAAGGCTCTTCTCCCAGTCAGTACACACCCTGGGGTCAGGTAAGACTCCTCACCCAGTACACACCTTGGGGTCAGGTAAGGCTCCTAACCCAGTACACACCTTGGGGTCAGGTAAGGCTCCTCACCCAGTACACACCCTAGGGTCAGGTAAGGCTCTTCTCCCAGTCAATACACACCCTGGGGTCAGGTAAGGCTCCTCCCTCAGTTCACACCCTCGAGTCAGGTTAGGTACCTCTCTAAGTTCATACCCTGGGGTCAGGTAAGGCTCCTCCCCCAGTTCATACCCTGGGGTCAGGTAAGGCTCCTCCCCCAGTACACACCCTAGGGTCAGGTAAGGCTCTTCTCCCAGTCAGTACACACCCTGGGTCAGGTAAGGCTCCTCCCTTGAACTTGAAAATGAAGAAAATCACACATTTCAGATAAAAATAAGTAGAACAGGATTGATCTAATTGCAATAAAAAATATAGTCATGTTAAATGGACATGCTGACATTTAAAATCAAAATTATTTACATCAAATTATGTATCTTTCTTACATTTTCTGTCATTTTTGCTGACATGAATCTCAATTTTAAAAGATTTCTTTCTTGTCATTTTCATTTTAAGATGGCATCATAGCAAAATATACTTATCATCTTAAACAGGCAAAGCTTTTCGAAACATTTTTTATTTTTTTGCTGTTCATATTTTTGGTTACTGTAATGACTTAAAATTTGATATGGTTCATATCTGTTTACAGTTGTGACGAATGCCAGGTCTTCCCTATTGTGGGTCCAAGGTTTAAGTGTAAATTGTGTGAAGATTTCGACTTCTGTGAAAATTGCTTTCGCTCAAAGAAACATCGTCATCCATTCAACAGAATTTCAGAACCAGGTAATTTTCACGGTCTGTTGTTACACTGCAACGCATTGCTGACATAGCTTTTAGAATTCTAGTGGCAGATTGGAGAAACATCAAAGGGGTCTCACGAGATGTTTAATGAAGATGAAGTCTGAATTAGATAATGACCAAGAAAAAGATGTTTTTGAAAAGAAAAATGAGGGATGATTGTGTTACAAGTTTTTTTCTGAAGTCCACAAAATTCTTTTGGATCTGCAATTGTGTTCTTTCCAGTTTTGTGATAGATGAAGAATAATTGGGGAAATACCACTGCATGATGGCACTTATACCTACAGTAGGTAGTGGAATGTTGTTCATCAGAAGTGCACACAAAGGAAAACTTATTTTTAGATGCTGAAGTTGGGAAATTAATTCAGGATGTTTCAGTTATCAGACAAAGGAAATCTGAAGGGGGGAGGGGGGGGGGTAAAAATAATATTAATCTATTGTGTGGATGAAAACTATTTAGATAGTGGTGTAGATATGCTACTGTATACAAGGAAACGTTTGCCGCAGATTAATTTTCTTCCTTGTTGCACTCCATAATAAGGGCAAGTCTGTCATGACAGCAAATATATCAGTAAGTAAAATGTACATTGTACATGACATTTCAACTGATGAATAAAATTAACACTTGTCAAATATTGATTATACCAGTTAGTTATAAACATTTCACTTTGGTTTGTGTTAGAGGTATACCTCTAAACGAATCTGGTGTATCTGTTGTATGTGTAATTGAATAATTAATTAACTGTATCGAGTGCGGAACTCTCCTGGAAAGAAGGTGCAAACAAAGTAAAGTATGATGAATCCTTAACTTTCCCTGTATACATTATTTAAAAAAAAATCATTAACAGGCAGTGAGCCAGTGCTGGTTGGTAAGCCAGGGAAACACAAGAAGAAGTTGTCTTTCCCACTGTCTGGCTCAATGATTGATGACTGGCACAGCTGTGTGAAGAGTCTGATGGTATCCTCCCGGGAAAACCAGGCCCACCGTCTCATAGAAGGCAACAGTGGCTACTGGCAGAGCTCTGGTTCACAGGGAAAGGTCAGTTTGTACTCAAACATTTCTGAAAGCTTTCAGAGTAGGCGTGGTAGCACCGACACAGAGGATAGGGTTCGATTTATTTTTCGGCTGTTAGAACTAGTGTCTCTTTATTAGACATTTAGAAGGACTTCAAAAATATATATACCAAACAAAATTTCTAGAATAGCCAGGAGTACCGGTCCAGGCCTGGTGCTGCAATACGACTAGTGTTAGGTTAAGGTAAACATAAGGCCTAGGAGCCTTCTTACAAAAATAAGATTTATACATTAAGTACATATATACATATATACATAGATGGCTCCATCTCTCCCCTGTCTCCCTCTTCTTTTCTTTCACTCCATACTTTATCCCTTCTACTCATTTTCCCGTTTCTTCGTCTGCTGGATAATTGAATTTCCCAATCAATCAATCAATCAAAGCTTTCAGGATGTCTGGACTACTATTTGGTGATTTTCAAAGGTCTATTTTGAATTTGGTTCTGATATTTCACTGGTTAAAATGTAATACAGTAAATGCTTTTATGATTTTTGATTTTTTTTTACATTGATATTTAATCTTTAGTTAAATAGAGATAGAAAGACAAATAGATGTTTCTAGTTTTAAATTCCACATTGCTTTGATTAAATTATTAAGAATTACGTATTAAAGTCATGTATTTGAAAAATTGTTTTTAATATGTAGAAGTAATAATGAAACTGTATTTCACTCATTACAGAGGAGTCAGGGTTAGCATTATACATCATGTCAGTTTGACATATATCTGGTTTGCATTTAAACTTTGGGTGAAAAGTATTTTTCTTAATGTGGCCCGTTAATTATAAGAGCCTTAATATAAGCATGAAGTATAATCTCACTTCATCTTTATAATATATATTTTTTATCGATTTAGCACTGGATCCGTCTTGAGTTACAACCCGACATCCTGATCCATCGCCTCTACATGAAGGTTGACCCTGCAGACTCGAGCTACATGCCGTCCCTGGTCGTCCTTAGTGCTGGCGACTCCATCAACACAATCAAGGAAAACATAAAGACTGTGACTATTGGTCCCACCGATACACTTGTCACTCTCCTGGAGAACATGAATGACGTGAGTAGCGATTCCTATTCGTTGTATGTAAATAATATTGGAGGCAATAAGTCTTGCCCATTAGGTATATGATTAATTAACTCATTCACCCCTGAAATTTCATAATGAACTATTCCAACCTTTGAATTGGAAGGGTTCAAATGTGTCTTCAGGGGTGAATGAGTTAATCACAGGGAAACGAATAAAATGTATGTTTCTCTAAAAAAATCCTCGATACTAGGGCAATAATTTTTGTAATTGATGTGAACCAAGAACCTGGTTAAAAATATTAACAGTTAATATTTGTTATAAAAAGATTTGCTTTATTATGTTATTGAATTTCATTCTTGAACGCTTGTTAACTCATTCACCCCTGGAGTTTCATGATGAACTAATCCAACCTTTGAATTGGAAGAGTTCAAATGTGTCTTCAAGGGTGAATGAGTTAAATTATGTCTAGGAAATGAAGATAAAGCTAATGCGTGTAATTGAAAATGTCTTTAAATGGAATTAGCTTGATATTAACCGATTGACTTTGTTTACTGTAGTATTTCCGGTTTGTGGAGGTCTCAGTGAAGCAGTGTCGTAGTAGTGGAATAGACTGCAAGGTGCATGGCCTGTCTGTGATAGGTCGTCTTCGTGCAGACGAGGATGACATGGCTGCCAGCTATACATTCCTCGCCTCTGACCGCGAAGATGAAGATGAGGATAAGACAGTAACTACTCCCATCAACAAACGCCGGTCAAAGGTCACCAGCAGCAAGGAGATACAGACACATGTGTTCTGCTGGGGACTCAATGATAAAGACCAGCTTGGAGGACCAAAGGGATCTAAGGTAATAGGACATAGTTCAGGGCAAGGAAAGGAGGGCAGGTTGAGGATATGCTATGGTGCAGGGCAAGGAAAGGAGGGCAGGTTGATGATAGGCTAGGGTGCAGGGCAAGCAATTGATCTGAGGGAAGGATATATACAAAGGCTAAACTTCAGTTGAAGTAGCAATCAAAGTTGAGGGAAAAGACTTAAGGCAAGGTAATAGTCATAGTTCAGGGCAAGGTAATAGTCATAGTTCAGGGCAAGGAATTGAGGTAAATGAAAAGAGAACTGACAGTTCAGAACAAAAACAGCAGTGATAAAGTATTGGCTCAGGGCAAATGCATGAGAGAACAGGGAAGCCAGCAATCTAGGAAAATAGAATCACTTACATTTTGTGTATGATGTCAGTATTAAACGATCATAATCATTGTATTTTGATTTCAGATCAAGTTGCCCTGTCTGAATGAGACTTTATCTGCTCTGCGGTGTGTACAAATAGCTGGAGGGTCCAAGAGTCTCTTCTGTGGTAAGAACATCAGTATTAACTACTAGAGTCACTATGGAGATCACTGCATTAGACTTTATTCTATTTATGTCAATATTAACAATATAATTAATTTTGATAATTTATATCAATCTTTTTGAAAAGATTTTAGATTGGACTTTGTCACTGTCGGTATAACTGCTGGTTTTATTGTGTTTTAGTAACACAGGAAGGAAAGATGTTCGCCTGTGGGGAGGCGACTAATGGTCGCCTAGGTCTAGGGATCAGCTCAGGGACAATCTCTGTACCCCGCCAACTCACCTCTCTCAGTCAATATGTCATCAAAAAGGTGGCAGTTCACTCAGGTAAATATTTTCAAGATCTTAAAGATATGTGCTGCTTTACAAAGTTATATACCTGTGATTTCTGTTAGAGGTATCCCTCTTAACGAATCTGGTCAATCTGTTGTATGTGATTGAATAATTAATTAACTAGATCAAGTGTGGAACTCTCCTGAAAAGAAGATGCAAACAAAGTAAAGTATGATATATCCTTAACTATAAACTGTTCATTTTGTGCCATTCAGTTCAAGCAAGGTGTTCTAGTTCAATAAATAATAAACTTTTGAATCAGATTTGTTTCGGTGCATCACCCTTAAAAATACATAGATGTGTATAAAAGTACTAGGCTTGAAACCTAACCATGGATAGATATTATTTATTTTAGAGTCCTTGGGTTCAGATAGATTTTTTTTCTGGAATAACCCTAACCATGACATGGTTGTTTTTTTAGGCGGTCGACACTCTCTGGCTTTGACCACAGATGGGAAAGTGTTCTCCTGGGGAGAAGGGGATGATGGAAAATTGGGCCACTTCAGTCGCTGGTTAGTACACATGATGATTATACTTTGTACCAAAACGATACTGACAGCAGTTCAATACAGTTCACTTTCATTGAATCAAGATTTACTTTCAATTTTACATTCTTTGCTGAAGTTTTATTCAATATTTTATATTTTGCTATTTTGATTTTGGCAGGAATTGTGATAAACCTCGTCTGATAGAGGCCCTGAAGTCCAAGCGTGTACGTGATATAGCCTGTGGGAGTTCACACAGTGCAGCCATAACTTCCAATGGCGACCTGTATACCTGGGGATTGGGGGAATATGGACGGCTTGGCCATGGAGACAATACCACACAACTTAAGCCCAAACAGGTGAGTCACCAAGTTAGGTGCCAGGAATTTCTACAATAACTTGATATGAGAGTCCTATTAAATGTTGTGGAACGATTCGATTCAGTGTGTGTGTAGCAAACTCATAAAAACGGTACACTGTATATCATATTTTGCCCCTTCACATTTTCACCCTTGTGTAATTCAAGCGACAAGTGTGTATATTCACTCTAGACTGACTTTGCTGGCTGCTTGGCGATGACACTTACTGTACATATTGAACAGATCTTTAACCCTTTCACCACCGCAGACAATAATGGACTCATCCATATCAATGCATGGTAGAGTATACTCATCCATATCAATGCATGGTAGAGTCTACTAAAGTAACTTAGGGGTTAAAGGGTTAAAGTCATTTACATTGTGTTGAAAACTCTTTTTATGAGATGAAAAGAAAATAGCGATGATAAGTTCTTAATAATCAAGTTGTTTCCCAAAGACTGAACAGAGGTGAAGTAAAAATTATGTAGTATTGTGCTAAAAAATTGACAAAATGAGTTTACTTGAGTGGTTAACTCAACTTTGTGATTCCAGGTGAAGGCCCTTTCCAGCCAGCGTGTCATGCAGGTGGCTTGTGGGAGTCGAGATGCACAGACGCTGGCTTTGACTGACGAGGGTCTAGTTTACTCCTGGGGAGATGGGGATTTCGGAAAGCTTGGGCGAGGTGGAAGTGAAGGCTGCAGTGTCCCCCATGAGATTGACAGACTACGTGGTCTAGGCGTGTTTCAGATTGAGTGTGGAGCACAGTTCTCACTAGCTTTAACCAAGGCTGGTCAAGTGTGGACATGGTACGTATACAACTGAGTCAGGTTTTAATGTGGATCCTACCCCCAGGACCAGGGCCCACATATGTGAAACCATATTCATGCTCAAGCATGGATTTTGTGCTCAAGCCAACTTTCTTGTTACTTGCATAAATCATGTAACAGGGTAAAAAGTCAAGTGTAAATATTAGAAACAGAATTGGACTTTTAGTCTCCCTAATATTCTTCCAAAACTATTAACAAAATGTGAATTTTTATGAATTGATCACATGAAGGAAGAAATAATTTGACTTGAGCACATTTTCCGAGTTTGAGCATGAGAACGGTTTCTTGAATACGAGCCCTTGGCCTGAGTGTGATACAGATGTGGTACATAGCATAAAAAGGAAGGTTTGGATGTTGTACTTACCCAGATGAACCTGGTTTGAATCCATTAAATGTCTGAGGGAAGGTGAGGCTGTTAGAGTATCAAGAGAATACATACCCAAACATTATCGATCACTTTCCAACCCCATTACTTTGATCAAATCTCAAACACTTGTTTTCAGGTCTGTATTATGTTCATAAAACTGCAGAAAATATGACATATTGCTCAGAATAAATCATGCATCAAATATAAAACTTTAAAAAACTTGTTGCCAATTATGTCTTATCAGGGGAAAGGGAGATTACTTTCGTCTTGGACATGGCAGTGATGCCCATGTAAGGAAACCCCAGCTTGTGGAGGGTCTCAAAGGGAAGAAGATAGTCCACGTGGCTGTTGGAGCCCTCCATTGCCTGGCTGTAACAGATTCAGGACAGGTAAGTTATATCTGACGATCGTTTATCAGTCTGATCTGACACTCCAGACAGTGAGTATATCCACTAGTTTGCCAGTACACTGACACTGTGTGTGATGCACTGTGTATTGTTTGTCTTTTCCTGACCCTGGACCAGTAAGTGTCCTCTTGTCCTCTTCATCTGACTCTTTATTGCCCCACCCGTTGTCAGTCTGAGTCAGATACCGTAAGTAAATTGCGCCCTAAACCCCTTCATCTGTCGCTATGATCTTTAAACCCTAGTCTAGAGAGACAAGTTTCTCAAGTTCAAAACATCTGATGCAATGTACTACTGGTCATAATCTGGCTGTGACAGATTTAAGGCAAGTGAGCTTACACCAGAACTTCACATCTGAGATGCTTCATTCCGTTGTCTTCTAACTGAGCGACTTAAAAATTCTGATAATTCTCAGGTCACTACATGCATCTGACTCAATATATACAAGCTTAATTGTGGCAGATCTAAGACAAATTACCTTTCCATTAAGGATATGATGCTATTATCTCCAGTGCATTATTTAATTGAAATATGAGTGAGCGAGACTATGTTCCCTCGGGATAATATATCTGATCCAGTGTATCCCATGCACTTCGAGTCCAGCGGTGACAGATCTGAGACCAGTGTGTTCTGAACGACTCCTACCTCTGATGATATGATCCCCAAGTCTATTTTGTCTATAACTTTCAATGATTTAAGAGATAAAAAAAATCTCTGATGAACAGGTGTATGCTTGGGGAGACAATGACCATGGACAACAAGGGAACAGTACAACCACGGTCAACCGGAAGCCGGCCCTTGTCCATGGTTTGGAGGGCTACAAGATCACACGTGTTGCTTGTGGCTCTTCTCACAGTATCTCCTGGGCAACAACAGACCTATCAACCCCAACTTCACACGAACCTGTACTCTTCTCATCCTCCAGAGATCCCCTTGGAGCCTCATTACTGGGTAAGTTTCAGTGATAGCATGATGCTACTTGTAAACATTATATGGGAACTCACAGCTGCATAAACAAGGTTGGTGTCCATGTTTCCATGGGATCCCCTATGAGACACAAGCGACTATAAGATTCTAAGATTGTAAGAGACTAAGGACGTTGCTGCTGGAACGTTTCTATGAGAGCCAATATGCTATTTGTTACTGTCACCTAGGGGTTTAAAATTTGGCCACTTTTGTTTATCGCAATCCAAAAGTTTGAACAGGTTGGACCAGAGTTGTTCCTTTATGACACAGGTTGAACCTAGTAAACTGCTTTCAGGCATGCTTTGACAAAGCCTTGCAACACCTGCATACACATTTGAAGGTCTGCCAGGGTTTATACATGAAAGTGTTGAATTTAAGACCACACAAACCAGTTGTTCCACATAAAATAACAGGCCCATGGTAAGTTTCCCTGAGATCCTCCTAGAGCCTCACTTCTTGGTAAGTTTCTGTGAGGACCTTGTTACTGCCACAATAGGGGCCTGGCAGCACATTCATTGTAGGTGCTCCATGCCTAGAGACCAGCTTTTTACCAAATTTCCTGCAAGAATCTCATAAATGGAGATGGAGATAGCACGAAATCTAAATTATTAATATTTTATGTTTTTGTGTGACCAGGCATGAATGAGAGTGTGGCTGACGATGCCCATCCATCAGCACCCGCACCATCCACGCCGACCACCAAAGTGATACGCCCTTCACTTGCCAAGATCATCCTATCGCAGGAGACGGACCTCGCCAAACAACAGGCTCTGGGCCATGTACTTACAGCACTTCAGATCACATACGCAAGGTACGTAAGATGGCTACACGGGTGCTGCAGATCTGCTTGACAATGTTCAATCAACAGATCATAACCTATATCACTGTCTTAGGGTTACAAGCTCACTCCCCACATATCATCAATCTCATCTTGCAGATATTGACTACACCCTAATAAATGATCACAAGGTCACTTAACATTACATAATCTTCATAGATATCAGACCATAGTCTGAAGCTCTTCTTAAAGATCACAATATGCATTTTGTGACAAGGTTACTTTGTAGATCATAAAATACAATACTAGACAATTGCAACAAACCTCATGATCACCTGCTCCATGATGTTATGTGATGTTACAGGGACACAATCGTGAACTCTCTCGCGAAGGAACAACTTGCCATGCCCATATCAACTGATCTTAAAATGTCCACAATGTCCACCTCCATGACCGCATCCACCCACCAGGCCACCGATCTGACCAACGGACAGCCATCTGAGAATTCAGAAGTTGTTGACCACACAGACATAGCTCTTTCCATAGTCGAATCCACTCACTCTGATGTAAGTACATAGTGAGATAAGTTTATAGTGCAAAGATTACGTGTTAACCCTTTCACCACTGTAGACCATAATAGACTCATCCAGATCGATGCATGGGAGAGTGTACTAAAGTTGCACAGGGTTGAAAGGGTTAAAGATTCAACAGCTGTAATTAAAATTCCAGTATGTTGATGAGATTATATTTGAAGAATTAATCTGAACAATATTTCGCACATGATTTTGCTGTAAACACAATCGCTGTTTTTAATGAAGGATTCATTGGGTGAAAACATATGATTAAACATTATATCTATCAAATGACAAAATTGTTTAATTTCCTTTTTCTCAGATCAACACAGAAATGCCATCCTTCCCTAGCATGCATAGCCTGGCTGCCAAGGTTTCACCTGCCACCAGTATCATGGCCGAGACATTTACATCAACAGATCAAGTCACATCTACCATAGAGAAAGTTCTGACATCATTCCCGTTAGGATTGGACGAATTCACAAATCGTCTGACAGCTGATGATTGCCGTGTACTTGTTGACTTGCTTAAATTATCTGTGGGGTCGCGAGTTGGAACAAAAGGCCGAGAGACGTTGTCAGAGATTCTGACATGTTTGGGAAGGGCATACCCTGCTGTAAGTACACAAAATATCATTCAGACTTGAGTTTTCAGAATTTCATTTAGACTCGAGTTTTCAGAATTTCATTCGGGCTTGAGTTTTTAGAATTTTATTCAGACTTGAGTTTTTAGAATTTCATTCAGACTTGAGTTTTCAGAATTTCATTCGGACTTGAGTTTTTAGAAACATCTTTTTTTCGTATTCTGTTTGTAAATCTTATAATAGTGCACATTCATTATATTTTTTCATATTAAAAACATCTAAATGATAAAAAACAGAAATTTGATCAAGCTTAGAGTGAATATATGACATGATTTCATGAAGGATAGTATTATTATTTTCTAAATCAAGATAGTAGTTGTTTTCAGTGTAGTGAATCAGTTCTTGCTGATTATTGGAATCTGTTATGTACACTAATAATAATTCAACATTTTAGTTTAAACATAAATTACATTAATGAGAAGAGATGACTATGACAACATGATCTGGGATATCAACCTTCTGATGATGGCCCAACTACTGGGCCGAAACTGTGTTTAACACTGGCTTAAACCTGCTGATATCAAAGTTGATGTTATGATGGTCATCATGAGTGATCAAATAGTTCTATGGCCGGACTAGTAGTGAATTCTATTTAAAGAATCCATCAACCGGGAATTGCTGAACTTCGCTGATCTTTATGGAAACTACTGTGGAATGTAACCACCCTAGGCCTCTTAAGAAGAAGTTGTTTAAACATATTTGATCCCTGTGACCTTGAATATGACTAGACATAGGATCTCCATCCCGCCTGTATATATTACATGTATCAGATAATCATTTCTGCCCAGTATTACAGAAGTACATTTTGAAAAGAAGATTTGATGTTAACCTGACCAACTTGTCCTTAGATTATAACTACGTGATTACAGGTTTCTGAGATGTTATTGGAGCTGTGCGTTACAGAGCTGGAGGACGTGGCATCAGACAGGGAAACAGGCCGTGCCATGGCACAACCCGTCGTCCAGGAAAGTCCTCATCCCTACATAGACGACACCTCACTGACAGGCCATGTCAAGATTCCAGGTACAGCCCTATACACCAGGAAATATTACTTTATCTGTACCCATACCATTTGAATTAAGAGATTTGCAAGAAATGCTCTTGTTGATTTAAACTAATGTATAATGACAATTCTTTTTTCTCCAATTTCTGCATATTCCAGATACATGTGTTCCATGATGGACATCTTTCACTCCCTTTGATGATATGGGGTGTGGTTGTCTCCATATAGAGAGATTTATGGTAATTTGTTAATTTTGATACCAACGTTTGTCAGTAGGTGGGTGACTGTGAGTGCCCTTGCTCAAAATCCATTAAAGCGCAGATAAATCAATTAATTGAGAACATGGAAGAAGTAAGAAACAGGCAAGTGGCTTGAGGCGTAAATGGGTAGTATTTTATGGCAAACTGTATAAGAACACTTGTAGAAAAAGTTGTCCAGTCTGTGGGTATGTTGACTTATCATGTAAATTTGTTACAGGTGCCGAGGCCCTGCGTGTAGAGTTTGACCGGCGCTGCTCTACTGAACGTCGGCATGACCCTCTCACAGTGATGGATGGGTCAAGTCGTACTGTGACAATGAGATCAGGTGAGGACAGCCATCAACACATAAGAGGGATAAAGTAACTTCTCTTGTTTATATAAGTATATAAAACTGATACCTTTGACTCCAGGGTGCATATTCTGGTTTACACTTGTTAAAACTTAGTTAAAAAGATTTGATGCTGTCATCTGAACTGAAATAAATGTTAAAAGAAAGTGTGTATTTTTATTTCTTTATGTGACAGGTAAAAAGATTTAATGCTGTCGTCTGAACTGAAATAAATGTTAAAAGAAAGTGTGTATTTTAATTTCTTTATGTGACAGGACGAGAATGGTCTGATTGGTCCCAGGAGTTGAGGATCATGGGAGATGAACTTCGGTGGAAGTTCACCAGCGACGGTTCAGTGAATGGATGGGGATGGTGCTTCACCGTCTATCCCATCATGCCTGCCGCAGCACCAATGGACATGTTGTCTGACCGCACCATACTGTCACGACCTTCCATTGACCTTGTGACCTGTCTGCTGGACTTTAACCTCCAGATGAGTCTGGACAAGGGCATCGTGGCTAGACTGGCTGCAGCTCTGGCTGCATGTGCTCAACTCAGCACATTAGGTATGTGGGTATAAAAGTGTACATCAGTGCTATGAGAATGGAGTGGTATTTGTATAAACTGAACCTTGAATAATCTGAACACTTGTCTAAACCAGACTTAGTCACTGTTTGTTAAGTCATTTGGTCTAATAATGTACTAACTTTCTGTTCCTGTCAGAAATATTTGTTTAGGTCTTATACCGGTTATAACAGGTTATTATGCCCCCACCAAAAATGGGGGGGGGGGGGCATATAGTGTTGCCCATGTCCGTCCCATCCCGTCCCATCCATGAGCGGGGGCATTTTCTAGTCATTAGGGTCATTTTCTAGTTTTTCTACTATACTGCATAGATACAATATCCCAATATCAGGGAGAAAGAAGATGAATCTACCTTTCCCTTGGTAGGGAAAAATATATACTACTGAAAATGTCATCACTTTACAAGTGGGATTCTACAAACACTATCAATTTCGGCACAAAATCTAAAATGACAAGACTATTTTGACATGGTAGATTTCTTGGAAGGGTATTATTTCCACGCATTAATTGTAATAGAAAAAAAATGATAATAACCGACATTAATTAACCTAGCTTATAGGTCACTATAATACCTGGCTAATCCTCCACAGGTGCCAGTCAGAGGATGTGGGCCCTCCAGAAATTACGCAAACTCATGGCCGCCAGTTTTGGTGACCAGTCCATCAACGTCAATGCCCTACTGGCCAGTCCGAGTCTGGAGAGCCCAGACCAGGAGATTCCACGACCATTTACCATGGTAACTATATATAACAGTAGCGTAATATCAGTGTCTTGTCATTGATATTGGTCTGTCAATTTTGATGTCAGTATTTAATGTAATAAATTTGTGCAGAAGATATAACATAAGTGAGATTAATAGATCTTCGTTATCAATACAATGAAAGAAAATTTCCGATCCACAGGTTAGTGTTTAGGGTCAAATAACATGAAAATGGAAATTATAATATTTATGTTTAATATAACGTCAGATTGCTTCAATACCACTGGTCATCTTGGGTACAATCGCGTATCCAGTTGAACCGGTTGAACCTGTAAAGAAAACGACGCGCACAGATATAAACCGAGGCTGACCTCAGGAAAATTTGGCGCGTGCAGAATTAGGGGTCAAGACGTACCTGACCGAAACTAAAATGCTGACTATTGCCAGTTTGCGTTATTTCTTTCTAAAACAATGTCAAACCACATGTAGTTTTTAGGTCACCTGAGCTTTAGCTCAAGTGACCTATTGCTATCCGTTTTCGTCCGTCGTCGTCCATCGTCCGTCGTCCGTCGTCCGTCGTCCGTTAACATTTTACATTTCAAACTTAAAGTCAAGTTCTGCTGGGCCGATTGAACTGAAAGTTGATAGGAATGATCGCCTCATGGTCCTGACAAAGTGTTGTTATTTTTCGGGTCGATCAGAAATCCAATATGGCCGCCACGGCCGCCATTTTGAAAACCTATTTCAAACTTAAAGTCAAGTTCTGCTGGACCGATTGAACTGAAAGTTGGTAGGAATGATCGCCTCATGGTCCTGACAAAGTGTTGTTATTTTTCGGGTCGATCAGAAATCCAATATGGCCGCCACGGCCGCCATTTTGAAAACCTATTTCAAACTTAAAGTCAAGTTCTGCTGGACCGATTGAACTGAAAGTTGGTAGGAATGATCGCCTCATGGTCCTGACAAAGTGTTGTTATTTTTCGGGTCAATCAGAAATACAATTTGGCTGCCATGGCCGCTATTTTGCTACTAAGTTCTAATAGGCCGATCTCACTTAAAATTGGTCTAGGAATGATCAGCTCATGGTCCTGACAAAGTTAAGTTAACATTATACTATTTTTTACTCAAATTGGTACATATTTCAACAACAAAAATAAATACTATAGACTCAGGTGACCGTTAAGGCCCATGGGCCTCTTGTTAAGATACGTTATGTAATTCAGTGGACAGATGAAAGAAGGGCATGCATACTATTCTTGATACACTGTTTTTTATTCTCCGAAACTGTGCATTTTTAGCTCTGCTTATAATAGAACGGTCCAAGTGCATTCGTTTATCGTGGAATATTTCTGCGCCACACGTACCGTTTCAACCAGGATACGCGAATGTAGCCCTTGTCATAGCAGTTAATATGTTGTCAGTTGTAAATGAGCATGCCTATATGATCGGCCTAAATAATTATTTGATGGAATAAAAAAAATCCTGACTATGTGAATGATGTTGCAGTCTTTGAGTGGATCATCGTTAGCGTCGCTGGTGAAGGGGTTACCTGAGGCTCTACAGCGCCAGTATGAGTACGAGGACCCCATCGTCCGCAGTGGTAAACACCTCATGCACAGCCCATTTTTTAAGGTAATTAAGATTTACATAATTATATCATTAAAATAAATCTTGCAAATTTCTTAATTTTCATGTACACATATTTTTCGGGTTTATGCTTTAAACATCTTGCCCTATTCCTGGTTACTCAAATCTCTTATTCAGCTTTCATGAAAGCTTGATTGTGAGTACTTGTATAGTAATATTGACTCGAGTTTACACATACAGTGAAAACCCGCTTATTATGATATTCTATTTGCCAGAGAAAAATATCATTATAACCGATATCATAATAACCGATCTAGCTGTTTTCGACCATTTTTATGTTGTCTGAACCAGAAGTGAGATGCCCTATATTAATCAGGCATAGATTGAAGTGGAAACATGGAAAAAATTAATACAAACTGATAAAGTAATATTTGAAATAATTTGTTCATTGTTATCTATATCAGCGTGTTGGAAAAATTCGAGGAGATTTCGTTTTACCGTCGTTATGATCAGTACATAAATTCTACTTTCACTTTCAAATAACTTCGAGCATGTTCCTTAGAACTATCTTAATGCTACATCCTAGCTAACGATATCGTAATGTTACAGTCAATAGGATGAAAGAAGTGATATAAATAGTCAGGATTTACCTATTTTGCATATGATCTCTTGTATCAAGGATGTTGATTGTAAGCATAACACCATATAAGAAAGTAGCCATCAAACCTACATGTTTAATAGTATTCTACAATGGATTTGAATTTGTGAAAGAAACAGTACTAGTAGTAGATAAATATCTACTGTCTTTATAGCTCTGAATGAATCTGTACAAGATCATTGAATTTTCTGGACCAAAATCCACAAGATGGTTGAATTATCGGGAAACAAATTCACAAGATAACTGAATTCTCTGAATGAATTATTAAAAATATGATTGATTCCCAGAATGAATTTCACAATTTATTTGAATTCTGTTGAATATCAATTAATATTTAAAAGAGAATTGAATTTTCTGCATGAACGCTAAAGATGATTGAATTCCTTGAAAACATATTTGAAGTTTAATTGATTTACGATAATTACCACATACACATAGAAGCCGTGAATATTTCATTGAGACTTTTGACCTTGACTGACGTTTTCACCTGTGTGTAGGTCCTGGTGGCATTAGCCTGTGACCTGGGACTGGACAGTCTACAGTGCTGTACGGAGGCCCACAAGTGGGTGTGGTTTCGCCGCTACTGTGCAGCAGCCCGCGTGGCAGCAGCGATGGTGCAGAGGACGGCCTTCCCACCAGTCTTTCTAGAGGAGGTCCGCAAAAAGATAAAAGACATATCTGGTGACGGAGAGGAATTCACAAAGGCCCACGAGCTACACACCGTCTTTAAACGGGAAATGGACGAACAGTTGCTTCTATGGCTAAACAGGTAACTAAAGAATATGGAACTTTCACAAAGCTAAAAGGCATTTTGGCTCTTTCGATTTTGGATGGATGGATGGATGGATGACGGGTTTCGCGCCTACATGAATCCGCCCTTACGGGTTTCATCTCACTGACGGAAGTCAGTGCGATTTTAATTATTTTGTGATTTTATATTCTGATATTCTAAGTAAATAGTTTGGTATCGTGAACAGCACATCTGAGTGATTTTTGTGAAAATATACTACAATAAACCCGACTTTCAATTCCTGAATTCAAGACATTATGTTATATTGGACCGAGTTTGCGATCCCCTAAGATTGAGACTTTTGTCTCTGTTTTTCATTATGATCTTGCAGTGTGTTTTTCCTGACCAAACGACATTGTCTTCTCAGACCAGATGATAGACCAGATGATTCAGACCCAATGTTGGTGGACTGATTTCGCTGTATTGTATTACCCAGTAGTGTTTTTAAACTTTCATGGCTTAAATGTTTAGACACTATTGAAGTTGATCTGTCACACAGAACCTATATGTTCTGGGAGAGGTCCTAGTAATTAGTTGTAAGAACTTGTGCCCAGTCCCTTTGACTATTCAGTGTCAATAAAATATGTTTAAATGGATGTTAAAATTCCGCTTTTCACATTATTTAACTTGTTTTATGTCCAACCTAGGAAACCAGAGGACTGGACGCTCTCCTGGGGAGGTAGCGGCCAGATTCTTGGCTGGGGTCACAACCACAGGGGTCAGCTGGGCGGAGTTGAGGGGGCAAAGGTCAAGTTACCAATCAGCTGTGAGTCTCTGGCCAATCTCAGACCAGTGCAGCTAATCGGAGGAGAACAGACATTATTTTCCATCACAGCAGAGGGCAAGGTATGTGTGCTACTGTGGCAGGTTTTTTTTGTTAAATTGTGAAAGTTCTCTAAAATCATATTTACAGTTCTTGTACCATGCTTTAATTCACTATTAACATCATTTGTAAGTACGTTCAAAATGTCCAACTTCGGACCTGCAATGGGTTGATTAAAGAGGCCACATCTGGAAGTTAAACTACAGCAATAAATGGGATTATTCTGAAAAGTAATCATTATTTTTAGAACTTCATTGATATAATGTTATTTGATAAAAGAAATTGTTTACTCACTAGAAGTTTTGAAGATGCAGAGTATTTATTTTTGAAGATTATCAGGCCAATCAAATGAAATAATTATTATATGATAAATATTTTCAAGCGTTCGTTCAGTTTATATACATGTACTAAGTTATCTACTCTATTTCTGAATAGGTGTATGCCACAGGTTATGGAGCGGGTGGCCGCCTTGGGATTGGTGGCACTGATTCGGTGTCCAACCCTACACTGCTGGAGTCCATACAACACGTCTTCATCAAGAAACTGGCTGTGAACTCGGGAGGCAAACACTGCCTAGCCCTGTCTGCAGAGGGGGAGGTGTACTCCTGGGGCGAAGGAGAGGACGGCAAACTGGGACATGGAAACAGAAGGTACCATACTGAATTGTCGCAAGAAACCCACCTCTTCTGTAACTTATTAACAAAAGACTCAAAATTAACTGTTGTTTGTGCATAGGGTCTACTGCAACTGGGACACTTTACTTGTCTTGGATATGCAAAGCCCTGCAGTGTACAAAAGTTGAGGTTAGCTCTGTGTATTTCTGAACATTTTGTAGTGGTGAGGTTCCTTTGTGATGGCAGTACATATAATTCTTGTGAAAGTTAAAGTAGAATTTGTATTCACAAAAGGTATCATGCAGAGTGAAAGATAAGTTCAGCTTAATAGCTCAAACAACAGTGAATCCTTGATAATTGAGCTTTCTTTGTTCCATATACAAAAGTAGGTTATTTGTGAGATGGCTTGACTACTGGGTAACTTTTATGAAAAGAAAAGGGACCTTCTGTCTGCTAAAATAGACTGGATAGAGGAACAACTAGATAAGATGATTAGTGGTGCCTGGAATAACGAGGCTCTGCAGACATTGTTCATTTTTAAACCAGACCTGTTTTCTTGATCCCTCAGTCCGTGTGACCGTCCACGTGTGATTGAGTCTCTGCGAGGTAAAGAAGTGGTAGACATCGCAGCAGGTGGGGCCCACAGTGCCTGTATAACCTCCAGTGGGGAGCTGTACTCGTGGGGCAAGGGGCGCTATGGACGGCTGGGCCACGGGGATAGTGAGGACCAGCCCCGCCCTAAACTGGTAAGTACACAGGGAAAATGTTTATACTGATAACAAACAAAACCATGGTTTCGTTACAGGGAATGATTAGGAAGTTAGGAGCTCATGAACTGCTACTCAAAATTTTTGTAATTTTCAGCACTAGATGTTGTTAAATGGTCTTTGTGTGCTTATTTTCGAATGGAATAACATATGATATATTATTAGAGCACTTGTGTAAGAGTATTTATACTGATAATAATAATAATTTTAAAAAAATACATTATTTATTCCAGTGTCAAAATAAATTGTTTCTCAGCTATTCAGGGTATTGAATATTGTTTGATTGACAGGTAGAGGCAATGAAGACACACCGTGTAATAGACATGGCGTGTGGAAGTGGCGATGCCCAGACACTCTGTATCACAGACGACGACAATGTCTGGTCCTGGGGCGACGGTGACTACGGCAAACTGGGTAATTAGATTACTGATTGCCATAGTGAGGGATCATATCATGTTATTTAAGAATATTTACATTTCCACTGCACAGAGCCTAGATGTTTCTACTGGGCCCAATGTATGTTATTTCCGTATAACATGCATTGGGCTATTGTGACGTCGCTATGCATATGATGTCATAACTGTAACGTTGGAGATTGCACTGCTCCGCTGTCAACTGGTGGCTGTTCTCTGTATGGATTTACCCTGACGTTGAAACGAGTTCAGACTAATATTATGTCTTTATTTCTGCGTGAACTGTAAGTTAATCAACATAAAATGTAAATATAAGTATTGGTTGTCATATTTTTGATATGCATTGGTGTGTAACATACATTGGCTTACCTACATATTTAACATGGTGCGCTAGCGCAATATGTAGGTAAGCCAATGTATGTTACACACCAATGCACATCAAAAATATGACAATATAAGTATCGGTCAGCTTTGTTACTTGTAATCACTGTGTTATGCCATGCATGAAGAGTTTGATATTTGACCTACTTACTATAGTGCACAAGAATAAAGGAGATAAAATGTATTGGAACAAAGTTTGTAAAACAGATACTGAAACAAAACCTTACTTGATCTTAAAACAGTTCTGTAGATGTGATCTGATTTATACTTTTATTTCTAATTTGATAACTATTCAACAGTTACGGACATTTATGAGGTCAGTTCACTGTTATATGTGTACCTAAATCACTGGTATTGACAGAAGGCGAAGATATTATATTTGTTTGTTAGCGTACTTGTTCAACACTGACTTGGAGAGACAAGTAAAAGTTTGCTTCTTAACATTTTGCTTTCACTTTAAGTGTTTAAAAAATTCTTTAATAAGAGGATTGTTTGTGATTCAAATGTATGCCTTAACTCATTCACCCCTGAAGACACATTTGAACTCTTCCAATTCAAAGGTTGGAATAGTTAATTATGAAATTTCAAGGGTGAATGAGTTAAAGCAAGATATTGGGGATTTCATTATGCTCTTCCCTGTCTTGTAGTATTTGCATTGCTCTTATACTGTATGTATTCAATTTTAGGACGAGGTGGAAGTGATGGCTGTAAGGTGCCCATGAAGATTGACTCCCTGCAGGGTCTGGGTGTAATGAAGGTCGAGTGTGGCTCACAGTTCTCTGTGGCTCTTACCAAATCTGGAGCTGTGTATACCTGGTGAGTATGGCTACATTCGCGTATCCCGGTTGAAACGGTACGTGTGGCGCAGAAATTTTCCACGATAAACGAACGCACTTGGACCGTTCTTTAAGCAGAGCTAAAAATCCACAGTTTTGGAGAATAAAAAACAATGTATCAAGAATATTATGCCCTTCTTCCATCCGTCCACTAAATTACATAACGTATCTTAAAAATTACATGTGACTTGACATTGTTTAAGAAAGAAATAACGCAAATTGGCAATAGTCAGCATTTTAGTTTCGGTCAGGTACGTCTGGACCCCTCAATCTACACGTGCCAAATTTTCTTGAGGTCAGCCTCAGTTCAGATCTGTACCTGTCGTTTTCTTTACAGGTTCAACCGGTTCAACCGTTTCAACCGGTAACGCGAATGTACCCTAAGTTAACAATATTGCAAGTCAACTGTGGATCACATTTAGCTGTTTTTGACCTCCTATTCACAGACTTTTCTCCTGTTTAACCTGTTGAAATATTCTCTGTCACCCCCTTGGGATAGATGTGACATTAAAATACAGTAGAAAATGATAAGATGATATAACAGAACCAAATAAATATGATGTCAGAATCAGCTTTCTTTCCATGGTAAGGAGCATGGATATTGTTTTGATTCATACTGTGAATAGGATGAGAGACACAAAATCATCACCTACCATTAGGGTATGCCAGAAAAATCTCAACCCTTTGGCCTTTTGGTGAGTTTCTTTATTAGACAATCCTCTGGGTGAGATCTCTTTCTCATTCCTTCAAGGTAGGGGAAGATGCAACATATATACCGATAACTATTAATCATGAGTATAGATCAGATACTTCAATAGTTGTAGACCTGGGCCGCATTCGTTTCTTGCGATCCAAACAGTTGAACTGGTTGGACCAGAGTTATTCATTTTTGAAAATAAGTTCAAACCTAGTAATATAATCTGATGCTGTTTTCAGGCGAGCCTTGACAAAGCCTTGCAAGGCCTGCATAAACATTTGCAGGTCCGCCATGATTTATACCCGAAAATATCACATTTAAAAACACATTAAACCAGATATGTGTAGCCAGATATGTATTGATGTGTACTGTCACGTGAAAAGGGCTAAGGTATGGGCTATATGTATTGAGGTGTACTGTAACATAATATCATGTGACTGCCCAGTATATGGACTTTTACAATTGACAATCATTCTGGCTGTTGATGTGGTGTTATAGCTGTTGGTTTTGTATGTCAGGGGGAAGGGAGACTACCACCGTCTCGGACATGGCACTGACGATCATGTCCGTCGGCCTCGGCGAGTGTCTGCACTCCAGGGCAAAAAAGTGATTGATGTGGCCTGTGGTTCACTTCACTGTGTGGCTTGTACGGATGCAGGTTAGTGAATTTCCTAGTGGCCTTTTGGTGTGACGAGTTATTTTTTCTAGACAGATATTTTCTGGCTATATACTGTACATGCATAAACTTTATTTTTGTACAGATGTGTTAAACCTAAACTAATACATCATATAGAAACACTATTAAAATGTATTGAATATAATCGATCAGAATCGTCAGTTTGGAAATAGGGTAATATCAAAGTTTTACTTTAAACACAAACAATGTACGGATTAACCCTTTCACCCCTATGTAACTTAAGTAGACTGTACCATTCATTGATCTGGATGAGTTCATTATGGTCTACAGTAGTGAAAGGGTTAAACGTTTCACAACGTTTCAAGACTAACTGGTTACTTTTGTCAAGCTATGACAGCCATTGAAATATATATGATAATAATTCAAATTTACCTGTGCAGGTGAGGTGTACACCTGGGGAGATAACGATGAAGGACAACTTGGAGACGGTACCACCAATGCTATACAGAGGCCTCGCCTTGTAGCAGCTCTCCAGGGTAGGTCTTAATGTAATACTAGAGAGTGTTGTGTATATTGTGCCCAGCCCCATTACAAAGTTAGGACATGGTTATATATATAGCTGTCGGTCCATCAATCTATCCAGCTCATTAGCTATGGTACTACACAGATGTTTCAAGTTTGCACACATGGTTTACATTTGGGACTGAAATGCATATACATAAACGTTATGTTAGGAGACCTAACTCATAATGAATTTGAAAATGAGTATCAATGAGTCATGACTTTTATGGAAATTAGCAGGATACAGGTTTGGATGCCATCTGATTATTTCATATAAGTTAAGAAAGTATAGTAAACCCCACATTCCCTGATTCTATCACTGTATGTAGTTTTAATTCCTATTTTATCAATTTAAACTAATCAAAAAATCCCAAATTGGCAATTTAAGACATAAAAATGATAAAATTATCTATTTGAGATGGGAATGGAATTGACATGATCGAGAACTACAGTAACGGACCAATAAAAACTCCCTGAATTACAAACTTTGATTGGTTATTCAGGTAAGAAGATAAACCGAGTGGCATGTGGCTCCGCCCACAGTCTGGCTTGGTCCACCAATAAGCCGGTGAGTGCGGGCAAACTTCCATCGGATGTGCCAATGGAGCACAACCATCTCCAGGGGGTAAAGATTTCTGCTCTGAGGAACCGCCTTGTCCTGCTCCACCACTTCTCAGACCTGTTCTGTCCATCCATTCCGATGTTTGATCTACAGGATCGGAACATGTCCGAGACATTGGATGACAGTGTCCGCGGACTGGACAGTCTGAGAGGTGTCATTGTGTCATCAGCAAAGGTAGGTGATAGAGGTTTGGTCAGGGTGATAGTCGTTGGGGTTTGTGACAGTCAGTAGATCATTGACAATTAAGTCATACAGTGCCATTTTCTTAGTGAGAGTAGCAAGGGTTTGTAATTGTCAACTGAGGATGGTACACTCATTCTTGAATTAATGAAATTAATTAATGAATTAATGAAAATCATAGCAAAGTTAGCAATGGCCTGTTATTGTCAGCTGAAGATGGTACTTTCATTCTTGAATTGAAGAACATCAAATGCAACATGTGTTTCGACAATAATATGATTTCTTCTGCTTTAGAATAACCGAAGGATATACATGTACATGTACTTATGATTCTTATTATCAACAGGAGACAGCCTTCAGGAAGGTGGTACAGGCCACAATGGTACGGGACAAACAACACGGGCCTGTGGTGGAACTCAACAGGATACAGGTTAGTTTGCATTTCATCTGTCTATTTCACATAAGTAAAATCCAAAGCAGGCGATCATGAGCTATTCAGGTCCCTGTTCTTGTTTTCAAATAAATTAGTTTATCAGGGGTTGAGTTATCCAAAGCAGCACAGTGTCAAAAACCAATTTAATAATCGAAGGTTGTCTGGAAGCATCAAATACGTTTTAGGTTGCATTCGCGTATCCCAGTTGAAACGGTTCAGGTGGCACAGAAATATTACATGAAAAAACAAACACACTTGGACCGAACTATAGCCAGAGCTAAAAAATGCACAGGTTAGGAGAATAAATAACAATGTGTCAAGAATTTCATGCTCTTTTTTCACGTATTACATAACATATCTTAAAAACTACATGTGGCTTGACATTGTTTTATAAAGAAATAACGTAAACTAGCAATAGTCAGCATTTTAGTTTCGGCCAGGCACATCTGGACCCTTAATATACGCTTACCAAATATTCCTGAAGTCGGCCTTGGTTCAGATCTGCGCCTGTTGTTTTCTTTCCAAGTTCAACTGTTTTAACTGGTTGAACCGGATACACGAATGGGTTCTTAATACTTTAAAAAGATAATGAGGCAAGATTGTCAAATTGTACACATTTGGTGATCGTGATGCAAGTGGGGGAGATGTTAAACAGCACTTGTATGGGGCAAAGGGTTAAGTCCATGTCCATCTGTTAACCTATAAATGTCTTTACAAATACATACAAAGTCAATAATATTCTGTATAGTCAGTTCCAGTGTAGTGTGCCCTGATTGGTCTCTGTCTGCTTTGTACAGGTGAAGCGGTCAAGAAGTAAAGGTGGTCTGGCTGGACAAGACGGCATGAAAGCAGTGTTTGGCCAGATGAGTTGTAAGCTGGACGTGTTCGGTCAAGACAGCCTGATGCTGCCTCACCGTGTGTGGAAGGTCAAGTTTGTTGGTAAGGTCACTGTACGAAAGGTCAAGTTTGTTGGTAAGGTCACTTTGTATGGAAGGTCAAGTTTGTTGGTAAGGTCACTTTGTATGGAAGGTCAAGTTGGTCAGTAAGGTCACTTTGTATGGAAGGTCAAATTTGTAGGTAATCATTGTATTGACTGATGAGATCTGTTTGACCCATGTTTTATGACCTATTTAATCTCTACCACGTGTCCAGTTTGACCAAGGGGACCTGGTTGACCCCTGTGACCTTTTAAACCCATGCGACTCGATTGAGCTCTGTTTTCTGTTTGAACCATGTGATCTGTCTTGACCTCTGTAGCAGTTTGACCTCTGTGATCTGTTACAGGGGAGAGTGTGGATGACTGTGGAGGTGGATACAGCGAGTCCATAGCTGAAATGTGTGACGAGCTACAGAATGGTTCTCTCCCCTTTCTCATCATGACCCCTAATGGACGAGACGAATCAGGTGCCAACAGGGACTGTCACGTCTTGAACCCAATGCTGAACAGTGTTCAACATATGTCCATGTTTAGGTTTCTGGGTAAGTAACACTCAATTTTTGTTTCAAATTTTGCCATACACAACCGACTGGTGTTGACATGAATCATTGCCAAAATCTGTTCTAACTTATGTTATTGTGTCTGTATTACAGGTGTGTTGTTCGGGATAGCCATCAGGAGTGGGAGTCCCCTCAGTCTAAACATAGCAGAGCCAGTCTGGAAGCAGCTGGCGGGGATGACCGTTACTATAGCTGATCTCACGGAAGTAGACAAAGACTTTGTGCCAGGTAAATAACCTGTGTCTAATACGCAGTAGAATATTAACGTTTACAGAATCAACAAAAATTAAAAATTGCATTCCTAATTATCAAATATTAAATACAAATCTCTAATTCTTTGTAAAATTGTCATGAATATAAGAGTCTTAAAATTGTCATGAATATAAGAGTCTGTCATCCATTAAGTGTCTGATAGTGATTTTCTTTAGAATTGATAGAGCACTATATGAAATTCAATTTAGTTTGATCATTAACTCATTCACCCCTGAAAGCACATTTGAACTCTTCTAATTCAAAGGTTGGAAGAGTTCATTATGGAATTTCAGGGGTGAAAGAGATAAAGATAAAAGGGTCTCTATAAATAGGGTCATCACAACCATTAGGTTTGGAGGGGCTGTATTTAACAGCGGGCAAGTGTTTTTAAAAGGCAAAAGAGCAGTGTGACATTGTTGCAGTTCACATAATTGTCATTCTTGCACTTTGTTACAGAAATCTGTTTCAAATGCCCTTGTATCCAATTAGTCATGATTGTCCACTTTAAAAAAAAAGGATATTTCAACTACTTGATATTAAGATATTGCTTTATGTTGTCCTGTTTAACTCTACTGGATTACTTACAGGTCTGATGTGTATTAAGGAGATGGACAACGCCGCTCTTGTTGCTGCTGAGATGCCGTTCAGTGTGCCAAGCTCTTCAGGACAGGAAATCAACCTCAGCTCAAAATATACACGAATCGCACCAGAAAACAAAGCCGAGTTCATCCGGCTTGCTATCAACTACAGGTAGATACAGGGTATTCTGTATATATACATTGTATGGCCGGGTTTATCTGGCTGGATATCAACTACAGGTAGATATAGGGTATTCGGTATATATACAGTGTATGGCAGAGTTTATCTGGCTGGCTATCAACTACAAGTAGATATAGGGTATTCTGTATATATTTGGCTGAGTTATCCGGCTGGCTATCAACTACAGGTAGATATAGGGTATTCGGTATATATACAGTGTATGGCAGAGTTTATCTGGCTGGATATCAACTACAGGTAGATATAGGGTATTCTGTATATATACAGTGTATGGCAGAGTTTATCTGGCTGGCTATCAACTACAGGTAGATATAGGGTATTCTGTATGTATATGTCCGCGTTTATCTGGCTGGCTATCAACTACAGGTAGATATAGGGTATTCTGTATATATTTGGCTGAGTTATCCGGCTGGCTATCAACTACAGGTAGATATAGGGTATTCTGTATGTATATGTCCGCGTTTATCTGGCTGGCTATCAACTACAGGTAGATACAGGGTATTCTGTATATATACATTGTATGGCCGAGTTTATCCGGCTGGCTATCAACTACAGGTAGTTATAGGGTATTCTGTATATAAACATTGTATGGCAGAGTTTATCTGGCTGGCTATCAACTACAGGTAGTTATAGGGTATTCTGTATACATATATATGTCTGAGTTTATCCGGCTGGCTATCAACTAAATGTAGATAAAGGGTATTCTGTATATATTTGGCTGAGTTTACCTGGCTGGCTATCAACTACAGGTAGATATAGGGTATTCTGTATATATACATTGTATGGCCGAGTTTATCCGGCTGGCTATCAACTACAGGTAGATATAGGGTATTCTGTGTATATATATATGTCTGAGTTTATCTGACTGGCTATCAACTAAATGTAGATATAGGGTATTCTGTATATATATATGTCTGAGTTTACCTGGCTGACTATCAACTACAGGTAGATATAGGGTATTCTGTATATATATATGTCTGAGTTTACCTGGCTGGCTATCAACTACAGGTAGATATAGGGTTTCTGTATATATTTGGCTGAGTTTACCTGGCTGGCTATCAACTAAATGTAGATATAGGGTATTCTGTATATATATATATGTCTGAGTTTATCTGGCTGGCTATCAACTACAGGAAGATATAGGGTATTCTGTATATATATATGTCTGAGTTTATCCGGCTGGCTATCAACTAAATGTAGGTATAGGGTATTTTGTATATATATGTCTGAGTTTATCCGGCTGGCTATCAACTAAATGTAGGTATAGGGTATTCTGTATATATTTGACTGAGTTTACCTGGATGGCTATCAACTACAGGTAGATATAGGGTATTCTGTATATATTTGTCTGAGTTATCCGGCTGGCTATCAACTACAGGTAGATATAGGGAATTCTGTATATATTTGACTGAGTTTATCCAGCTGACTATCAACTACAGGTAGATATAGGATATACTGTATACCTAGCACTTTCTCCTCTTTAGAGGTTCATCAGAGGAACTGTTTATTCATGTTAACAGGACAACAACACAACACAGAAAGTGTACATATATATGGCTGTTAGGTCTGAAGATATCTACCTACTTTGTAATCTCCTATGTATATATTTGGCTGAGTTATCCGGCTGGCTATCAACTACAGGTAGATATAGGGTATTCTGAATATATTTGACTGAGTTTATCCAGCTGACTATCAACTACGGGTAGATATAGGGTTTCTGTATATATTTGACTGAATTTATCGGGCTGGCTATCAACTACAGGTAGATATAGGGTATTCTGTTTATATTTGGCTGAGTTATCCGGCTGGCTATCAACTACAGGTAGGTATAGGGCATTCTGTATATATTTGACTGAGTTTATCCAGCTGACTATCAACTACGGGTAGATATAGGGTTTCTGTATATATTTGACTGAGTTTATCTGGCTGGCTATCAACTACAGGTAGATATAGGGCATTCTGTATATATTTGACTGAGTTTATCCAGCTGACTATCAACTACAGGTAGATATAGGGTTTCTGTATATATTTGCCTGAGTTTATCTGGCTGGCTATCAACTACAGGTAGATATAGGGAATTCTGTATATATTTGACTGAGTTTATCCAGCTGACTATCAACTACAGGTAGATACAGGATATACTGTATACCTAGCGCTTTCTCCTCTTTAGAGGTTCATCAGAGGAACTGTTTATTCATGTTAACAGGACAACAACACAACACAGAAAGTGTACATATATATGGCTGTTAGGTCTGAAGATATCTACCTACTTTGTAATCTCCTATGTATATATTTGGCTGAGTTATCCGGCTGGCTATCAACTACAGGTAGATATAGGGGATTCTGTATATATTTGACTGAGTTTACCTGGATGGCTATCAACTACAGGTAGATATAGGGGATTCTGTATATATTTGACTGAGTTTACCTGGATGGCTATCAACTACAGGTAGATATAGGGTATTCTGTTTATATTTGGCTGAGTTATCCGGCTGGCTATCAACTACAGGTAGATATAGGGAATTCTGTATATATTTGACTGAGTTTATCCAGCTGACTATCAACTACGGGTAGATATAGGGTTTCTGTATATATTTGACTGAGTTTATCCAGCTGGCTATCAACTACAGGTAGATATAGGGTATTCTGAATATATTTGACTGAGTTTATCCAGCTGACTATCAACTACGGGTAGATATAGGGTTTCTGTATATATTTGACTGAGTTTATCTGGCTGGCTATCAACTACAGGTAGATATAGGGTATTCTGAATATATTTGACTGAGTTTATCCAGCTGACTATCAACTACGGGTAGATATAGGGTTTCTGTATATATTTGACTGAGTTTATCCAGCTGACTATCAACTACAGGTAGATATAGGGGTTCTGTATATATTTGACTGAATTTATCTGGCTGGCTATCAACTACAGGTAGATATAGGGAATTCTGTATATATTTGACTGAGTTTATCCAGCTGACTATCAACTACGGGTAGATATAGGGTTTCTGTATATATTTGACTGAGTTTATCTGGCTGGCTATCAACTACAGGTAGATATAGGGTATTCTGTATATATTTGGCTGAGTTTATCCAGCTGACTATCAACTACAGGTAGATATAGGATATACTGTATACCTAGCGCTTTCTCCTCTTTAGAGGTTCATCAGAGGAACTGTTTATTCATGTTGACAGGACAACAACACAACACAGAAAGTGTACATATATATGGCTGTTAGGTCTGAAGATATCTACCTACTTTGTAATCTCCTATAGTAAGGTTACTTATCAGTGTTTTGAAGATTTAAAGAGACATTATAATACACATCATGCAAAGGAACCTTTACCAATAAACTGCACGTGGTCCAGAGTGGCTTCTAATTATACTCCAGCAAAAGGTATAATCTTGGGCTGATTTGGTTTATTCCTTCCAAACTATTTGTCAAGCTGACAAATTTGTCATTCTCAACAATAAAACAACTTGTAGGTCAATTATTTCAAGGTAACACTTAAATAATTGACCTATTATATTACCGCTATGCTTATATTTTGCAAGTTTTTTTTATTTACTTTTTTGTTTGTTTTGCAAATGATGGCATAACAAAGATTTATGGCATTTAAGAAACTACCCAGTACTCAAAATTTATTTCTGGAACAGGAAACATTAAAACAATTTTCTGACTTTTGATGAAAATCGTAAAATGAATTACCCTGAACATTGCTTGTCTTTAACTGATGAAAACACATCTGATTTATGTTTCAGACTTCATGAATTTGACGACGCGGTGAAGTGGATAAGAGAGGGTATGACGAAGGTGATCCCAGTAGCTTTACTTTCCCTGTTCACTGGACTGGAGTTGGAGACTATGGTAGGTATATATACACTGTATGTAGGTCGTTCTGCTTTGTTTCTTCACAGAGATGGATAACTTATAGGTATATCAGCAGTCATGTCTTTTTTTTCCTTTACTCAAGTGGAGTTGCAGACTATGCTACCATAGGCATGTAGGTAGTTCTCGAGGTGGTCAGGTGGTGCAGTGGATAGCCCACTTGCCTTTCACCAAGGCGGCTGTGTCTCGATTTCCTGATTGAATGTGAAAAGGTTTGGGTCACCTGTCAGACCACATGGGGTTTCTCTGGGTACTTCGGTTTCCTCCAACAATAATACCCCCGGCACGCTAATGTGCGGGCCAACAAGAGTGATTAATATAAGTTGTAAAAATGTGTTTCATAATTGTTGTAAAATAAATATTTTTTAGTTTTATATTATAGATAATTCTCTCTCGGTTTACTGGACTGGAATTTGGGTTTGTTGTTGATATATTGATAGTTCTACTGTCTGCTTATTGTATCTGTGTTGTGTTCCGGTATCATCCATACATAATCCTGTATAGGCAAACGTCATCCTGTATGTATATTCTAATCTTTGTGTGAGTAGGTGTGTGGCAGCCCTGACATTCCTCTGAACCTGCTTAAGTCTGTAGCCACATACAAAGGTATAGATGCCACAGCGCCGCTTGTACTCTGGTTCTGGGAGGTCATGGAGGATTTCACAAACACAGAGCGTTCGCTGTTCCTTCGCTTTGTCTGGGGCCGTACCCGTCTTCCACGTACAATTGCAGACTTCCGAGGACGTGACTTTGTGCTACAGGTAAGGATTTCTTTTATAGCATTTTATTACATATGTCCTTAGCAATGAAAGTCTGTATTTCCCATTTCTCGGCAATCGGGTTATTTTTTATCATGTTCCGAAAATTGACAGTCTTTATAATTGATTGTCATGCAATTGTGCATATTAGATTTTTTTTTTTTTTTTTTTTTCCTCTTTTTAATTATATGAGTGAAAATGAGAATCCAATATGATTTTAGAAATTAAAAAACTTATACAGCAAGATGCTAAGCTGGTTATTTTGCAGCCTCAAGACAAAAGTAGTAAATTGAAAAATGAATTTAGAGTTTTTCCCCTTGCAGTAATATACAAGGTTTATTACTGTTAGCATGCACCTCTACTGAGGTCAATAACTGTATGTGTGTGTGTGTTGCAGGTGTTGGATAAATACAGCCCCCCAGACCACTTTCTGCCAGAGAGCTACACCTGTTTCTTCCTTCTCAAGATGCCACGCTACTCTTGCAAAATGGTGCTGCGTGAAAAACTCAAATATGCCATCCACTTCTGTAAGTCAATAGACACAGATGACTATGCTCGCGTTGCACTAACAGGCGAGCTCCTAGATGAGGACACGCCGGAGGTTAGCGAGGACATGGAAGATCTGGAAAGCATTGACTCTGAGGGAGAGATTGCCGATTCCGATTGCAGTCTGTGATGAAAGTTATCGTTAGAAATACAGTGTAGTCACGCTAGTGATTTAGGACAGTTGTGATTGAGGACAGTTGTTTGTCCTTAAAAAGGATAGGTACATGTGTCTTTCATGATTGTATCAATATTGGTTATTTCACTGGATGAAATGGTTGAAAAAGCCATGTAATCTCAATATATAAATGTTTTAAAGAGATAGCTATGGTGGATAGAAGATTTCTGATAGGAGGGCCCCAGACTTCATTTCAGCCCACCCCTTTTTAAGGTCTGAAGGATCTGCCACTGGATATACTTGTAACAGTGTATGAAAGGCTTCTGAGGGAATCTCCAATGTATGAGGACTGTGCGGATGGAGGAATTCAGATTTTAGCTGTAATATTATACCAATATTTTCGTTACCAGTGTTGAAGTGCAAACTGAGTGCTCATGCTACAAATTCTTTTTTTCTTTTCTTGATTTTATTGTTTTATATCTGTTTAAGGCAAGTATTGAGGTACCACATCTGTTTTTACAGTTTCAGTGCTAGTTTAAATACAATGTCCTTTAATAGTATATGACAGAAAATAAAACTAGACCAGTTTTAATCATTGACAAAAGTGCTACTATGATTGTCAGAAACAATTCTAGAACTTTTTTCTATACTTGTAGGGATCTAAAATTTGTGTATAATTATACGGAAAGCCTTTTACAACTTACAAAAATGTTTCATATAAAAAAAAGACAAACCGATTGTTCTGCATATAAACGAACATGCCCCTGATATGTACAATAAGGCCAGGTTTATCAAGCCGTCACTAATCTGCAAGTTTCATCCAGTGTCTTAGAGAACTGATTGGACAGTTTCTTTAATAAATTGCCCCAGTAACGTACCCAGCAATGTAATAGTTCGTCCACTTATGCAGGGTACACAGGTGACCGAGTCGTTGAGGCACCAATCTGTAGCTAAGTGTTAAAGACAAATAGAATTGTTATTCCATTTTTGTCTTTCAAATCAGGTAAACGGACAAACCTTGTTTTATTTTGAACATTACTTTTAAAAATGGTGTGTAAATATCAAACTGAAACACTGATTATTAAAATTTATTAAAAAAGAAAGACAAATAGAGAAGCCAAAATTCGTTGGAAGGAAGGGAAAGTGGAACAGATTATTTTTGTTTGGCCTAAGGTTGTGGAAAAGAAAGCCATTGATAGCGTTAATAAAGTCATTGACTATTTAAAAGTCCATCAAATTGATTGCTCACATTAGTCTAGTCAGGAGGAGACAACTCTGTGTCATAAAATACTTTGACTCTTTGTTCAATTGGTGTAAAGTTTTCTCATTTGATAATTGTGAACTGTTGAGATGCCTTGTCCTCCATAAATCTGTTACTATCATCATGTGTTCCAGTCTATAGAAATGGTGTAGCCACAATCTCGTTGTTCATTCTATTAATGAAGATACATTCATTCTCAGTCACATAAATGGCAGTACATTTACTGTATCTGTTTTAGTACATTTTAATCATCACCCGATTTGTTTTCAAAGGCTACAGTATTGGGAATACAAAGTATGTGTAACTTATTTATCATTATTTTACACGAGCGTAATGAACATTGGTGATCATATCTTGGTCATTTTATTTTTTGATACATGTATCTTCGAAGAAGTGTCACGATGTATTTAAATACAAATTTGGTATTCATAGAACCAGACACATTATATAAAGAAAGTTGTCTTATGAAATATGTATCGCATGGTCTAGTCAGGAAAGTGGAAAGCAAGATTTACCAATGAAAGGGCTTATATTGCATAGCTATATCAACTCGCTTTTATATCTGTATTATTATCAGATAAGGATACATGCAGGATTTCTATCTGTTTGTGGTGCATTAAACTAAATTTACTTGCTAATCAACATTCATGTGAAAATATTAAGTGTTTGCCTTATTTAGTAATGAAAGGAATTCTACAATATATATAGCTTTATACATATATAGGCGTTCAAAGTCCCATCTGTGTAACCTACCTAAGCTAGTCTATTCCGTCTTTGCGTATTGCAGAGTTATCTTCTCTTGGGAGCAGGTATTGATTGTTACGTTATTGGTTTGTGTGAGAAAATTACGTCATTTTTCTCAAAATTTGATGACGTTGCTCTCACAAACAAGTGACGTAACAATCAATACCTGCTCCCAAGAGAAGATAACTTTGCAATACGCAAAGACGGAATCGGTCCTGTATCAGTGCCAATGAGAAGCAGAGTTAGCCTTGAGCGTCCTGGAGTTCTAGATTATTTGTCTGACATTGTAGATTTCCTTGCCAATATGAAGCGGAGTTGTCGACATCATATTGCCGTTGAGCTCCTAGGAATCTAGAATATTTGCACAACAGCTTGTATATATATAAATGCCAACGTGAAGAGAGATTTGTGTATCTAAATATTGCCCACACTCAAGCTGCAGGCAGTTGTAAGTTATTTGCTAGACATGTTGTGTATTAATGAAAAAATATGATATCCCATCAATGTACATTATAAGCCCTCTTTCTCATATTCTCCCAATCTTGGACTATTCACCAGATTTAGTTTGTATATATTTGGTACAAATAAAAGGTACGTAATGTACTCCCCTCCTTTCTCCCAATCCCTAAACTATTAGAATTCTAGTCTATGCATTTCATTGTCTATATTAATCCCGAGACATTGAACTCCCCCCTCATTCATTCCATTGCTGTATATGCACAAATCTGTATGATCACACACTAACATGAAGGTTGTGAGCCTGTTATGTAGGTCTCAACGTGACATGTACATGTAGTGACATTAAAATGGTTTTTTTTTTTACACAAACAGCATTTGAAGAATTTTTTTTGTAAAAAACCTGTTTCGTTTATCAAGCAATGAGAGAAACAATGTGCTGAGTAGGTAATAAGTGTCAAAATTGCTTCCAGACATTTCATCTGAATTTTGTGAAACAGGTCGGAAAGGCACACATCACAAGGAATGTCAGACAGATTGATACTGAAACCATAAACACCAGGTTTACACTCAGGGAGAAATGATAAACATTATATTACCCATCCATCTGACAGCCTGTATAATAAGAATACAGTTAAGACAACATGCTTTTGACAGCTGACTTCTGCGACACAAACTGTTGCGTAGACCACAACACCACTAGAACTAAGACCATGCATTTCCACTCTTTTTTTTGCTTGACAAATGAAACAGGTGTTTTCAAAAACTCACAAATTTAAGCTTTCACAAACTGTTTGTAAAGCAAAACAAACTTGGCATATATATATATATATATATATACAATGTATTTTATTATTTACAACCGATACCAAAATGATAAATTTCATTAAAAAAAAAATCATGACATTTAAACCTTCAATACAAACATTTTTCAATGCATACAGAGTGACTTTCCATCCAAGATTTGTATCAATATACAGGTGTATTCATATACTGGTATACAGTTTATATATTTACAAGCTAAACTAGCAGGTCTGCTAGAATCGCTATTTAGGCTACCGATAGTCTGACAATATTTGTACACTTCCACATCCACATGAACTGTACAAACGCACATACTGAACATGCCTAGGTTTTATTTTATGAAGGTGATGATTGGTTCTTAGAACCAGATTGTTTAAGTGTCCTGCTCTGTATCATCATGTGTGTCTTTGTGTTTAATTCACTCTCTGGAGGATTGCCCATTGTTGGTAGATGTGTAGTCTGTCTACCGCCCAATTTGGAGATGTCTGTAATAGTGGCTGGATAATTTTCTAGTAAAACTGACCATATGTTTCGAAATATTTGTAGTAAATAGTAATTCAAAACTGTGGAGAGGTTATGTAATACTCTAGCCAGGAATCTATTAAAGGAGATTTAAAGGCAAGTTGTTTGGTACCGGTAATATCCCAGCGAGTGATGGAGTTTATATGAGCATTTTGTGATTTTATGAAATACATTTCATTGTCATTTTTTGTGATAAATGTTGCTAATGTTGTATATATGATTGGTTTATTGTGTGCGACATACTGGCGATTACATGTACGCTGGTGTGTGTTGCGCGTCTGATATTTATCATGTGATAATTGCAGGTGTTCCCGAGGTTCACATGCATCATTGTTTCAGCCCAACATTAACAGTTTTCACAGCGAGGCATTACATACCACAAAAGCAGATGTCACTATTACTTTCTCTTAATATCGGAACAAGATGTTAAAATTAGTATTTAATGTATTGCAGTCAAAATATTTCATTCATAGGTATTAACTTAACTCTTTCACCACTGTAGACCATAATGGACTCATCCATACCAATGCATGGTAGAGTTTACTGAAGTTACATAGGGGTGAAAGGGTTAAAGCTTAAAAGTCAATATCAAGAAAAATCATATTTTCGTCATTTTCATATATATATTTTTTACTTTTATTCATAGTTGTTTAACTAGATTGGTGTATTTATATACATACAATTGACTTTTTCAAAATTTGTTTTACTTGCTGACTTATTACAGAAATATTTAATTTTTATTTCTCTGTTCTGACATATCTAACAATGCCCATGCTATCAGTCCAGTAGCGGTAAACATCAGCGATCTTTCTTTTGCATTTTGCAATAGATTTTGTTACTTGTTTTCATCGGTTAAAACCTAAAAGAGGTTTAATTCATTAGTTAAGATAAACTGCTATATATTAATGTATTACAATAAAGGATCCATGTCCCACCGCTGGCAAAGCACCAGGGAATGTAGTTTTCATACATAGAGTAATCTCCCCTTAATTTCATTCTAGGTGCAACTGTAGTGGCTTTGAGCTCACTTGATTTTTGTGACTGCGTTGCGATTGCATGTTCAAGGTTTAAATCCCCTCCTGACCCTGTTCCATTTCTATCTTTTTTTTCCCCCTGAAAGCTTCGCAAGGCACGAGTTTCTTTTCAGATAGAATGTATAGAAGTTATTGTCATGCTGATAAAAAGTTTGTAGTTCCTAGTTACAGTATTTGGCAGTGGTGTATAGATCCTTATAATTAAAAACAATGATACTTCTTGTGACTAAATGAGTATTTCTCTATATTTCACTCTATCACAATGTATCGAAACTCATAAATGTTGGTCTATGAAAATATTTTATCATTTCCTCCCTTGACTTCATATCAAGAAATAAGTTTGAAGCAGATGAAATCGAACTGCTATAAATTGTGTTTCATCGCGACATTGTAAACATAGTTGGCCTTTGTATTGGACAGCCTGTGTTGCGTATGTGTTTGTGTGTGTGTGCTACACTGTCAATGTTGTCCCCCAAAAGGCTTCAATTAAAATTGTCCAACAAACACTGTAGTTTTCTTTTTTATAATTATCAATAGGTTAAGATGACCATGGCAACGTCATGCTGGGTTTACCGGCTTTAATCAATGGTTCTGATGACGACGCTCTACGACCAGACTTACAAGTGTATATCTTGTGGAATCCGTCTGCTGGGTAACATAGAACTTCGCTGAATTCTTTGCATGAACTTCGGAATTCTCCGACGTACGACCTATTTAGTGTTGACCTCAAGAGTACGCAAGTTTTTCGAAGGACTTGTAGTCAGACACTGTAGTTTTGACCTTGGATTACCATATAAGGGGGCATGTATACTGTACTCAGAATGCTTTAACAATGAACAAGGAACATGTGAACTACTCATAAATAGTGACGTTGGTCTTGACCTTAAAACCCGAGAATACAAAATCATTCCAGGTATTCTCATACTTGACCTTTGTAAAAATAATCTGTTAACAAATGCATCAACACAGAAATTACATGATGTCATTTATTAATTATCACTCTATGTGGGGAATTTAATACATCCATATTTAGTTATTAATTATCACCACGGAATTATCTAAGTCCGTGTTATCACTATGTTGGGAATTTGATACATCCATATTTAGTTATTAATTATCACTATGTGGGTAATTTAATACATCCATATTAAGTTATTAATTATCACTATCTGGGGAATTTTAATACATCCATATTTAGATGTAAGAATATTTCCACAATCAACCCTCTGCAACACTTTCTGGTATTTTCAGATTTAACCCAAAAAAACGACTTCCCGAAGAATCCTCCTTCATAATGCGGTTAATACAGCCTAATAACATTTTACACTGATCTTCTTGAGAGAAGGAAGCAAAGAGGATGTTATAAAACACCACCGTATCAACACTTCTGACCATACAAACCCAACATTTCAGTTTGTGAATCCAAAATGGCACAAACATTACAAAGGAATATTCAATGTAGTATCGATAGAGCTACTTAACCAGAGGAAATAAGGACAAAGCAGCGGTAGTACAACCCAGGCCAGATCATGCTAGACTTTATTCATACAGAAATAGTCTTGAAAGAGGCAACTGGCTTGATCAGGACATGGACACACCAAAAAATATTCGTAACAGTAAATTCATCTAGAGCCCTACATGCAGGCATCCTCGATACTCCAGGGGTTACGCTCACTTTTGCTCTTTGCATCCCTGGAATATGTCATAGCAAAATTGAAGACATGCTTATAGCCATTTGATTGGTCTCCGGTAAAAAAAAACTTGACCAATTGCTAAGGCTTATTCCTGTCCTTTGAAGATAAGAGGAGCCACTTCTGATGTAAATCAAAGGATCAAACTAAGTGTTCTTGTCTCACACACTGAGCCTTTAATTTTGCTATAATATGTTCCAGGCGTGCAGAGAGCGAAAGTTAGTGTGACCCCTGGAGAATACAAGTTTTTTTTACTATATGAACACACAGATGTACAGACCAACATTGACACACAGACACTGACAAGTAATTACTTTTTATTTTTAAAATCTCAGAGTATAAAAACTATCACAGATTATTTAAGTACGCTAGTTAGTGTCATTTAACAGTATGTTGTACCATCCCCTAAACCTAGTGCAAAATTCACACCTCCCTATATCGAACGTGTACAACCCACGAGATTGTAGGAACAATATAAATTATGATATGTATATTTCATTCATACACAAAGTAGGTGTAACCTAGCTGGAATTCATCAGTGATGAACATTTCACATCACATAGTCAGATTAATGATATTTTTTTTCCATGATTATTTCCCCTGACCAGACTTTTTTGTGGTTTTATTTGTTGGTCTGTTTGATGCATCATCGTCAACTTGGATTTTTCTACCATATGTTGAGTCCTGTTCCTGTAGATTCTTTAACAATACTTTAGCCCTGCCACCTCCTCTTCCCCGTTTGATCTTCGGCGTGGCGGAAGAGTTCTCATTGGGCGATGGATTATAAACAACCACATTTTTATTAACAATAACAGGCGTTTTAGGTTCCATTTTAAAAAGAAATGGAACATGAAGTCTGTAGCCACCTAGTACTAATATAGTGATCAAAAGGATGATGACCATGGCAATAAACATCAATGGCTGCCAATGGAGTGGAATTTCTGTGAAGAAAAGTCTGAGACTCCGTCCAACACCTTCAAAGAAAAGCTCCATCGGGTAGATTATACACCGGGTTATTGTGGACGATATCACCTGAAACAACAAATTCTGTGGTTAATATGTAGATCAGATACCCCAAATAATTTTGAATTGATTTTGTACGGTAACTGTTTTGGAAATCAATTTTCACTCCATTCACACTTGACGGTCTTCTAATGAGAAAATTCGCTACACATATCACAGAAGCCTCAGCATTTTAGGACTTTAAATTACATATTTTACTTGAGCAAGGAAAACAACTCTGGGTTCAGAAGAGGCTATGATCAGAGACAAATAAACAACAAGTAGTTTCTATATGCGTGTTACCATAATCGGAGACACCTCCCACAAAGGGTCCACCATCAGCATCTTGTAGTATTTTTCACATGGGTTTGGTTGCCATGACAACATGCTAAACAGCCAGTTGCGGAAACTCTGTAGGAACGACATTTGATCTGGCACACACTCCTTGGGAACACCCTGTGGGAAAAATATCAGAACCTATGGGAATACTAGTACACGTTTATACTCATATATGGCATGCTTTTACCACTAGTGGTGGTATACTGATTAAAAATCTTCTTCCCATAAGTCAAATAATATATTGAGCTCGGATACAGTGTATATATCTTATACATTCTATAATCTCCCAAGATTTTTATCACGTTGAAAAAAATATGTCAAAATCTCATTGTGAAAAAGGCTGAATTCCCACCCAAAATATATTGGCAGTAAAAATTTTGTTTTCACTTAAATGATATAAAAGTTGAATTCAAGAATACATTTAAGTATATAAAATCAAAGGCTCAAGAAAAGTTTCACATATCTCCCACAGAATGGAAATAAAACTTCATTATTTTAAGATGTTATATACTACTGAAAGATACTGATGAACTTACAATCTGTAGATTTGCCATTTTCTTAGCAATTTCAATCTGGTATAAACGAACAAACTCCCATGGAAGACTCCCCAGGAATGCCAAAATCACTAAAATCCAAACAATTTTTCCATAGGTCAGTCTGCAAAGCTGATCATACATCCCCAATCCCTGATGGTCAGCCTCAGAGTTGCGTCGATGTCCACTCCTGATGCTGCCCCTCTGTAACATCATTTTACCTTGAAGTTTATTCTCAGATGTTGTTTCACTGTCAGCGCTGTCACGCTTTGACCGTTTTCTAGACATTATACAGGTGAACAGTAGGAAAACAAGCAAGATTATTCCTGCTACTGCAGAGGTTATCTCCCTTGGTACAAGAGGACACAGCCATGTGACGAGGAGTATGTAGGTCCCTTGTAAATCCTCCTTAACTACTTCAAGCAGATGACTGGAAAATGATTGTGATATCTGAGTTGGGTCCTCACTTTGTCCCAACAGTAGCCAACCAATAGTGTTTGTCACTTCAGATAGAAAGGTCAATGAATGTTGTTCCCGCCTGGTGCTACTTCTCTCCCAGGCAGTCACTAAAAAATATTAAAAAATATTTGAATTTTAGTCTGTAGAAAAGGGACTATGTATATTTAGAAATTTTACAGCACAGTAATAGCAGGAAATTAAATTGAAGATGAAAATGAGAGGAATATGGTTAATATTTGTAGGGTCCTGTCCTTTTTCTTTTCTTTTTCTTCAGTTAATACAAATATGGATATAACAAAACCACCGGTGAATTATAAAAGTATTAAACTGAATCAAGAATTCAGAGTATGACCCGATATTGACATAACAGGGGAGGGGGGTAGATCTACAACCTACCTGTAACCTATCTGATGCTGGTGTATATGATTCCTATCTATAGGCGAAACGTCCCGGGTCGAGTGACATACAAATAAAAATTCGTCAGATCGTTGTACAAGTAAACAAGAGCTGTAGGAGAACAGCATAGCTCATCTATTAAAATCGTTTTTGTAAAATGTGCTAATAGTAATTGGGCCTTTGCAGGGTGTCCCATCTTAGATAATAGATCAGGAAACTAGAACTACATTTTGGATGGCACACACCCCATATCCCCTCAAAGTAACCCACCCCCTCTGGCCCAGCCCCTGGGGGTCATATCAAAAATCTTAAAGTGTTGTGCACCCCTCCATACATATATCTACCATGTCTAAAAGTTTCAAGTTCTTCTTCAAACATTGTAGAAAAAGTTATTTTACCCCTTTTATCCCTAAAGTACCCACCCCGTTTTACCATATATGCTAAAATAAATTACTGTAAAATATAGAACTCATAATAATGTTTGATTTGATATGATAAAAGACTCCTTTCTGATTTTTTAAATATTTGATCCCCATGACATTTGGTTGAAATCTGCCCAGTAGCTTCAAAAGAACTAGAACTTGCCCTAAATCTTTAACCTGTAGAACTTGCCCAAAAACTTAAACCAATTCCAAAAAACTTGTGTTTTGTACCAACAATGAGGATATATGGTCCAATTTGTTGCTAATAAGGAACCTCAAAGCAATTGCTGTAACCATATTACAATGTAAAATTAGTTAAAAGTTGAGTTTAACACCAAAATACAGCTTGCCCAAAAACTTTAACCAAGTGGGGCGCCGACGCCGTGGGTACTGCTATAGCCCCCCTATTCTTCGAATAGACGAGCTAAAAATACAATTTGCTCACTAAGGAACCAGTTGCGACACGTTTAATACGTACATTGCTTGTGTAGAAAGTAAAACTTTCATATTACATTCTAAGTATTACCAAACTGATGAATCTCATTGAGACATAAATTTTATGTCTCAATGGTTTCTCAGTCGTTTTGATTGGCAAAACCTATCTTTTATTAAAAGATAGATATTGCCAAGCAAATTAAACCACTAAAATCATTAAAATTCCCTGGCAATATATTTTAGCAGATTATTAATAAGAAATCAAAGGCTTATACTAACCTAGATTGATAAATGAACTTTAGATGAAGCGCAATTTCATAACATTCTATGACGTATATACAAGCGCAAAACATGTTATAAACAATTGTATTAAATGGAAAGTGTTTTGATGTTTATAACATGTCTAGTTTCTATATTAAAACATTAAATGTGAGGAAATGACACTGGCATAGTCCATGTGTTCACTGCAGTCACGAGGCAACTAGTTTTACACATGTATATTTAAATAAACTGTAAAATATGACTGACATGACTATGACTTTTGTGCATTCCAACAGCAACTGTTATCATCTTGTTTTGAAGGCCAGTATGCCTCTCAACAGATAGAAGAAGAGAAATAACAATCAAACTTGAATCAATTGAACTTTAAAGATTCAAATTTCTTGATGAATTTGGACCTAAACTGTAAGGTGGGAATGTAGGAATGAATGATTTGGAGTTTGAGAGAAGAAAAGAAAGAGAGAATTCGAATGAAGGGAAAGGTGCCTCTGGTGCGAGTTTATATTACTTAAGAGGGATGAGCCTGGGGCACCCCAGCCCTGGCATCCCTCCCAAAACATGCTGGGGGAATAACATACAATTTAAACCTACAGATGTAATTCGAGGCAGATACATGCATATGGTGTGTGTTTGATGACAGGAAAAAATATACCAAAGAGCTCTGCACAGGGGCTTGTTACAAATGTCTGAAATACACATAATTAGCTATACTGATATGGGTCACAGCACACATCAACATAACATAAGTGCAGGCAAATTCGTCATATTAGTAAGGGTTTCAGTTAATAATTTGTCCAAATACACATGTATCAAAATGCCGACGAGCACCAGTACAGAAGAAGATTTGACTGAAATGCCTATAAATAAACATTGTTGTAAACACGTCTGAATGACGTCATGCAGCAACATTTGTGACGTCATCAGGCCTTCCATGGTTTTGCTCAAAGATGCAGGCAGTTTCGCCACCATCAAACATTTCACTAATTTGCAAATAATGTAAGTGTTTAAATGTAACATTTTACATGTTGATATTACACAAATCATACTGATACGAACAGCTCCAAATGAGTGTGTGTAACAATGATTAAAATTCAAATAAATGTTTTTTCCTATTTGTGATAGTCAATTTTCGATAGCTTGAAGAAACTGATTAATGCTGTTTGAGTAAGATGGCTTGGATTGGCCAAGATGAGGTCAATTTACAAGCATCGCAATAAAGACTCAGTCCTGAACAAACAAAATCGGTGCCCCCACCCCCGACGACTTTTAGATAATTTGTCACATGTACATCTCCGATCGTCTTGCACGTCGACGGGAAATATCTGAAAAGTTAAAACGATATTTGGGCTTAAACTTTATTCAACACTGTCCCAGTGTCAACATACTTCAGTACACAAGCTAACATAATAAAGCACAAAAGCAGATAATGGTATTCGTCATTTTTGTAAACAATACAACAACAAAACAAGCACACATAGTGTTACCTGATCTTATCAAACCGTAAATAATAGCAACAACCAGTGTGATCGACAGACAAGCACATGTATTCCAGTTACATCGCTTCCTTGTTTCTGTCATGTTTCTAATTGCCGCCATTGATATGGGACTGATGTGCCCGGACTATATTTTAAGATTTCAAGTTAAACTTTACGATTATTTTTCTCCTGAGTTTTTAACAGCATTGTGGTCAAAACATAGTTATAAAATGTACTGTTTTCAATTTCTAATAATTAAATTTCAATTTTTAATGTTGTGTATATTACATTTTGAAAATAATACCGAGAGTATTAGTTTTGAGGTCAAAGTGCAAAAACAAAAGCGAAAGTTGAATTATTACAGGTGAGATTTTACGTACCGTCTTACATAAACGCACGTGATTCTCGCGATGACAGGTGAAAGCACATGATCAGTGAAGGTAAGTACATATGACGTATGCAAAAGGTTTGTAATGTTTTGCTGGAATATCCATACGTGTGGCGCAGAAATTTTCCACGATAAACGAACACACTTGGACCGTTCTATAAGCAGAGCTAAAAATGCACAGTTTCGGAGAATAAAAAAACAATGTATCAAGAATATTATGCCCTTCTCTCACGCGTCCACTAAATTACATAACGTATCTTAAAAACTACATGTGGCTTGACATTGTTTTAGAAAGAAATAACGCAAACTAGCAATATTCAGCAGTTTAGTTTCGGCCAGGTACGTCTGGACCCCTCAATCTACACGTACCAAATTTTCCTGAGGTCAGCCTCGGTCCAAATCTGTACCTGTCGTTTTCTTTACAGGTTCAACCGGTTCAACCGTTTCAACCGGATACGCGAATGTACCCCTAGTTAGTATATATATTCCCTTGTCTAAATTGTGATTAAATCGACAAGCCATTTCACTGATTTGGTTTCCCAAATGACTACATGCAGTGACTGTAGTCTTGGGATCATCCACTGCAAATATGACAGGTGAGCATGGAATTTTACAGCTATATCCTAGCGCCTAAGACAATATACTGTTTACAATCCAGGTTCCGGTATACTCCTATTGTCACTCAAGCATTACATTGATTAATCACCCTGGTGAGTGCATGAAACAATGGTTGGTCAGAGGCAAATGTTAAGAAGGAGCAGAAAAATGCACGGCCAGACTGGGATTTGAACCAGGGCCATACACCCCAAACTGTGTGACACTTTTCTACTTTAATTGATCTTAATTTAATACCAGTTCTGCTACAAATAAAAGACACCCTTTTTGTTCCTAATATTAAAAAGATTATTCAGTTGTAGCGGTACATGTCTGGGTTGATCGTCGGCGACAAGAAAGCTCAATTGGTATAGCGTCCGTCTAGAGTTCCGAAGGTTCTGGGTTCAAACCCCGGTCTGGCAGAGCATTTTTCCTCGGTCCTGTTACAGTAGTGCCTCTCACTCAGACCAACCCTTGTTTCAAGCATTTGGTGTATGCTTGGCAAGGGATCCTCTATTTACCTTGGTTGTTAACAGTTGTGTTTTCGGGGGAAAAGACTTAGAAAAAGGATGGAAGGATTTAGTGAAACTGGACTGGGTCGATTGTCGGCAACCAGATAGCTCAATTGGTAAAGCGATTTTATATTCAATAATTTTTATAGTAATCAAGAATTTATTGATGTTTTTAAAATCATTAATGAAGATATATGAAAGTATTTATCTGCTACACAGAGAGTATATAAGTTCTCAAATCTTTAAAGCAGGACATTCAATCAAAAAACACACTTCATCACCTATTGATTATCAATGCACAAAATTGTCACATATTTGATCTTAATCAATCTAACTTTATCTTGTAGCTTTCATTTTTAGTCCATTAGGAGACATCCTAAATCTTACTGTTTAGTCATATTTTTTCACACATTGAATATGTTAAGTTTTGTCAAATAAGTTTCTAATTTAGAGCTGGGTTTTAATTTTGAATAAGTTTCTAATTTTCATGCAGAATAAATTCTGTATTAGGTACCGTAGTTGTGAATGCTTTCCCTTGTACATGTACTTATCCTAGTGTTTTTTTTAGCTCACCTCGCCCTTTGGGACTGTGTCAAGTAATTGCTGACATAGAGTGATATATGTTTGTGGAAAGATATGACCTAAACCTACAGTATATTCAATGTCACAAGGTGCAAAATTATTAAAATATTCAACAACCTTTTTCTGAAAATGCAAAATGTAGGTAGAACTGATAGTAATACCAAGTAATTGGCTGACATTGAGCGTTATAAAGTTTCTCCAAACAGCGAAAGGAGTCAAACGTGCGGAAATATTCAAATAACTCCTTCTGAATGAAAAAATAGTATAGGCCTATATGGTCATTATATTTGGTCTGTAGCTTATTGCTGGCATGGGGCACTATAGTACTATAAAGTTTGCCAACAGAAACAAGCTGCAACCTTAATTCTTAAAGACACTGGGCGTGGGGTCAAATCTGTTAAAACACTCAAACAAACTTTTTTTATGATAGATATGACTCATACTTGCAGATAGAAGGGTTGAAAAAGGTTGTTAAAATGATGACCATGATCTACATTTTAGGTCACAAGGATCAAATGTGTTTAAATCTTCAAGGATTTGTTTTCTAAAGATTTATAAGCATAGAGTAACAAATCTTTCTTTTGAGAATAGGGTAATTATTGTTTAATGAATTACATATTCAACCACTTTCAAGGTCATAAGGGTCAAATGTGTTAAAATCTTTTAACAATATCTTGTAATTTGCTGGTATAAAGGGCAATCAAAATTGCCTGAAAAATGACCTTGACCCCTTTTGATCACAAAGGTCAAATTTGTGAAAAAGCCAAAACAACTTTTCCTGATGGTCCTTAAGGACTAGAGAGCAGAAACATTCAGCTTGAATAACATGTTTTGTTTTCTATCAAGGTTCTTTAACAAATTTGACCTTGACCCACTTTGAAGTTCATAGATTTGAAATGTGTTTAGGAATAACACTGCATATAACACCTGTGACCAAAACAGGCCCATGAGTGCCCACACTACTAACTTTTTTCCCCAAAAATGTAATCAAGCACTTGGTGTTTAAGTCCAAAATGCTTTCACTTCATCCATGATGATAATTAAGTGGTACCTAATATTTTGTTCTTACCCACAGTACCATGCAGTCATTTCTTAATTGTTTGAAAGCCAAAAAGGGGAAACAAAACAAGTTAATTTTTGGCCATTTAAGAATTTCTGTGTTTTGTTACAGCCATGATGGTTTGTTGACACTAATAAGACTGCTTGACACAGAGAATCTCCCAATATTTACGTATGCTATCATCTGTCTGAATCCTGATCTGTTCTCTATAGCCAATGACCTTACAATGGCCTGAAACACTTTTCATTTCTTTTAACTGACTCAGAAGAGCATTCATAAGTTCCTTTAGATTGGTTGAGTGTACTATACCATGGTAATGTAAAATACAGTATTCCAATTCAGCAAAACAAAATGTTAATTGTGTTTCTAATTTCGAAAGATGAAGAATCCTCCAATTTCCTCAAACTTAAGAACTGTATACTATACTCAGGAAACCACATTTTGCACTAGATATCCTAGTCATCCCAACAGAACCCGTAATTTAAGAAGGGTTGCATTGACTCGGATGTCATCTAACAGAATGGCCGACAATCGACCCAGTTCAGTTCTGCTACATTCCTCCCTCCTTTTTTTAAGTCTTCGCCCCAAAAGACACAACTATTTAAAACCCAGGTTCGGGTATACCCTTGCCAAGCATACACCAAATGCTTGAAACAAGGGTTGGTCGCAGACACCACTGTAACAGCTTACATGGAAAAATGCATGGCCAGACCAAGACTTGAACCCGGGACCCTGTCCTCTAGACGGACGCTCTACCAATTAAATTTTCTGGTCACTGACAATCGACCCAGTCTTAAGTTCAGCTACATGAGTTTGAAAATCTCAAAACTGAAGAATTGGATAGTACCAAGCAATTAACTAATATAGTGATCTCAGGATAACACTGTGATTATCCTTAAATTTGAAAGAAAGGTTGATATCACAGGCATAAATTTCTAACAGAATTGTGACGTAAAATTCAATGGTCTAAAAGGGTGGTCTGAATTTGAAAACTTCCAAACTCTAGATTGGGTATTATACCAATCAAACTACTGATAGTTTCAGGTCATTAGTGATTATCACAAACATTAAAAGGATTAAGGATGTACACCTCGGAGAAGTAAAAAAAAATCCTGTATTAAACATTTTTTCCTTATATGGAATTTTGGAAAAAGGAGTTAATAGCATAGTAGAAAATGCAATAAAAAATATGTCTGTGTGTTCGTTTTTGTGTTATGATCGGTCAAAGATACCAATTTAACACAACATGTGATTTTAGGTGATTTTTTGGGTTTTGACCATTTGCAGAACAAATTCATACAATTTCTTCCAAGTGTGTTATCAGATATGTATGAATGTTGGTAGAATTGATGAAAATATTATTTTCTTTGGAATTATGGAAGTAAAATTTCTAAATCTTATTTTAACTCAGAAAGCCGATTTAAGTTACCCCTACCCCCTATTTTTTAATGAAAAAATACTATTTTTTTACCATTTTTTTGCAGATTAAACGCTTGATATAAAAAGTTGTGGAATTTAACTTTTTTTAATATTTAATGAATTAGGTCAAAAATGTGTTTCTCTTTCTAAAACATCTACAAAAATGGGTGGTCATTGTGCTTTTTTTTTTGTCCCATTATCACTTGTGTTATTTTTTTTTACCTTTTTCGGGGTAAAAAATCAAAAGTGCTTCAGTTACACTAAATATGTAAAATAAATATCAATAATGTATAATTTTCCTGTTTGTTTCCTATTATTTTTTATCATATTGAACATTATAAAAATGTACAGCAAAATTGAACCCGCTACAATTAAAAATGGCGACACAATGACAACTTAATTAAGTGATCAATCTAGTGTCGAAAAAGGTGAAATTTTGGCCTTTTTTGAAGTGGAAGAAATACAAATTAATACACATTTTCAAAATGGCCGCTGCATTGGTAAATATTTTAATTTCTTGTAAAAAAAGTTCTACAAACAACAGGCATCTAGTTTTTTGACATATTTTTCAAATGCATGTTTTCTAATAGAATTGATCATAATTTGATAAATATTACAAAAACCCATTACACCAGATCAAAGCGAGACTTGAATGTGATTGAAACCTCAGAAGAGTACATCCTTAATTAAGCTGTTCAATGGTCCAGAATATGACCTAAATTTGAAAACTTCGAAACTTAAGATTGAATATTAACTGAACAAGCCACTAGCTACTAAGCTTTCTCAGGTCACCATTGAGCATCTCAGTCCTGACCCCCCGATATTTACATGTACACATGTTATCACATGTACATCCTGTGTTGCCAATTTAAAATCAAGGTCACAGCTTTAGTGGGTAAGGAAATTAATCATTCTATACTCTAGCTTGTTTCATATGAATAATACATGTATACAAAATATCTATTCACCTGGTGGTGTAGGATGTGTGACTTAGCATACATATACATTTTCTGATACGTGACAAATGTTCTCTACCCAATGATCTCCCCCTACTGCAGTGTATACTGGTTTGCTGAAGGTCCCCGTATGATCAGGTGACTATATATTTTTCATTATTTGTCTGATAAAAAGTTTGTTTGGTTATATCTATAAAGTGTGTCATTTTACTTTTACTGATCCATATAGAGACTCCACTGTTCTGTGGTTTTGTATATACAGTAACATCCCCACCCTTTAATTTTTCTTTGGATAAAACTGTGTTACATTTGACCCTGCCATGGACACTTCCACAGACCAGGTAGCTCAGGTGTTCAGAGCGACAGCATCACAATCAGAGATCCTTAGTTTGAATCCTGGTCTAGGCCCACCTTTTTTTTCTCTCTAAGAACAACATATATAGTTGATACTATTTGGTTATTACATTTTGATAATTTTTCATAAAAGTCTTGCAAGGATTTCTCAAAGCTTTATTATGTCAGGGAAAACAGCTTCCATTGGGTATAGCTACAGTTTTTTGAAGTGCTACTCGGATCCCCGAGGGGCTGATATTCCCCTATCTCACCCTCCAGGAGGCCTAGGTGAACGATTCTTTTTCTGTACCCTGTTCAACCATTGTGTATATCATATGCATAATGTTTATGTTCACCCTTTCACCCCTATGCAACTTTATAGTAGACTCTACCATGCATTGATATGGATGAGTCCATTATGGTCTACAGTGGTGAAAGGGTTAACATTACAGGCTAAATTCAGGGTTGACATGACGTTGATGGATTGATGACGTGACGTCATTGTATTGTTGACGTGATGTCATACCATTGTTATTAATAGGGGAATCCTCCGTCTCAACCCTAGGGCGAGACCAGGATTTCTCTTATCCTGGACAGGAGTATCAACACTTTTCCCAGTGTGAGATATCCTTGTCTCACTAGGGTTGAGACAGGGGAATTCCCTATGTTTGGCAACTTAAGAATCTTCCTTCTTGGGTTGAGATTCCCCTATCTCACCCCCAAGGGGGTTAGAAATTTGATTAGTCTTATACCGGTAAAAGTGTGGATACATCTGTCCAGGCTAAAAAAAATATTCTCCCCAGACTTTTATATACATGCTTTAGACTTAAATAAATACATATTAGATCAAGATTTCCAATATTCTCTCATTTCCCTGTGTGTAAGATAGAGCTGTCCAGGGTAGGAAAGGGGTGTAGGAAATTTCTATCTTACACCCAATTTCACGTGACGTGACGTCACATTATGGCTCAACACTGAAGTGACATCACGAATTTGGAACTCTCCGATGCCGCAATGCGGAAAAGGTGACGTGATGAAATAAAAACCTTTTGCGATACATTTACCATACATGTTAGAAAGATGTGATTAATTTTTCTGCGCAAACACTGTTTGCAAATATGAGATATGTTTAATCTGACTGGCTAATTAGTTTTCGTCTAAAAAGCTCAGGGGAAAAATTGATATTTTGAAAATGGTGGCAAGTTCAAATGCATTTTCATGGTTTCTGAGCTCATTTTGGTAGTTGGAATGAGACATAAATCCTCTTTCATGCCCAGTGGTGTAGGATAGGGAAATTCCACCCGAGGGATTTTCAAATTTGGTAAAACCCGAGGCAAAGCACAACTGCACTCGACAACCTTTAGTCCAGGAAATACATTTTTATAAACTTTGATGAGTAATAAAGTGCTTATATAAACAAATTGTTTGAGTCAAAAATATTTGTCATCTGAAATGTGATGCCTCATGACATCATTTTATTGTAATAGATTGGTGTTTTTTGATCATTATGAAATCCCTCAAAACGTGATCAACAAATGACATCACTTACTGGTATCTGAAATAAACAATCTTGACATAAGCCTGTCATGAAGATTCTTTATCTTCATCTTGACAATTTGCTGTATTTCTTTGTCAGTGGCAGTTTTGCAAAGAAAAAAAAAATCACAATACATACAGGAGAGTATGATAATTCCACGTACAGATATAGCATTTCTTTGTCCCGCAAATAAACAATACATGTATGATTGATTAAATTTATTAAAATATTAAGCTATCGATTATTTCATTTACTTTCAGGTGATTCAATATGTTGCAGGAAAATGATCCGATGAAACTCTGTTCAACTTGACTCCTGAACCCCGACCTTGACCTTCTAATGATCAATACGTAATCATGTCCGACCAGATAATGCCGGAGTCTTCCCCAGTCCGGATCCACAACAGCCTGGCAGAGCTCTTCATCTTGGTCGGACTGGATGACAATACAACTCTTATTCCTGCCCATAAATCGGTCAGTACTGTATGATTATGAATATGTTTTTTAGCTCGGCTATTCGAAGAATAGGGGGGCTAATGTAGTCACCCTGGCATCGGCGTCCCACCTTCCGAGGTTAAAGTTTTGTTTTTTTCCAGACAGTGTTGGATCATCACACTCAATACACAGTTGTCTATTATGAGTTTAAGTCATTTATATAGAGTGTAAGCAATGTGCTGGACCATATTTTCATATTTTTTGGCCCAAAAACAGCTTAATTGGACTTTGTTAATTTCTTAACAATCACTTCACACAGATGTTTCTACACATTAAACAGTCCTTGAAATATCCTGGTGGTAAGTGAGGTGGCAAATAAAATGACAGGCACTATATCAACGTTTTACTATACATGTGTTTCTTTTGATAGTTGCAGTTTTATAATAACATACATAGGCGAGCTATGCTGTTTCTTTTAGCAATGTTTTATTGCTTTAGATTATAGCAAGATCCAAAAATGCTACACACAAAATATGACCCAGTCTTAGAATTTAGGGTTAACACACCATAGACGGTAGGTCTATGAGATGCAGATTTCTTATTTATCACAAAGGAAGACAAAGGATTTCATAGAGGAGTTTTTCACTCGCTACTATTTCTATCATTGAAATAAATTTGTCATAGAAAATAGCGTAAAAGATAACTTGTTCTATGAAGAAAATTATTTCGAATAGATCTATAGTATTTTTCATGGTGATTGTTTATCCCTTTCACCACCGTAGACCATAATGGACTCATCCACATCAATGCATAGTGGTCTTCTAAAGTTACATAGGGGTGAAAGGGTTAAGAGTCTGCCATTAAGTTCTTATGACCGACCGTATGATGAAATTTTATCAATATTGTAAATTAAAATGAGAAACATTGAGACCTATTTGATTTTTGCTATTACAGAAGACCAATTTTAATGCTCCCCATTGTAGTGATTTCATTATGAATGCAACCTGTATAAAGAGACCACCTGTGTTAAGAGACAACCTGTATAAAGAGACCACATGTGTTAAGAGACAACCTGTATAAAGAGACCACATGTGTTAAGAGACAACCTGTGTTAAGAGACAACCTGTATAAAGAGACTACCTGTATAAAGAGACCACATTTGTTAAGAGACAACCTGTATAAAGATACCACCTATGCTAAGAGACAACCTGTATAAAGAGACCACTTTTGTTAAAAGACAACCTGTATAAAGATACCACCTGTATTAAGAGACAACCTGTATAAAGAGACCACATGTGTTAAGAGACAACCTGTATAAAGAGACCACCTGTGTTAAGAGACAACCTGTATAAAGAGATCACCTGTGTTAAGAGACAACATGTATAAAGAGACCACATGTGTTAAGAGACAATCTGTATAAAGAGACCACCTGTATAAAGAGACCACCTGTGTTAAAAGAAACCTGTATAAAGAGACCACATGTGTTAAGAGACAACCTGCATAATGAGACCACCTGTGTTGAGAAACCACTTTTTGGAACTAACCAGGGTGGTTTTTACACAGGTTTGACTAAACATAAAATATTGATGAAAATTAAGTTATGTTACAAGAATCAGCATTGTAACTATCTGTGCAGGATAGCGGTCTTTGGGATAGGGTTTGTGGGATGGGGTTTCCACCCATTCTATACATTTGAAGTTAAGGGTAGAATTTTAAAGGCCCAGTCGAGCAAAATTGGCACATAATCAGCACCTGTGCTCTGATTGGTATACAATTTTGACAGAATAAGAGAATAAGGTAATTAAATATGACTGGATTTTTTTTAAGTAGCAGCACCTAGGATGTTATTAATATGAATTAATCATAATTAATTGGAATATGAGCAAAGGTATAGAATCCTTAAACACATTAACAGATATTATTCATCTTACTCATTTGGCTAATGAAATATCATATGCTTTCCCGTTCTCTTCTTCCATAAAGAAATAATGCAACAATACAGTTAGTACAGATATAGTTTCTTCATACTGCATTTCAATATTATCATTAATTTTCCTGTAAAAAAGAATCAGAAGGGTGGTTAGTATGTCACATTGTTGCTAGACAGTATTTCTCATGGTGATTGTTTAACTCTTTCACCACTGTAGACCATAATGGACTCATCCATATCAATGCATAGTAGAGTCTACTAAAGTTATATAGGGGTGAAAGGGCGCCTAAATGGATGCTATGCGGCAGGTGATGGGCATATATTGTTTCATCCCTGAAGTACTGTTGTTATATGAAATATTTATAATTTATTGATTTGAAGATTAATGTGTTATTTAAAATTGTCAGACAAAAAGATATATTTCACGGTATCAAACATTTTGTTTAAGATGTCATTGGAAATGTTAGTATAAACTGGTGAACTAATTCCAACTTTACCTCTATTTCACGGGACCAGGATTCCGGCAATGATGATATACTGGAAAATCTTTACATGCAAGATTATGAGCCTCAGGTGTTGACTGCATTGTCGGCCACCACCATGATGCATTTCTTTCCGTTCCCTCGCCAAGACATGGAATATCCGTCCATCAACCTCAAGGAAGCGTTCTACTGTAGTAACACAGACTCCTCATCCTCACAATCGGGCCGATTTTTTAAACGAAACGCACAACAGGGGAAGCAACTCCGCACTCAATCAGTGTCTCCGGCTAGCGTCACTCGCCTCATGTCGATACGGTGGCCCCAGGGTGGGGGCAGGACAATGAACGCTGCCCACAGTCAATGTTCTTTCAGTAATTTAGATTTCCCTGTGTCGGAGGAGGTCATTAAGTCCATCACAACATTCTGTTTCCCAGGTAAGTCGAGGACATGACCTACACATATATATTTTTGTTTGTGTATTCACAATAATCTTAATCTTACATGTTATAAACCAAACTCTGTATTAACAGAAACTTAAAACCTGATAAACCCACACTTTTTATTAATATCACTGTACAATTTTATATAAAATGAAATTAAGTAATCAGGAAATCTGTATAATTTGGTTTTTAAAACGAAATTTCACTGACATACAGATTCAAACCTGCGTAATCTTCATGTCTGTATCAACTAGATTATCCAGCTAAAATATCCCACTGTATACAGGGATCCTACATGTATACAATTCAAAAACTCAACTTTTACAAACAAGACTGGTTCATTTGGTATAATTAAAATAAGACATTAAGTGTCACTACTTATTTCATCCCTGTTACACGATTAGGGATAAAACAATCTTATCAGAAAACCTCAGGTGAAAGGGGGGATATATGGTATGCATGTTGTCCGTCCGTCTGTTTGGTGTCCGTCCATCTGATGTCCGTCCGTCTGTCCTGTCATGTATGATAATTGTTTCTGGGTTAAAGGTTCTTCAATTTCCATGCAGGTTTGATGATGATGGTGATGATGATGATGATGATGGTGATGATGATGATGATGATGATGATGATGATGATGATGATGATGATGATGATGATTTTTGACGACCATGATAATAATGATGGTAGATTGTGATAATGCTAGATCCATGCCCTTGTGTGTATGTGTGAGAATGTGTGAATGGCCTGCTTATGTATATGTATATGTATATGTATATGTATATGTAATGAAATGCTTTGAAAAAAGAAAACATTACAAAAAAGACAAACTTCCATGCAGGTCACAGTGACCTATATTTCCACTCCGCTGATCATGAAGTCAATAAAATTCAGGTCATAAAATCCTAGCTGGTGTTTTCATACAACCCATAGCAAACTTCATGAGCTATTACATCTAACGGAGAAAGTTCATCACACGTCATAATTAATACCTGTCGTATTATATTCAAACCAGTGCATCATAAGTCACAGTGACTTGCATTTATCAGACTTAGTGGGTTTTTATGCCCCCGCCATAAAATGGGGGGGGGGGCATATAGTGTTGCCCATGTCCATATCCCATCCCATCCATGAGCGGGGGCATTTATTTCTTAAAGTCATTTTCTAGTTTTTATCTACCTTTTGCTATAAGTTAAAAGTTGTGAAAAACATGGTAAAATGGTGTTACAATGTACCATCTCAGCAAATCTTCATGTCACTATTAACATATTGTTCTTCAATTTTGGTTCTAACAAAGTAATTGGATCCGGAGGCTTCAGAATAACACAAAGGAGTTAATACTATGTCATATGTGATTGTGACGTAGGGAGGAGCATTGTTTCTATTGAGCTTTATAATATGCATATGTGGTTTATCTGCTTATCTGTGATTATTGGTCAACAGTTACATATTTTAATCCACAACAGATAATATGAAGATCTATGCAACAGAGCCCGAGAGTTTTGCCCACTTCCTGGTACTAACTGACATGTCAGGGGTCAAAAGCTACGCTACATGTTTAACCTTCTGTCGACCTTTCATTGTTGAAAAGGTAACATATAATATACCAAATTTCACCTTAAAACTTCACAACATAATATATAAAATTTCACCATAAAACTTCTCATCTGATTTCATTGCATGACAAGGATTTGCTAAAATAGACTCTGAATATTATTAAAAGGCACGCTAATACTGTATAAACAAATATTGTGTTCAATTATTTGTGAATGTTTGAAGTTCCTTCATAATTAGGATCAACTTTATGTCAATTATTGCGAGATATATATTAGGTGTCAACATTTCACGGTTTTAATTCTGTATCTTTCAACCAGAAGTTACTCTTATCATTTGTATTTTTTGCACATTTGAATTGAAGGATGACCAAGACTATGTGTACATGACACTAGACACGACCAATGAACCCTTGACCGCTGGTCAGTACAGGAGTTTTATCCCTCACTGTGGCATCTTCATCTCCAAATTCCCCTACTTCTCGACAACCAAGGATATAATGTCTTAGTAAGTAAATACAAAATGTGATACATATTATACAGACCATAATCCTTAACCCATTAACCCCTGAAGTCCCATTTGAACCTCACCAAATTAAAGGCTGGGCAAGTTCAGTGTGAATATGTAAGGGTGTATGAATTAAACATTAAATTTTACAGTTATTAAATCTGCAGCCTCATATCTACATGTGTAAATTGGAACATTCTGGTATTGTTACTTCTACAAGTATGTCTAGTCACCTTGACCTTGACCCAGTCTTGTGACCTTGTTCCTTACTTCCACAGTACTGAATTGCCCTGATCTGAGATTGCATTGTGTACGATTGTGACTGATAAACCAAACAGTGTGTTTATACCTTTGTCAAAACCAGTGTATGCTCTAACACACTACGACCTTGACTCCTGATCCTGTACCCTGACCTTGAACCCTATTTCTAGAGTGTGTTCATATTTGATTTAGCATGGTTGCACCTAATGACCTTTAAACAAGATGCTTCTGAAATCACCTACTTATAACATATATACCCTGATTTTGGAGGGGGTGGGTGGGGGGGGGGGGGCTCTTGATTTTTTACGCTCATATTTAGATAACCTGAATCACTCTGTCATTTTACTTACATTATATTGTCAAATAGGGGTCATAAATGTAAGTATTTTTTAGACATCTTTGGATTAGGCCATGAAGTTTTCCCTCTTGAATATTTTTGAAATTCTGCCAAGTATAACATCAAGGTGTTCTTGATTATTTAGCTTAGAAGAACTTGACCCTTGACCTTGTTTTGTGATCTTGGTGATCTTGCAAGCTAGCAACTCAATTGACCCTTGACCTTGTTTCATGATTTGTCCTCATTTTCTATAGAACTGTATGGTAAACATTTCCTGGATGAACAAGTAACAAATCACATGTTACTCTTCGACAAGAAATTTATTTGCATACTCAGACCATTAACCCATTGACCCCCTTACCTGTTTCCTAACCTTTGATTCTTGTCTGACCTTGACCCCTTCTGCACCATTTTGTCCTGACTGTTACAGCATGGTATCCCTTATTACCAAAAAACCAGATGACATGCTGGCCTACATCAAGGAGTTCTCGCACACATTGACCTTGACCCCAGTGCCCCCAGCTGGCCCTGTGGCTGTGGTAAGTTTGTAAAACAATTGTTCATGGGTTGATTTTCATGTCACCTCCATTGTTGACACCTCACAATTTACACATATCAGACGGAAAAAAATGTGCAAGAATTAAATAGCATTTTCCTTTGGGATTGTTAATCTCAATTGATAATTTGCTGCAAAAACTGTGTTGGCTGTCAGAGGTATGCATAAATTGATGGGCTATATATGTATCATACTTTTTTAACTTCACAAACAGGAAACAATGACTTCATTGGGAAAACATTAATACTGACCAATGCGTTTTATGTACATAGAATCTACTTGAGTTTGAACAGAGGCTTGATTTTAAGATGAAATGTTTTGCACATACCATTTCAGGAAATATGTTGCGACAAACAGACATTCACAATCTATCCCCCCGAGAAAGCAGACAAACCAGTGATCAACATACCTCTTCATTTAGTCTTCATCAGTTTCCATGACGACCAGATACTTCAGGTGTTAGCTGCTCTTTTTATGGAGGAGAGGATAGTGTTTCTGTCATCGAGCTATGCCCTACTGACCACAATCTCAGAGGTAAACATTACTGACCACAATCTCAGAGGAAAACATTACTGACCACAATCTCAGAGGTAAACATTACTGACCACTATTACAGAGGTCAACATTACCGACCAACTTTGTCATAATTTCAGACAAGATAGGTTTTTTTTCAATATCTGTAACTAACTGAAATCTACTATCAAAATTACCTGACCATGGCTCCAGTGTGTAGCCACCATATGTCAATAGCTGTATGAACTTCAATAACTTCCACCTGTCTATAGAGATATCTTGTCTGAAACCACCACCTGTCTATAGAGACCACTTGTCTGAAACCACCAACTGTCTATAGAGACCACTTGTCTGAAACCACCACCTGTCTATAGACACTGCTTGTCTACCACTTGCCATCCCATATTTGAAAACAACAAGAATTATGATGACACATTCAATTGACAGAAGTGAAATGAGAACTTGTCAAAATATGGCAGGGAGGAACAAGAATCGATCAATCTGTGATGTGGATGCAGAAATCTAATTACTTGGGACAAGATTTTGAGTATCTAGAACTACATATGAAAGCCTTGTGTGTGGACAGATGAAAATCGCGAACTGAGATTTCCTTGTCTACACCAGACTTTGGTGAAACAATCTATTTGTGTGAACAAAGTTGATAATTTTGTACAATATTAACTGTAAATAAAGCAGCTAGATTGGAATGTAGTATTACCAATAAACATTTGCATTTGTTTTGTTTTTCAGAGTTTTCTAAGCTTCTTGTTGCCATTCCGATGGCGATTCACCTATGTACCTGTCCTATCGCTGAAAGCCTTGGACCTACTAGATGCTCCGGGCACTTTTATCATGGGCTGTCATCTAAAACACCGCAGCTTAGTGGAACAGGTACTGAAATCTGCAGTGTCACTCAATTTGATGGAAGCATCAATATCACTACAGGAAGTACAATCTATGAAAAAAACTTGAAATTGCCATGAAAATCCCATGAAGCCATGAAAACATACCATGAAATTTCATTGGTTTTTCAGTACTTTTTCATTTGATTTTCATGGTTTGTATTCATGGGGTTTTCATGCCATTTGCATGGGCTATGTTCCAGTAGTGAATCTTCATGCGTCGATTGATTTTACGGTGATATGCTGGCCTTCCATGCAGATAACTGGAGTTTAAATCTCGGTATATGAGGGTTGCTTTTTCAGAGGTGTTCATACAAATGTATCTTCTGTTAACCATAGATCCCTTCAAGGTTTGTTGCAGAAATATGCATAGCCATGTATAGGCTCTGTACCAATGTAAGTAAAAGTCATAAAATTAAGAGTTAAGGGCTGCAAAAGAAGATGGCTACCATGAAGATCTTTGAACTAGTGCAAGTATGAAAGAGTTAATCAAAACAAGAAAATCATGCAGGGCTAAGAAAGGATGGCAGGGGAAACAAAAGAAAGTTGGTATATATATATATTTTATATTGATGTATTGAATTTAGAAGAATATTTTAGCAAATGTAATGGTCTTACTGGTAAACAGGATTACACTGACAGTATATTGGGATATTTGTATTCATGAATAGATGGTATAATTAGGTCCCCCAAACGAAGTCAAACTGACGCTCGATTAAATGAGCTGTGCTATCGGAACGAAGTCTCTTGGTAGCCATCTTGCTTGCACAGACTACCGACATACTTGAGGGTGTAAGAAACGGAGTAAAACCAATAAGTTCCCCAAACAAAGTGGGGGACTTATCGGTTTTACTCCATTTCTTCTTCTTTTTCTTCCGCCTTTGTCTGCACGTTTTCTCATAAACTATTTGTTTGGTTCCAATGAAACTTTACTTGAGTATTTGGGCGTATGCCTAGATGTGCAAGACAACTTTTTTTTTCCGCAGTTGCGCATCCAAGATGGCTACGGCGGCCTCCGATATATTAACATATTTAAAGGTGTACGCCAAGGTGATGCCATTTGTCCCTCTCTTTTTCCTTAGCTTGGTATGTAAGTATATAGTGGCACTGTCAACTCTACTCTGGGACCTATTTTGCATCTTTGCGACTACGGGGACAGTTTGTGGGAATCCTTTAATGGTCCCCCATTACAATTAGTACTTGTTGTACTGTGTGACTGTATTTCTGTCTGCCAGGTTGAGGGTCTGGTTGTGGTAAACATAGATGAGGGTACGGTGGTGGTGAACCCCACCCATATGACCTCTGACCTCCACCATATACCGGCCATCCCTGAGGAGCCAGCAACATCCTTTAGAAAAGTCTGTAAGAGGGCCCGGGTGTTTTTTGAACTGGAAGATGTTCAGAGGTAAACTGTTGCTTTCGTATGACCTTGAAATGACCTCTTTGCTTCTTTATGGAATGTGATTCCTTTATCTAAATATAGACCTCTACATTTTCATAGACTTCCAGGAATTTCATAAAATCACTGAATTTACAATATTAATTAGCTTCATGTATTTGTACAAACCTCGCTTTTTGGCACTTGAATACATTTTTCGCTTGCTTTATTGTTTTTTTGTGAGAGATTAATTTTCCTGTAAGTTTGTGGAGAGATTAAGTCACATCTTGAAAATCTTCCACAAGTGATCAATCCAATATTGCAGGCCTACCTGTCATGATGTCTCCGAAGAAAAGAAGATACAAGAAACCCGGATTCGCAGACTCAATCGTGTGATAGAAGATGGCTGCCTGGAGCTGATGGTGAATCTCTTCAGGTATAGACATTTCCGCAGCACAACTCATTATTTTATTTTTTTTAAACTTTCAGTTGTCCACTTCACTTTCAGTATTCAAAATGAACATGGGGATAGATATCTGGCCCAAGATTCATGACTATTCCTTAACTTAATTCATTCACTTCAGATTTGTCATCAGAAAGCATTACTGGAGGTTCAAGCTTAATTCCAGCAATGTTATCCAGAGGGAAAAGTACAGAAACATTCATGATAAAATAGGCACCACATATTTCATTTGTAGTCATGTTTTTCTATTGAAAAGTACTTTGATTAGATGGACAATTCTGAAGCCAAAGTGTCGGATCAACAAAGAAGCTGTCAACTGTAACTGCATTTTTGTTTTTAATATCTATACTGGGTGTGTAGAGTATAATCTAGACGTAAATGTGTCCACTGGTAGAACTTGGGAAAACTTTAGGTATTTAGCAAGCAGCAGCAACATTTATATCACCTTGTTTACAACTGGCCCAACAACCCTTAAATATCTGGTTCTGTTCATGGAATATAATTATGTATATATTTATTTATATTATTTATATCAACTTTCACTATGAATCAATCACAAAGTTGTTATTCATAAAGGCCCTAATTAGTTGCATATCAAAAATATATTTCCGAAAATGTAGTGATGAACCCTATTATCTATATTTATGGGCTGATTGGTCGAGTGGTTATCACTCCGGCCTTCTAAGCAGGCGGCCGGGGTTTGATTCCCGAAGTCGTCGTACTCATAGAATATTCAGAGAAAGTGTTTTCTCCTGCCCACACAACTCCAACAACGCAGATGGAGTATAAATTGGTCTGGGGTGGGTGTTGTGGTATCTGTGCTCTAGCATTCAAGTGAGGTGGCACTATAAATGATACCGTTGGAAACACGGTCCCACAACAAACAGAACACAAAACATCTCCAGCACACGCAGGCATACACACATAGGGAGATATTAGCCAGGTGGCATAGGACTAGTAGTTAGCACCTGATAAGGCAGCTCCTGCGAATTCCTGAAAATTGTATTGATTAATGTAAATGCTTAATTATTGTATTAATTGTATATCTATGTACTGTAAAGCGCTTTAGAGTTACTGTTTCATGAATGTTCCTGTACTTTTCCCTCTGGATAGCATTGCTGGAATAGTAATGCTATATCAAATATTGTATATTAATATCATTATATTATCTATTTTAATTTCCTCTTACAAAACTTTCCAGGGGGGTTGTCCTGGAAGTGAGACCGGAACATCACAGCTTCAACAAACAGTTGTTCGTGGAATCCCAGGGGAAAAATGCTGAGGACAAACTGTTTTATGAGGAGGTATATATAAATGATAGGATTGGTATTAACCTAAAGGCAATCATATATGGCTCCCATAGGTTCCGATTACGTTAGACCTGAGTTCACACTTAAAATCAGTTTATTTCTTTTCTCCCTCCCCCTCCATGGAGGTGGAGGGGATTGGGAAATATGAACAATGTTGTCTTATAAATAACCAAGACCTTATTGTTTACAACAGACAATATCATTTGTTGAATCCTTTTTAGAGAAACCTGCTCATTGATTACTGTGTACAGTGACGCGACAGTCATCTACACCATAATCATATACTAGCCGATGTTTTCAAATTTCCATGGGGAAATTTCTGCATGCTTAAAATTAAGACATAAACAAAATGTGTGTATACACCCCCTAGTGACAAAATAACTCTTTAAAATGACATATGTCAAATTGTTCTTTCAGATGAAATCAATAGATAATAATAAATAATAATAATTGGAGGTTCTTATATACCGCTTTATCACAACCTAGTTCGTAGGTCGTCTCAAAGCGGTTCACAAGTTCTTATCCGTGGTTATAGGGCCTTTGCAACCAGCCAATACATTTCTCAACTCCCTGGGGAGATCTTAGAATATCGGAATAGTTTAGCAAATTCACAGGTTGAAAATACTAAATTTAAGTGTCCAATTTCGAGAGTCTCCCTCGTAAAGGGAGAGTTGGCAATTATGCATAATATACTTGAAAATTGGGAATAAAAGAAAAGATTTAACAGTACAATTTTAATGCACTACCAGTGTTATGTAGAGAATACAGTATCGGTTCAAAATATGTACGAGTAAATATATTCACATGTACTCTTGATATATACTTTGAGGAGTGTGACTCGTAGCCCATAGGCTGTTCCTAATCAACGTTAAACAAATAAAGAATTAAATTAAATATTAACATGTAGGTGTTATAGTATATGTATGATATACAAGTAAGCCACGTGAAAAATTGGATTTTTACCAAAAACGTTTCACCAGTATTTATATATATTATGTATCTAATCGTATCTATAGAGAGAGATTTACAAAGGTAAGCACAGATAAAAAAAGGATCTTTCCCTCAATGTCAGGTTTTGAAGAAAGACATGTTTAAGTCATTTTTGGACGACCGCCTCCAGGAGAAAACAGACTACTGGACAGAGTTTGAGAGGAAGACTCGACAATTCATCAAACAGGCAAGCGTTGGCCATATCCGAATCTCCAATGTCCACCCCAGGTAAGTTTATTCCAGAAACTACAGATCAACATATATATTAAGTGAAATAAAAAAATGTTCTTTTAACTTCTTATTTTTGGGGAATAAAATGTTAATTTTGTTAGATCCAGAAGTTTTTAATTTGACCATTTTATTTGGTCACCATGATCTTTTTTTCTGTGCAAAAATATACAGTTTTTGATGATGAAAAAAAATATTATTTGACTTATTTTCATTAAAAGTGTTTTGCAAAATGTGGTATATTTCAATACCAAGTCTTTGACAAACTTTCTCAATTTTTCGTGTGGGAGAGACTGAACAGCATATTCTGAAAGATGCACATTGATCCCTATTTTATAAAATAATGGTCTGAAATACCTAATAAGTTTCAGCTGTGCAATGCTAATGTATTAATTGAATTAGAGTGAAAGCAAAAACACAAGGAATTATGCCTATTTCATAATCAATAAATGAAGGTGAAAAACCAGAACTCTCCTTCAAAAAACGGAGGTATGATAAGTATAACTCTCATGGGGAACAGTTAACTTATTGACAGCTGAATTTCTGCCAGATACATGTACCTCATCAAACTATTTCAGTTTTCTTATCAATTTCAGAAAACCTTTGATCAAACAAGTCTCCTTGTCAAGAATCCATGAAAATCCTTACGAGAAGCCGTTAGTGATCGTCCGACTTTCACAGAATAATTCTTCATCACGATATGTAACATCTTGTATCACATCTCTCAAGATGACTTTTAAGGTAAACTTATCATAAGTATTTTATCAGGAAATCATTTTTAGCTCACCTGGCCCAAAGGCCCATGTGAGCTTATGCCATACTGTTGCGTCCATCCGTCCATCAACTATTTGTTTTGAACGACTTCTGAAGAAGAACTGGAGGACCTAGGGTCACGACATTTGACCAGTAGGTAGATGGAATGGAGTGCTATAAAGTTTCCTCATTAAAATGACCTTGACCTTCTTTCAGGTCACAGTCGTCAAATATGTTAAAAACTTAAAACAACAACATCTTAAGAACCATTTGGTCTAGAGACATGATAATTGGGTATGTTATGTAGATTAGCTGTGTGAATCTTTTTCTTTATTACAGTAATGAGGTCAAATGTCAACTTTAAGTGCTAGTCAGGTGTCAAAGGTCAACATGGGTTAAAAGGTTTAACAATTTTCCTCTCAAGTTCAATGAGGCCCAGGGTCATGCTATTTGGCCAGTAGTTACCTGGGATGGAGTGCTATCAAGTTTACTTATTTAAATGACCTTGACCTATTTTCAAGGTCACAGAAGACAAATATGTTTAAAACTTCAAACAACAATATCCTTTAAACCATTTGGACTAGAGTCATGACACTTGGGTATGTTATGTAGCTGTGTGAATCTTTTTCTTTATTACAGTACAAGCTCAAAGGTCAGCTTTAAGTACTAGCCGGAATCAAAGGTCAATGTGGGTTAAAAGCTTTAAAATTCAAATTTCAAATTTCAAACAACAATATCTTAAGAACCGTTTAAGAGATGTCAAAATGTCTTGTGTTCTAGTTACCAAATTTGGTCGGAAGTTACCAATATGTCAGTTTCATTAAACAAAAGAAACAAGTGAGCGATACAGGCCCTCTGGACCTCTTGTTATAACTAATGATACTTTGCATGAATATGTTTCACACCTTGTACAGTGTGTATCACCTTTCAAAAAAGGCTTCAGTGTATTTTATTCAATGCTACTTGTATTGGACGGGTTGGGTATTCCATCCACCTGTATTGCAAATTAAAATAAGCATTGCAAAGCATATCAGTCATTAGAATATGAATACTGTAATACACGATATGTCACATATGTAGGTACATGTACCAAATTCAGTGTTTAATGTTTAAAACTGATTTCTTAAATTTCACTTTCAGCCAATTACATATGTAGTTTTGATTGCAGTAAGATTACATTTGTAGTTTTGATTGCAGTAAGATTACATATGTAGTTTTGATTGCAGTATAAGATTGCATATGTAGTTTTGATTGCAGTAAGATTACATATGTAGTTTTGATTGCAGTAAGATTACACAATATTATGTAGTTTTGATTGCAGTAAGATTACATATGTAGTTTTGATTGCAGTATAAGATTGCATATGTAGTTTTGATTGCAGTAAGATTACATATGTAGTTTTGATTTCTGTAATATAGCTTTATCATCATCAGATTATATACCTTAAGTTTTGATCGGATGTTGTGTTAATTGCTGTAAGTTTTGATTGCTGTAATATTGCACCTGTAGTTTTGATTGCTGTAATATTACACCTGTAGTGTTGATTGTTGTAATATTATACCTGTAGTGTTGATTGCTGTAATATTACACCTGTAGTTTTGATTGATGTGAGATTACACCTGTAGTTTTGATTGTTGTAAGATTACACCGGTAGTTTTGATTGCTGAAAGATAACACCTGTAGTTTTGATTGATGTGAGACTATACTTGCATTTCTGATTGCTGTAACACTACAGTAATATGCATTTTTTTCATTCCAGACCAGTATGGCTTACCAGGAGCGGGCATCGTACCTTTACCTCACGGCAGTTTTCAAGTTTGCAGAACATGATCACATTGGTGCTCTCAAAGACATTATAACTCTCGCAGCCATTGACTGGAACCTTCTTCCAAAAAAGTATGTAGGTTAAAATTGTCTGTATTCAATATCTGCAAAACTAAACCCATAGAAATGAAATTTTACAGTCTGACCTAATATAATCAATTTATTTTTTCATTTTATGCATGCATATACTAAATTATCTCTTTTCTTTAATTCAATTACCAAAATGGCTTGTTCCAGATCATCTTTCTAAACTTAATCTACAGAAATAGAAAGACTTTATATCATTTTTCACTAAACTGACAAGTTCACTTTTGGCAGTAGTCAGTGTTACGGGAATTAACTCCTTCACCCCTACAGTTTTAAACTGGACTTGCCCAATCTTTGATTTGGTAAGGTTCAAATGTGACTTTAGGGGTGAATGGGTTAAAGTAAGAGATCAGGCTTCTGAGGATTGTAAAACAATTTTGATGAAAAAAGTTATCCAATGTTTCATATTACTGCATGATAAATGCCCCTATTAAGATAAATGGCAGGGAATTTTTCCTGTCAATTATGATAAATCGATATTAATATTCATCATCAACAGAAAACACATAGATGTAGTCAGTGTTTTGTGGATATATTTTCACAGACTTGTACATGAAATCCACAATCTGCTGACGGCCCAAGAGAAACAGACACTTGAAAATGTCCAGGGTTACACCAACATCATAGAGACACTGAAAGAGGAAAACCAATCGATGGACAGCACAATTAGGCGTTACCATAACCACAACGACATCATCAACATACCGGACTACGATTTACGTAAGTTTCAAAACATGTTCAAAACTTCGAACAGAAAAATGGATGTTAATAATAACGAGCGAAATCATTATGATCTATGTTTTTATACCAAAAAGAAAAAAAAATTGCCCTTCGATCTTTTATATAATTTTATTAAGTGTTGAGTTTTGCTTATACTATTATTATTATACTGAATATATCTTTACTGAAGGGCACTATATATTTACACCTTTTCACCATTTCAAATTTCCTTTATCATTCTTGATTTGAAAGGATGTAAAATATGGCAGTGAAAATTTCACATTCACAAAAAATGGTAGTTGTCATTCCCTGCTTAACGTTCAGCATTACCGATAAGGGTAATGGCAATGACTGGTTCACCCGTTGTCAGTATAATGTGACAGGGAGGAATGTTGTGCTGGGTGCCTTCAGCATAGTATTTCAGTGAGATAGCACTATAAAGTCAGCATCACATCTGCACTATCACCAGGAGGCAATTACCCAACATACCCTGTCTCCAGCATACATACACACATGGAGGGACTTCCTTAAATGTATATCAGAAAAAAGAATCACATTGAATGATATTTAGAATGAGTAATTCAATTCCATTATATTATTACGAACGTATAAAACCGCCTGTTTGTGTTTGTTTCACAGCGTTTGAAATGTTCAGGAAGTATGTGTCGCTATATGAGATGACACAAGACAGTGATACTATACAGAGATTGTTCCATGCCCTCAACGGAATGGCCCCAAAAACACGTAAGTCAACACTCAATAAAAAAAAGATGCATTCACCCCTGAAATTCTGTAATGAACTATCCCAACCTTTGATTTGGAAGAGTTCAAATGTGTCTTCCGTGGTGAATGAGTTATAAGGACAACCAAGATACTTCACCTTGTTCTGCGTACATATACCTTAAAAAAAGGTATAAATCTGCAAAGTGGTTTCAAGCAATCAAGTACACTGTATACTGTAAAACTGGGGAAAACGTCTTGGCCATTCCTTTTAATCTTTTAAAAGACGAGCACTTTTATGTGAAAAGTTCATTGATATTTATTTATTTTTAACGTAAAAACACTTGATGTCACATTGATTTTTATATTGTCATTATTCCAACAGTCATGCAGTAATAAGCATTTCAGAAAGCTTGCCAGTAAGTGAACTTTGAAGTTATCATTTATAAAAGAAAAACTGAACAAAGCAGAGATATTTCAGACTGCCCCGTTGTATGTTTAGATCTCAGAGATATTTCAGACTGCCATGTTGTATGTTTATAGAACTCAGAGATATTTCAGACTGCCATGTTGTATGTTTAGATCTCAGAGATATTTCAGACTGCCATATGTTGTATGTTTAGATCTCTGAGATATTTCAGACTGCCATGTTGTATGTATAGATCTCAGAGATATTTCAGACTACGATGTTGTATGTTTAGATCTCAGAGATATTTCAGACTGCCATGTTGTTTGTTTAGATCTCAGAGATATTTCAGACTACCATGTTGTATGTTTAGATCTCAGAGATATTTCAGTCTGCCACGTTGTATTTTTATAGATCTCAGAGATAATTCAGACTGCCATGTTGTATGTTTAGATCTCAGAGTGATCAGACTGCCATGTTGTGTGTTTAGATCTCCTGGATATTTCAGACTGCCATGTTGTATGTTTAGATCTCAGAGATATTTCAGACTGCTATGTTGTATGTTTAGATCTCAGAGATATTTCAGGCTGCCACATTGTATGTTTAGATCTCAGAGATATTTCAGACTGCCATATGTTTTATGTTTAGATCTCAGAGATATTTCAGACTGCCATATTGTATGTTTAGATCTCAGAGATAATTCAGACTGCCATGTTGTATGGTTAGATCTCAGAGATATTTCATGCTGCCACATTGTATGTTTAGAGCTCAGAGATATTTCAGACTGCCACGTTGTATGTTAATAGATCTCAGAGATATTTCAGACGGCCATGTTGTATGTTTAGATCTCAGAGTGATCAGACTGCCATGTTGTGTGTTTAGATCTCAGAGATATTTCATGCTGCCACATTGTATGTTTAGATCTCAGAGATAATTCAGACTGCCATGTTGTATGTTAATAGATCTCAGAGATATTTCAGACTGCCATGTTGTATGTTAATAGATCTCAGAGATATTTCAGACTGCCATATTGTATGTTTAGATCTCAGAGATATTTCAGACCGCTATATGTTATATGTTTAGATCTTGACCATGAGACGTTCCAGGCGTTCTGTTTGTGCTGGCAGGAAAATCATGAACAGTGTATTACTGTCATGGAAGAACGTAACCTCCAGATTAATGAGTCGGTTCTAAAAGTCTCGTCACTCTGTAAGACAGATTTCGGAACGGGTCGTGTTGTACTGACAGATAAAAGGTTCGTATTTCTGTTGATTTAAGGACGATTTAGAACTTAAGTGTTCACCATATTTTAAAAAAGTTATTTAATGAAGAGATATTTAGTTTTTGTGTAAAGTTTTAAGCTTCGATCAAGATACCTGGGCCCGTATTCATGAAACTGTTCTCATGCTCAAGAATGGAATTTGTACTCCAGCCTAATTTCTTGTTTCAGTTATAAATTGATATAAAAATGCTATTGATTTGAAAAAAAATTGAAGAGACTGAAATCCAATTACTGTTTTCTATGTTTACATTTCACTTGCTGCATGATTGTGTTACATGCTTTAAGGGATTCATGAAAACGAGCCCAGATATCGCCTGAAATGCAATTTATTAATTAAACATAACAAATGAGACATGGTATAAGAAGGAGACCAATTCAATTATTCACGAATAAAAAAATAAAGCTGAATTCAGGAAATAAGTGTGTGCAAAATCGATGTGCTCTTGTAAATATAATCTACTGTTATAAAGTTAATGTTGATATCGGCAGTAAACAATATATGTAGATAAAAAACACTTTTAAGATTAGTTGGGAATTATCATGATAATGATTAGCCTTCCAGAATCTCTCATGCATATCTAATAGAAGAAAAATGTATTGTTTAGGCAATTATTGTAGAAGGTATATTGTTGTACCATATTTTTCTACAAATATGCCTATGCCAGGTAATAAGCCCACTCATATCTAGATCTATTTCGTTTCCTTAGATAACTCATTCACCCCTGAAATTTCATAATGAACTATTCCAACCTTTGGAAGAGTTCAAATGTGTCTTCAGGGGTAAATAAATTAAATGCTGTATTATTGTCTGTAATAAGCCTACCCCCTACTTTTAAGTCTGAGATGATATGTTTTCTCCTCCTACACTATTAAATCAGTATTTTTTTACTCCAAGATTGCTATTTATGAGGGACGCATCAAAGAAATTGAAAGAAATTGTCAAGCTACGAGACATTCAATTGCTGGAGAAAGTTCAACTACATTCCTTTCTTTCTAATGCTGATGCTTTACGGATACATCGGCGTGTGTCAGGCAAAGGTAAGCGATAAAATATATTAAACCATAATTAAGTGAGGGACAAAATTAGTCAGTAAAATGTTTTACTTACATAAGGCCCCTTTCGCGTATCCCATCAACCAGTTGAAACGGTTGAACTTGAAAGAAAACAACAGGCACAGATCAGAGCAGATCGCGACCTGCCTCAGGAATATTCGGCACATGTAGATTTAGGCGTCCAGACGTGCCCGACTGAAATAAAGCGCTCATTATTGCTAGTATGTGTTATTTCATTTCATTCTATAAACCTGTGCATTTTTTTGCTCTGCCTTTAGGTCGGTCCAAGGGCATTCTGTTATCGTGGAATATTTCTTCGACACCTGAACCGTTTTACCGGTGTTTATATATAGCACATTTTACTTAATTAAGTGTAAAACGAAGCTCAAGGTATTCCACAAAATCAATATTATTTGACAATAACAGGAAAAGGTAGTCTATAACATGATTTACTTTTTAAGGGCCAATTATTATGCAGAATGACAAGTTTGTTTAATTTTAAAACAGAACCGTTAATATGGTAGGCAGGCCAGAATTTAGATAACAAAGCTAAAAGGCTTGACTGAAAACAAAATATCTGACCATTATGCCTATTTCAAATTATATGGTAACACTATTTGGACCATGCAATGATGTATGACAATTTTGCTTTTTTTGCCTCAGACTTTTACTGGGGCGACACATTCTGTAGAGCGTTACCTAAATCTGTCCTGTACTGTCTCGTCCCGTCTAAATCCATTGTCATTGCAGTAGCGACTTCATTAATTGCTAGTATGATATAAATCAAGGTCAAGGCCAATATTACTATTTATAGAAAAATTTCCACCAGTGAAACTTATTTTGCATGGATCGCAGAGCATTCATGTCTTTGAAACATTTTGTTATTTATGAAGGTCCTGACAGAAGTTTTATTTTATGTTGCCTTTTTTTTTTTAATTATCTTGAGAAATTCACATTTTCACAAGGCAAATTTTCCTAAATTTTGCACATAGAGAGGAAAATCTGTTTTTACACAAAAAAAGGCATGTTTTAGTTGTGAATTCAGTTTGTATGTCCATCATTGGCTTTCTTGAACAGTTGAGCAAGACAAGTTTACAGTGTGGCTGAAAGATGAGAGGAACCATTTCACACTCCTCATCCAGGAGATGTGGGCTGGCAAGGTCATCTCCGAGGCAACCAAGGACATCGTAGTTGTCCAGCAAGCTGCACAAAATGTTCTTCTTGTTGACACTACCATAAGAAGGTACGTCATAGGTCATTCAAAGTTCAAAGTTCAATTTTTGCTCATTTACATAAAACTACATGACCTCTGAAATTGCTTGACACTACCATAAGAAGGTACGTCATAGGTCATTCAAAGTTCAAAGTTCAATTTTTGCTCATTTACATAAATCTACATGACCTCTGAAATTGCTTGACACTACCATAAGAAGGTAAGTCATAGGTCATTCAAAGCTCGAAGTTCAATTTTTGCTCATTTACATAAATCTACATGACCTCTGAAATTGCTGGGAAGGTTTCAACCAAAATGGTGACAAGGGAATTGAGGGGCATTATATGACGCTTTAAATTTAATTGTGACATTTCCATTACAGTGGGGAAGTGGAGAGTTGTTCTCACAATGCTACAGTGGAGAGTTCCGCGGACAACCTTTGTTGTTACATACGGGCCATGGAGCGAGGCGAACACCTGCTGTCTGTGGCCACCAAGGAGGCTCTACAGAATAAGCTGGATCCCAACTTTGGCGAGCCGGAGCGCACAAGTATACAGGCACTGCTGTACACTCCAGGAGGTACTCACGTGTCTTTCTTGATGAAGCAAAATAACTACATTTTAAACTCGTAATAAAGATGTAATATCTTATTTAGATTGTCATAACCTTTGTTTTCGTCGCGCCACGAAGTAAGGAATCGGGACTAAGGGGTTGCTTTTCCGGCGGTGGCGGCGGCAGCATTTAGTTTCTGCGTTTAAGTTTGTTTCACTGAAAGTTTAAGTGCTAGACCAACCAAACATGGACCATAGATGCATCTTAGGTAGTACATCTTAACCAATGCATCAGATGCTGGATGCGGCCTACCTTTTATGGTCCATTGGCTTTGTCAGCATCTCCATCAATATTAGGTTTTTGCATTTAAGTAATAAGTTAGTTTCTGTGAAACTATAAATGCTAGACCAACCAAACTTGCACCGTAGATGCATCTTAGATCAAAGCGGGGTACAGGTGAGACATATCAATCTGAATGGCTTGTTTGTATTGAAACTTTCTGTCAAAGTAGGTTCGTTTGAAATTGTCATGTTAAAATTTCTATCAACCATTAAACAGTGTGCTCAAAGCATGGTTTTCTATATATATATTATTTATTTTTTGGAAGACTTTTATACATAAAAACATGCTACTTGCTCATGATGTTTCCAGTCTGCACACAGACATATAAGTTGTGCTGATGCTTTTGTGCGATTTATATATAGTCAGTATTTTTTTTGTGTTTAATCAGTCTCGTGAACTCAAACTTCTCCGTCTCTAGCACAAACTATGCTGAAATCATCAGATAGAATATAGACTGAGCCTAGAGCTGTTGAAGTTTTTACACCCTTGGAATATAGCATAAATATTGTCCCTAACAGGATAATGATTAGCATATTGATCAGAAATCATACGAGTTCCAGTTAGGATGTGTGTCTAACTCATCTCACTTCCGAGTTTGGGTGTGGTGGGGTATGTAGCATACTATTTGCCAACTTTCCCTGTTTTGGAAGGAGACTTCCTAGTTTAGACCCTAAAATTGAGCATTTTCAACCAGTCAATTTTCTAAACTATTCCTATTTTCTAAGATTTGATCATTCATCTGAAAGAATATTTAAAAGTGTTTTTTTCCCTCTAGGGTACGGTGTACATACACACATGTCATGAATGCTTTTGACTCTGAGCATGCATAATCTCCCCCATAGAAATTTCAAAAAGTTGGCAAATATATATATGATGTAGCACATTTAATTTTTTTTGTCGAAGGCCTCTTTCGCGTATCCAGTTCAACCTGTTGAAACGGTTGAACCTGTAAAGAAAACGACAAGCACAGATCTGAACCGAGGCTGCAAGCTAGACCTCAGGAAAATTTGGCACATGTAGATTGAGGGGTCCAGACGTACCTGACCGAAACTAAAATGCTGACTTTTGCTAGTTTGCATTATTTCTTTCTAAAACAATGTCAAGCCACATGCAGTTTTTAAGATAGGTTATATAATTTAGTGGACACTTGAAAGAAGGGCATACTATAATTATTCTTGATAAATTGTTATTTATTCCCCGAAACTGTGCATTTTTAGTTCTGCGGTATAAGTGTGTGCGTTTATCGTGGAATATTTCTGTGCCCCCTGTACCGTTTCAATCGGGATACGCGAATGTTTCCTATATTTCCATCACCATTTGTTATAGATACTGAAACCCATCTGTCGCCCAAGCTGTGGTGCGGCCTGGTCAATGCTAAGATACGGGTGTTTGATGGTATCTCATGGACACTGGAGAAGGAATTTGTACAAGCTAAAAAGTCACTGGTAACTAATTGTTTTCATCTATCGGATGTATTTTCAATGAACGTGTTTGGATTTCATTGCCAAAACAATTTCTCATACTTTTTTTTGTATTTTTTTTTGTATTTTACTGATACATGTATTATGCTGTTATAATTCTAGTCTTTGAAAATAAAGATTTTTTCACAAATTGAAAATCAGAAAAAAACATAATAAATATATCAAACTTCTTTACACAAATTAAATTGCCTTTTTTGATATTTCTTTTCTCTTTTTTGTTTGCTGATGGAACAATGCATGGTTTCACCGACACCTATATGAAAAAACTTAAATGTTTATGTTTGTACATGATTTACCTCCCTTGCAGTCCTGTTTGACAGCAGTGGGAAAGAAACAGGTGTGGGTTGGATCCTTCGAGATTTGCATCATCGAGACCGAGACCATCCAGAGCAAGTGTATCCTCAGCGACCACAGAGAGTTTGTCATTGACATCATTGCTGTGGATGACAGCAGGTCTGTCAATACGCTTCTTTTATAGAATGATGGTTGATGACAAATTAAATTATTTTTTACCTCATTGTCTAGCATTTTGCTATTTTATTGGTTGATATATCACATTTAAAACTCATACTTGCCAACTCTGCCTATTTAGAAGGGAGTCACCTGATTTTGGACCCTTAAATTGAGCAATTTCAAACGGTGAATTTGCTAAATTATGCCTATTTTCTAAGAGCTGATGATTTCATGTGAAAGAACAGCTCAAAAGAAATGCCACTTTAAAGTATTGTTTTTCCCTAGTGTGTACATACACACATTTTAGTTATGCTTTTAATTCCGAGAACGCATATTGGCAAGTATGAAAACTTGATTATAGAATTTCGTCTGTGACATTTGTATGACTAACCCCTGACCTTGACCTTGTAGGTACGTTTACTCGGCCAGTGTGAATGGCGTGATCATCAGGTGGTATGTCAAGGGTTTAACTGTGGCCAATCGTATCGCTCTGGACATGTCTGGGGGCGAGACTTTACGGAGACTACAATATGCTCAGGGATTCCTCTGGTGTGGTAGGTATTCATTCATCCCCTTTCATACCCCCAGCAACATTGTTATACAAGGTATACTGGGAGCAGGGAGTTATCTGTATTGCTCAAGGATACAACACAGTGCCGTGGCGTGACTCAAACCCGCAACCCTTCGGTCACGAGCCCGGCATCTTACCACTAGACTACCATGCCTCTTTTAGATGAGTTTTTACGCTTCAGGGTTCCAATGTCAAATACAAGGTCGTCCTTACCCTAAGAACAAAAAAACTGCTTTTATAACTTCATTGCTGAAGCCCTGGCAAATGCTTAGTGCCTTACATTACCTTGATGAATATATTTGCATATTAGTCAGTACACAGATTCTGAAAGGAATCTTTTGACATTAAGGTGACTTTAATAAATGATTTACCATTAACTCCCCCCATCATAGACTCTCCGGACTTTAAATTAAGGGAGACTTTGAACAGCTCAACAAGATCAGGACAAGAAAGAGACCCATACCTGTACTTAACGTTTTCACCCCTACGTAACTTTAGTAGACTCTACCATGCTTTGATCTGGATGAGTCCATTATGGTCTACATTGGTGAAAGGGTTAAAAGATACTATATGGACTTGCTCGTATGTGGTCATACTCATATTTTCTATGTGTAGCAGAACTTGGCTGGGTCGATCGTTGGCTACGAGGTAGCTCAATTGGTAGAGTGTCCGTCTAGAGTTTGGAGGATCCCTGGTTCGAAACCCCCATCTGGCGGTGCATTTTTCCGTCTCCTGTTACAGTGGTGCCTATGACCAACCCTTGTTTCAAGCATTGGGTTTATATATGCTTGGCAAGGGGATACCCAAACCTGGGTTATAAAAAGTTGTGTTTTTGAGGGCACAGACTCTAAATACATGCAAGGAGGGAGGAATGTAGCAGAACTGGACTGGTCGATTGTAAATGACCAGGTGGCTCAATTGGTAGAGTGTCTGCCTAGAGTTTGAAGGGTCCTGGGTTTGAACCCCGGTCAGGTCGCATATTTTTCCATCTCCTGTCACCGACTGACATTTGTATCAGTCATTATGTATATGTGAAGGTTAGAGATTCTACAAACGAACATCTTAGATTGTACCATGTGTATCAAATTCTTTAATTACGATTTTGCTTTATCTCTAAATTGTTTGAAGATGTCTACAGTATTTCTTTTAACCATAATATTGAATGTTTTTATAAATACAGGGGTGTGGAAAAGTATTTGGCAGATCAGTAAGGCTGGAGAGGTACTGGCTAAGTTTAGCTTTGATGTCCCAAAATCTGTGATTACGGTTCAGCCTGTGGAAATGGAATGCTTCCATATAATGCCAAATGGTCAAGTAAGTCTAATGCCTTTATTGATAATGTCTTCAGGTAACCTGCATTGTCAAATGTGATGAAGTTGTCTTATATATGGTGATGAAAAAAATGAAACACAAAAGTTTGGCTGAACCACAAAGGGTGCAATTTACTGAAATTAATAAAGATCTTTGTCTCCTGTACTATAACCCTTTCACCACTGTAGACCATAATGGACTCATCCTCATAAATGCATGGTAGAGTCTACTTAAGTTACCTAGGGGTGAAAGGGTTTAGAATTTTCTTTCAAATTGTTTGAACAGAATTATCAAAAAGAATTGCAAATCACCAGATGGGTAGAAAAACACTGAAATTCAGTGATCTTTATATACTTTAAGGAAAGTTAAATCAAATTCAAAGGATTATTTCATTTTGAAATATTTACAAAATCTGTGAAGATGATTCATTTCTGTTTCTTATGCTGTAGATATGGGCAGGATGTCGCAGGGACGGTACCATAGCAATCCTGGACGCCAATAATGGCGGAAAAATTATAGAAATCATAAAACTGCAATCCACCCGGGGAATTAGTATCATGGTAAAACTGAAAAACAGGGTAAGTATTACCTATATTATACTAACTTGTTTGCCATCCAGGTAAAGCATTACTTGTAAAGTGTGAATTTTTGCTTCATCTTGTTAATCTCAACTTGTTAATTCATTTCTTTATCAGGTAAGTGTTAAGTTTATAATATAACTTGGTAATTCGTTTTTTTGGTTTTTCATGATTTAAAGTCTAATATGAAATATTAGGCAGGTTTGCACAGCATAGAAGGGGGTCTGCCTTTCATCTGCTTTCATCTCACTATAAGTAAACATCTGAGCAGATGTAGTATAGATTGTATATAGGGTCCATCGGTTCCCTATCAACATACATATCAGTTCACAGGACCATCTGGGTGCTAGCCGGTCTTATCACAAGACATCTCCCCTATTAGCAGGTCATGATCACCGGTCATAGAAAGGACATGCATCCAACCAATTAGTAATGCAGGGGTCAAGATAATTCTTATCTCAAGCTCAGCCAGCCGGGCATTTTGACCTCCCATAACCCCACTGTCCTGACAGCAACACAGCAAACAAAGGGTCTCCTCCCCCTACCTAATTATTCTTATCTCAAGCCCAGCCAGCTGGGCATTCTGAACTTCCATAACCTCGCTGTCCTGACAGCAACACAGTAAACAGAGGGTCTCCCCTCTTTGCCTAATTTACATGTACTATATTGGGTATTGGTTCCTTA